TTTTAAAATAGCTAAATAATAGGTAAAGAAGGTATAGTAAATAAAGCCTAGCTACTAATAGCTAATATATTATAGCTTTCTACCTATAAAGGCTTAGTATCTTATATAATACCTATATATTATTAGTAATAAATATATATAATATAGGTAATAACTTATAAGAATATTAATTTCTATACTTAAAATAGCCTTTAGAAGATATATCTTAATAGCTTAAAAAGGCACTAGATTATAAAGTAGCTTTATATTAGTCTATAAGACTTTAATCTTATCTTATATTACTATTAAAGTATTAGTTATATATCTTTATAAAATTATAAATAACTTACCCTTTTATAATAAATAATAAGGTTAAATACCTTCTACTATTCTTATAAGAGGTAGTATATAACTACTTTATACTATTTAAGGTAGAAGATATTATAAACTAATTTTAAATAGGTATTAAAGAATATATATTATATAAGCTAAAAGTAATATATAGGATTTCTTTATATTAAACCTAATAGCTAATAGTAAGCTAATCTATTTATAAAGATTAGTAAATATATTTAGTATAAAATAATAATAATTAACTTTATTTTATTATAATATAAATATATTAATATTCTTTATAAGAAGGGGCTTTAAGGAGACTATATATATATTATTTTAATCTCTTATCTTTTAAAAGCCTTATTTTTTATAATTATATTACTATAATATAATATATTAGTAAAGTATTTATAATAGTATAAATATAACTTACTAATTCCTCTTTTAAAGTATATAATATATAATTATATAGTACTTTATACTTACTACTTTTATAACTATTCTTAAAGATTAATAGTAAATAGATAGTCTTTAAAAGCTATAATATATTAGTATAATATATTATATATATTAAAGAAGACTTTTAAATAACTTACCTTAAATATAAACTAAATCTTAATTAAGTATAATACTAAGAATACCTTTATTATTATAAAGATAATACTATTTTAATTTAATATTATATTAATCCTTAAGGTATTAAAAAGTAGTTTAAAATATATTAAGGTATATAAACCTTATTTAAAAGCTTATAATAGCTTATAGTAATAGGAAAGCTAAGCTATTAGTAAAAAATAGTAAATATATTATAAAACTCTTATTTACCCTTTTTTATTTACTTATTATAATAGCCTTAAATAACCTTATAATTCTTAAGGCTTTTAATATATTTATAATTTAAGTTTAATATAAAAGTTTTTAAATTAAAGCTTTTAAATAGCTTTATTTATTCTTTATAAAATATTATAATAAAATAATCTTATTAGTTATTAAAATATATCTAAATATACTATAATATATTAATAATATCCTTATAATAATAAAATAATAATATACTAGATCTATACTATTTTTATAATATAAGAACTATTTAAGATATATAGCTAGCCTTCTAGACCTAAGTAGGTAATATATTAAGTAGTTCTTCTTAAGAAGATATTTTAACTAGCTTATATTTACTAGGCTTAGGTAGATATTTAAAAGAGATAACTTATTTAGCTCTTTTAAAAGATTACTAAGCTAAGAAGATTAAATTTATTTATTTATAGAATATTAATATAAGCTTAATATTATATAGTTAATAACTTATTTAAATATTATAGTATTAAGTTATTATATAGTAAAGTAGTTATTAATAGCTTCTTAATCTTACTAGGGATTTTAGTTAGTAATAGTAATAAATAGCTATAAGTACCTAAAGAGATAATAGCTATATAAGGTATTACTAATTCTATAGGAATAATAATATAATATATAATACTATACTCTTTTTAAACTAAACTAGCTTAACCTTTAAGAATATATATAGTATTTATAAGGAATTAGTAATTAATATATATAAAGTTAAATATATATTATAAATATTATAAGTTATTTTCTATCTTATTAAATAGTTAATATAAGTATAGGTAGACTTTAATTATCTACTTATAGACTTAAAGTTCTTTATAAGTAATTTTATATTACTTATAAAGTCCTTATAACTACTTAGTATAGTAAAGGTTTAGTACTAATTCTAATATTATTAATAATAATATTAAATATAGTATATAATATTTTTAAAGATTATCTACTAAATTAATAAATAATATATAATATATTAGGTATAAATAGTATATACTATACTAATACCTTATATAAATTATAGGTAATAGGTCTCTAAATAACTAGCTTTTAAATAGGCTTATTTTATAGTATAATCTTAAATAATAGCCTAAGTCTAGCTAAATATATTAGTAAAATAATAATAAGATATAATAGATAATATACTTTATTACTTTTTATTTAATTAAGTTATTAAATTATTTTTTTTTTTTTTTTTTTTTATACACTAATTAGGCTAAATCCTATCTAGTACCTCTGCTAATTATAGGGTAAGGAAAAACTAGAGTACCTAGGGGAAAACCTTATCCACATTTGTGGGATCCTTCGCGGTCTTATTCCGGAGTATACGGGGGTCCGGTGAGACCCCTCTTGATGCCATATGCCGGGTTTTTATCCACGTCCCGGCCCGTGTCTGGCCTATGCCACTCCGGCCAGCCGAGCCTGTCAACCACCTCCCCTCCCCCCGGGTTTTTATCCACGTCGAGGGGGCCGTGTCCAATCCTGCACGTCTCCAGACTATAAGTTATTAAATAGCTTACTTTTTATATCTTTTTACTTTTATTAATACTATTTAATAACCTTATTATAATAATAATTACTTAAGTTATTATAAAGGTATTAATAATATATTATACTAGAATAGTAGAAAGTATATAATTTAATAAGTATATTATTAAAAAAGGTAGAAGTTATCTTAAAAAAAGGATATACCTACTAGATATAATACTAGATTTAATATATTTATTAGTTCTTATATATTTTATATTAATATAATATTATATATACCTTATATTAAGGATTTATTATAATTTCCTTATTAATAATATCTATATTAATTATATAGGTAATACTTTTATTTAAGGTCTTTAGCTAGGTTAGGATATTATTACTATATATAACTTTAAAAGTATATATAATATTTAGGTAAATATTATTAATATAAGGTTAATAAGATATTATAAAGAATAAAGTAAAAAAGGTCTATAAATAATTAATATCTTAATTATAATAAGAAAATAATATATAAATATCTTAAAATTATCTTTAATAGTAATAATAAAGATAGAATTATTATTCTTTTTAAAAAAACTAATAATATTATCTTATTAAAATAAAAAGTTAATATAGTATATATAATATATTATATATATCTTATTTAAAAAGATAATATTAATATAATATTCTTTTATTAAAAAAAAACTATATTATTAATAAAAAAAGTAAAAGAATTTATTAATAATATATTATAAATATTAATTAATAAGGTTAAATATATTATTTTATTAAATTATTATTATATTTTAGTAGTAGAAAGAAAGAAAATATTACTTTTAGGTAGAAAAAAGCGTATCTAGGTATAAATGCTTACTAATCCCTTATTAGTCTATTATATGCTGATATAGTGTACCCCATACTTAGATGAGGTATCCTCCCTAACCTCGTTTGATGTGTAGCCACAATACACCAGCTGCGCAGTTCTGTTGATCGACCACTAAAAACGACCCAGAGGCTTTGTAACTACAGGGCCTTTAGTGGTGGCCAGTACCTCTAACCGAATGACGAACACCACCTGCATTCACTGTACATAAACAGTGTGACTGACACCTCACATTCTCTCTTGACGTCAAACACCCTTTCAACCCATCATGTCTCAGCACAATCACACATTCCCGCACACCAGTACGACTTTTGCCTTGTTCTCGGCTCTACGGAATGAATGCCATCACCCGATGCTCTTCTCGATGCACCCCAGACCACTCACGTATGTGTTCTCCGCGTGGCCCGCATTCCACCAGATCACCGTTGACAAGGGAGAGCGAGATGATCTCTGGCGGTGCTTTGACCAAATTGTCTTTCCTGGATCAAATAAATATTACATATCCTCCAGTGTGCGGCTTCATCGACTTTTTTCTTGTCCGCTGATAATACGGAGTACACAAAGCACATGCAGGCAGCCTCACCGTTGCCCTCTTTGTTTCCCAACAAACAGCCTCAGTAAAAGCCTACAGCCTTGCCCAAAAAGTCGCTTCAGTGTCTGTTGCCAACGTAACAAGTCAGTTCGCAAGGTCCGTAAATAGATTGAGGCTTTGACAGCCCATATGGGACGACCGCTGGCCACTGAAAGGAAGTCAGCGTTGAGAACTCTGTGTAATAATAAGAGTAGTTACAGAGTTCGGATACTATTACCCGCACATTTTACAACAAAGCATATACAACAAACCCGCATTGTCTCACAAGTTGGCAACACACGTCCGTCTGGCGGATAGTAAGTGTCAACTCCGGTCTGCACAGTCCCAGCCCCTGACCATCAAGGCGTCTCGTCTTTCCACAAAGGCCGAGCTATAACCCTAAGTAACGCGTTGCTATATACATCAAGCCTCCAGGACAGTTTCCGCCACGATGCTAGCGCGTTTTCGTAGCATCTTCCCGCGATTGTCTTCTCAGCGTCATCTAAACAGGGAACCATCTCGCTAGTCTGCAAGCCCACCGATTGATTACACTACGAATGATGGCCGTGGGCAGAGAGCAAGCACTCGGGTGGATCTCGCTGTGAAACACATCCCTTCTGCAATGCTTCATTCTGGTCTGAATACCCTAGACGGTAAGTCTTCAACGAAGCCAAGCAACCAAGGTAACTTGAGTTCGCAAGCAGATTACCGACCGTGCCAATTTGGGCTCGAGAATGATGTGCATCGTGACAGGGATTCCGGAGACTATCGTAGTATGCCATCTAGTTAGTTATGAAGTAGCTGAGTGATGGTGGCGGATGCACCAGTCAGGGGTAAGCCCCGATGCAGTTAATATTATCGACTACTTCAGAAGAACCTAACTAGTTACTTACCTCCGACTAGTATTGATGCAGTCACTATCAGTCACTATTTCTGGGCACGAGGGGCAACCAGAATTTGGCCATGATACATACTGTGCTGCTGACAATGCCAGATTCCCTAGAGGCGGCCCGAGTGTGGGACGAACGCGCCAAATGCATTCCGAGCCAGCGGGCTGGATATTTGCAAATTATTTCCAATGAGAGATGGGACGGAGGCTTGGGTGGCATTGCCTGCAGCTCCAGTGTGGTCACACGAGGACGTCGTTACTCGAGTGAATGAATACTCAAGGTGCAGCGGTCGCGTATCCCGATATAGAGTTGCCAGATCTGCACAGCCTCCTCAGAATACGACATGTGGCGTGGGATAAAGGGCGGCGAGAATTTTCCTGGTGGGCATGATACGAGGAAAGAGCGAGCCAGTGTTTCGCCACGCATACACAATGCGCCGCGATTATGCGCCAGTGGCTTTGGGCCGGCTTTTCTCTGGGCTCCCAACTTCTAGGAGAAGGCTGCAAACGGTCCTCGGCCAGGGTCTCAAAGCAACTAAAAAGTATAGCCACTACAACTTCGTATCTAACTAGTCATTCTTCGAGAGAGAGACTGAATGCAAACTGCATGGGCTCATTGCAGATTCTCCTCGTGGATTTGTTTTACTTGTTCGAGACAGATAATAATGAGATGCGGTCCATGTACATGCTTCGATGGTGGCACCACTACGGGGCCTAGTGGAAGTTCAGCTGCTCATCTCGCTTGGCATCATGTTGTCGATGTATCATCAGTAGCTACGAAATACGTAGACAACCGAGACAACGTGCATACAGCTTACCAGTAATGACGCACTGGTTGGACAAAGACTTTTCAAAGCGACCAACTGGCTGTCCCGTCAGTCCCGTCAAGACTTTGATCGGGAGAGGTTGTTCAACGAGCACAAGGCACAGATGAAAAGGTACAGTGGGTGTACCTTGCTTGACATGCGTTGGCTGCGTTCGCCGCCAGCACAGTTGTTCAGGTTCCACTGGTCCTGAAGCTAACCCAAATATGCCCGGTACGAAGCGGCCACCCCCTGAAGCCCATTCGTAGTTAACTCCGCCTTTGGTATGATTCGCCAGCCCCATTCTGTGTTTTTTTTTTTGGCGTCTTGTTTTCCTTTTCTTTTGTCGGTCCACTGCATCTATTTTTACTAATTACCTAGGTAGTTATGAACTACCTAGGTACGTAGGTACGTACGGGATAGTGTCCCAGCATTGGCCCCTGTTGTTTTTACTGCCTTGGACCTCTACGCTCCAGCGCGTTGACAAACCCGCCATGCTCTGTGGGTGGCGGCCGTCTCTCGAACAGGTGCTGTTTAGCATGTTCGAGCCCCCGTTGTCAGGTACCTTAGTACCTGTACCTACGTTAGTATTCCCCTGATGGCCCGTAATAGAGGTACATTGTAGCCCAGTTTGCCAGGCAACCCACTTCCGCCTTACCCATGCCCGCGCCGCCAAACCTGCCAGCGCCGTTGACCTACCTCCATCTCAGTGATTATTTTCCCAACTTCTCCTCTCAGACTCTTGTCTGTAACGTTAGTATCACTGTTTTGCAGTCTTTCTCGCTGCTCATCTAGCCTCTTACCACCTCACTCGCTCTCGTGGTCACCGTCTTCTTTTTCCTTTTCTTTTCTTTTTGCAGTATTACATTCGCTATCTTCTCGTCCACACGCATCCACCCTCCGCGACCCTTTATCCTCCTCGGAAGACTGATCTGGCCGGCACCTTGATACTCGGTCTGGTCCCAACCATTGTCGTATTCTTGCGGTTCCAGCGTTGTCGGTTTCGATTTTTATATCTTTCGATCCTCTACACTGTCGCTCGCGTCTATCTCATGAGTCTTCAATAAAACAACATTTCGACTGTTGCTTCCCCGTCAGGCTAAAAGCCACAGCCGCTGCCGACGTTTTGATCGCCTTGGTCCGACTTCAACGCTTTCCCGCCCTCTGGGACTTTGTTTTCAAAATCCGCTGTAACCATGGCGAACCGAATGTCCATGTTCTCGGTTGCCTCTGAAGGCCTGGGCAACAATCGCGGCCCTCAGACGGCCCAGGTGTCCACCACCACCCTGCTCAACACCATACACAACATCTATCTCGCCAGCCAACCCCATCAACTGGATTCGAGTACCAGTCTTGTTGTCAACACCTGGCTCACCGCCGCCCAGGGCGGCCCTACAGTTGACGCTGCTCTCGCTACAAGGGCGTGGGAGCACGCTCGCCGCCGTGCCGAGGATGCATTAATTGTGCTTGGGTAAGTCGCCATTGTTGCCGTTTTTTGCACTCTTCTAAGCTGTCTAACGCTCGTTTTCAGATCTCTGCACTCCTCCACCCCGTCCGTCCTCGTCCCATTCATCTCTTCCATGCCATTTACGATCCCGAGTTCCATCTTCAAGGCTCTCGACTCTGTCCAGCCTTTCCTGCGTTGTGTAACGCCCTACAACCCTTCTTTTCCCCGACAGACTGCTCTGAGCACGTCCTTTACTCTAAACCTTGCTGGAAACCTCACTGCCGCCAACCTGTCGTTGTCACAAGGTGGGATTGATACCGAAAATGGCCTCTTCAGCATTCCCGCCGATGCTGGATACCGCGCATTTGACGTCTTCTACTATCTGCTCACGTCCGCGTCTACTCCTGCTGAACGCGAGTTTCTTGGTCTCCAGGCGCCATCCACCTATGCTCTTCTTGCTCGGTCGTCTACCTACAACCCGCCTGCATACCTACCCACGGCCGATGATTCCGCCTCCGCCGACGACTTCCGTCAGGCTCTCAAGGACATCGGTATCAAGGGATCCGCTCACCGAAACTTTATCTCTACTCTGGCTGGTCTCCTGAAGCTTGGTAACACTCTCGACTATGAACTCGAATCCGACTCCCTGGAGGAGCTCTGCGAAGAAGCCAGCGGTCTGCTTGGCCTCGAGCCCGCCGTCCTTACTACCAAGTGCAGCACTGAAGACCGACGCATTCTTGTCAGCGGCCTCTATGAGTCACTTGTTGACTGGGTTATTTCCAAGGCCAACGCCGCCATCGCATCGCAGATGACACGAATTCGGGATGGTGAGGAATCTGCGGATGGCCGTGGAGCCCGCACCCCTACATCGGAGGAGGATAATGGCGATACTGTCAGCCTCACTGTGGTAGAAATCCCTGACCCTACCCTTGGAAAAGCTGTCTGCATGCGATCTATCTTTGATGACTCTTGCGGCATCAATGCCGAGATGATTCAGGATGGCGTCGAAGCCTCTCCCGCCGGCGCCTCTGTCATGAGAGAGGTGCAGCAGGCAGTTGCTGATGTTGCCCCGGATCTGGGTATTATGACTGGCCCCGAAGGACGCGAACGCCAGCGCGAGCTGGAACAGAGAGAGGTTGTTCTTGAGAGAGTTGCTCACGCTGCTGAAGACGGTGGCTTTATCAAGAAGCTTCTATTCCCCATCCGAGGCGAAGGCATCAATTTGGGTCGTGCTGGTCGGTTCGACCTCCCTCACCTGCTCTCCTCTAGCCGTGCCTGGTATCACCTGTCCTTGCACCCTACAGATGATGGCCCGGCCAGCCTCGCTGCTCTGCCCTCCATTACATCTGCCTGGTCCGCCGGTACCGTTTCCCGACAGCTCCGATCCTGGCGTCTGCCTGAGTGGGCAAACCGCCGCAACCGACACCTCGACTATACAGCTGATTTCGACGTAGAGGAGTTTGTTACTCGCTATGGCCCCCTTGGCTGCACTGATGGCAAGGATGGCATCGAGAGCTGGATGCTGGAACGCGGCTGGAGCAACGGCGAAATTTTCGTCGGCAAGGAGCGTGTGTGGATCCGCGAGTCTGCCTGGTGGGATGCAGAGTCTATGCTCGACATGAAGCAAGGTACTAATGTCCACGGCTTGAACAGCAACCCGTTCAGCAGCGGTTTCGACACATCCTACTCCAACAACGGAAGCGGCTTTTTCCCGCCCCAACCAATTGACCCTGCCTATGGTGGCAGCCGCGATGACCTTATGGCAGGAGGTCACTCCCGCAGTGTCAGCCAGGCTAATGTCAGCCAGGCAGGCTTTCCTCAACCCATGAATATTGCTCCTTCTATTGCTCCGACATCCATGACTGGCGCACGCAATATCACCAAAGGTGACTACGGACTTGGAAGAAACGGTGACACTTATAAGGGTGAGGACTATGTTGATGCTGCCGACTATACTGGCGAGCTGGACCCCGAGCTTGCCAAGAACAAGCACCTAGAAACGAAGCACACCACTGCCGGTCGTCGAGCTTGGGTTGCTGTCGTTTGGGCTCTTACTTTTTGGATTCCTTCGCCCTTGCTTCGCTACATTGGTCGCATGCGCCGACCGGATGTTCGAATGGCCTGGCGCGAGAAACTCGTTTTGGTCTTCATAATCTTCCTCTTGAATGCTATGGTTGTTTTCTGGATCATATTCTTCGGTAAACTGCTCTGCCCAAATTTCGACAAGGCCTGGAACAAGAGCGAAGTGGCAACTCATCAGGGAAGCAACTCATTCTGGGTTGCTGTACATGGACAGGTCTTTGATATCTCTGACTGGTGGAAGCAGCAGCACAGCGATGTCCCCAACATCAAGACGACAAGCGACCTCATGGCGCCACTCAACGGGTTGCTCATGGACGACTACTTTGTTCCGCCTCTGAATATTGCTTGTGGTGGGCTTGGAGTAAAGGATACAACGCGTCTCACCGCTAACAATACACCTGAGTACGAAGTTGCTGTTCACACCTCCGGCTACTATGCGCGATATCCCAACAGCGTGCTGCACGACGACAACTGGTATTATGGGACCTTCATGCCAAAGCTCAAGACCTTCTACCACGGTGACCTCGTCTACAGCGCAAAGGTTGTCAAATCCGAAGGCTCGGACAACCAGCACATGTGGGCCATGTATGGGAACCAAATCTACGATCTTACCGACTACTTCCACACCATTGATTTGAACACTGGTAATGATGTGTACAAGTTTATGAACACGAAAATTACCGACCTCTGGAAGAATAACCCTGGCCTGGACATCAAGAAGGACCTCGATAATGCCCTTGCTACTGCCAAGGCTAGTGGCGATGATGACACCTACAACAACATGGTCAACTCGTGGACTTGTATCAGGAACTCCTTTTACAAGGGAAAAACCGACTTCCGAGAAAGCGCTCGCTGCACCGTCAACAACTGGATCATGTTGGCCTTTACGATTATCATTTGTGCCATCATTCTTGTCAAGTTCATTGCTGCCATTCGCTTCTCCTCTAAGCGCCGCCCATCCCCTCAGGACAAATTTGTTATATGTCAAGTCCCCGCTTATACGGAAGGCGAAGAATCGCTCCGAAAGGCGCTTGATTCGCTCACCGCATTGCAATACGATAACAAGCGCAAGCTGATTTATGTAGTTTGTGATGGTGTCATTACTGGTCAGGGCAATGATCGCCCGACACCCAAGATCGTGCTTGACATTCTTGGAGTTGACCCGAAGCTCGACCCTCCTGCTCTACCCTTCAAGTCAGTTGGTGCCGGCAGCGAACAGCTCAACTATGGCAAAATTTACTCCGGCCTTTACGAGTTCGAAGGCAATGTCGTTCCTTACATCGTTGTCGTCAAGGTTGGCAAGGATTCTGAGCAGTCTGCCGCTAAGCCTGGTAACCGTGGTAAGCGTGACTCGCAGGTTCTCCTCCTGAGCTTCCTCAACCGTGTCCACCACCGTTCTCCTATGAATCCCCTCGAGCTAGAAATGTTCCATCAAATCAACAACATCATCGGTGTGGATCCTGAGTTGTATGAATATCTCCTCATGGTTGACGCCGATACTGCCGTCGAAGAAGATTCTCTCAATCGCCTAGTTTCCGCCTGCGCACACAATGCCAAAATTGCAGGTATCTGTGGTGAAACGAGCCTGCAAAACGATGAAAAGTCGTGGTGGACGATGATTCAGGTGTACGAATATTTCATATCCCACCACCTTGCCAAAGCCTTTGAGTCGCTTTTTGGAAGTGTTACCTGTTTGCCCGGATGGTACGTTCTTCATAGTCTTGTTCCCGTACTTGGTTTTTTTTTTACCAATCTAACAAACTCCACAGTTTCTCCATGTACCGACTAAGAACGGTCGACAAAGGCAAGCCTCTGATTATTTCGGATGCCGTCATTAAAGAGTACAGCATTTGTAATGTTGACACGCTCCATCAGAAGAACCTTCTTTCTCTCGGTGAAGACAGATTCTTAACCACTCTCATGACAAAGCACTTCCCCTCCATGCACTACAAGTTCGTTCAGGACGCCCAATGTAAGACTGCGGCTCCGGAATCGTTTGGTGTTTTGATATCTCAGCGCCGTCGCTGGATTAACTCAACCATTCACAACTTGGTTGAGCTGCTGCGTCTTGGAGACATGTGCGGCTTCTGCTGCTTCTCTATGCGTTTCGTCGTCTTCATCGATCTTTTCAGTACCATCATTCTGCCGGCTACCTGCGTCTACCTGGGCTATCTCATCTACCTACTAGCAAGCAAAACAGGCCCGTTCCCTGTCATCTCGATTGCCATGTTGGCAGCTGTGTACGGCCTTCAAGCCTTGGTATTCATTCTCAAGCGACAGTGGCAGCACATTGGGTGGATGATTATTTACATCCTTGCCTTCCCCATCTACGCGTTCATTCTCCCCATTTACTCGTTTTGGAACCAGGACAACTTCAGCTGGGGTAACACTCGCGTTGTCATTGGAGAGAAGGGCAACAAGCAAGTTATCGCTGTGGCGGATGAGGTTTTCGACCCCCGATCAATTCCCATGCAGCGATGGGATGACTATGCTTACGCCAACAATCTGCCTGGCCGTCGTGGCGGCTACCAGGAGAAGGACGATTCCCCTTATATGGACCAGTATGAGATGGACGAGATGAAATCCGTCTACTCTGCGGCCCCCCAAGGAACTGTTCTCACTGGCATGCCTGGCAACAACCCTTATATGACGCCACAATCTCCCGCTTTCCAGGGCACTCCCAACCGCAGCTCTACTATGTTCCACCAGCAGGACCCCATGATGAGAGGGCAACCCTCTGTCGTTGATTTCCAGGGGCGCCAATCTCCCTACCAGGACTTCCCCCAGACACGTCCCAGCATGATAAATATCCGCAGCCAATCCAATCTTTCTTCTCATCTTGGCGGCAATCGCGCGTCTTCTGCGATGGGCTACTCGGGTGGCCAGCGTCCTCCAATGGCCAGCGATACGTCCCTCAACAACGTCAACATTGACTTTAGACAGAATAGTGGCACAACGTCGGACGCCTCCATCATCGAGTCGATCCAGGCTGTCCTACGAGAGGTTGACCTAGACACCATCACGAAGAAGCAGGTGCGCGCTCTCGTGGAGCAGCGCCTACAAACTGAGCTGGTGGGCGAGCGTCGGACGTTCCTCGACCGACAGATTGATCGCGAATTGGAGAATATGTAAAAGGTGCAAAAAATGCTTATGCCATGTAATCGAAGATTGGGAGGAGCGCGACGAGTCTATCATTTATGTTTTGGCCTTGTTTTCCCTGCGCTTTCGGTATTATAATATCTGTCGCTTAATAATGCTTTTGGGGGAGTGATATGTCTTCCCGTCTCACTATTGTTTTGTTGGAGAATTTTGTCTTTTGTCATGGACGCTTTTGGAAAGGAACTGAACACAGCAGAGCTTGTTTCAATGCAAGCTGCCAGTCTTTTTTTTTTTACATTATTTTACTAGCTATATTTGACTCATGATCTATGAGCTGGAACCGTCTTCTTTTTATAATCAATAGAGAAAAGCAGGGATCTGAATATCCTGCTCCAGCTCCTCATACATGATACCGTCAATTGTCAACGAGGAGTCTATACTGTACCATTCCATTGTCACTCAAGCAGAAACCGGCGGCGCATAGTACTTATTTTACACGTCAATTTTGCCTTTTCTTTTTTCATAAAAAGAATTATATTTTGTGTATATATTTCGCCGAAATTGAGCCTAGCTTACGTGTCAATCTTGCCAACGCCCTTGAGGCGCAAGTAGACATCGGTGCCCCAGCCGTAGAGACTCTGGAGGGCGATGCCGCCGCCAAAGTACTCGGCATAAGCGCGGCTCAGGGGCAAGCCGTAGCCGAGGCCGGCGATAGAGCTTCCGCCGCTGCTAGCGGAGGCGATGGCAGATAAGCCATCGCCGCCCGAGGGGCTGGTGTACTCTTGGTCGTCGGAGAAGGTGGTAAAGGAATAGGACCAGATGTCGGGGAGGACGTCGGTGGGGATGCCGCCGCCGCGGTCGCGGATGCGGATGGTGACGCCGGGGGTGTTGTCGTCGAGGGGCAGGATGGCGGCACCGCGGGGGGCATTTTCGGGCGCGGGGATACTGGGGATGGTGTCGGGAGGCTGGTGCTTGAAGGCGGGCTCTGGCGCAATAGTGACGACAATGGGCTCGCGAGTCTTGCTCTCGACGGTGGCGCGAAAGGCGTTTTTGAGCAGCTCGGTGACAATGTACTCGAGGTGCATGGGGACAAAGGCGAGGGTGGTATCGGGCTCGCCGTCGATGACGAGCGCGGGGCGGACGCCGTAGCGCAGCTCGCAAATGTCAGCGACGAAGCCGGCGCAGGCCTCAATGGTGAGGGCGGGCCGGAGGGCCGTGTCGATGACGCCAATGTAGGACGGGTGGTCGGGACAGGGTGTCGGGCTGGCGGCCGGGTCAAAGTGCTCCTGGCTGCTAAAGTGCAGGGCAATGTGCTGCTCGGCGACGAGGCGGGTGCCGATGCGGGCGCGCAGGTGGCTGTCGAGGAAGCGGGTGACGTCGGAGGGGGCAATGTAGCGGCGGCACTCGAGGAAGCCCTTGGCGAGGATGGGGATGGTGTCGGTGTGGGTGGCGACGAGCTCGGCGAGGACGTGCGTGAAGCGCACCTCGTCGTCGGCCGTGGCAATGGCGCGGCCAGCCGCGGCGGCCTTGTGGTAGGGCAGCAGGATGGAGAGCGAGTGCAGATAGTTATTGTAGATGCGGGCAATGTTTGGGTTGGAGACGACGATGTAGGGGAGGTTGCGTAGCGCCTGGATGCGGTGCGCGAGCCGGATCGGCAGCAGGGAGAGCGTAAAGTTGGCCGAGGAGAGGAGGGAGCGCTCCGAGAGGGGGGGGCGGCCGTGTCTGCACGTAAGGGCAATCTGGTCAGAAGGTGATGATTCTCGTTTCTGGAAGGGGGTGGATCTTACTTGACGAGATCGGCCAAGCTCAGCGGATGTTGCGTCTGTCGGGCCAGCGTAGCAATGTCGGCGTCGGTGACCTTGTTGACGGAGGCACCTGCGGTCGAAAAGAGGCGCGGCCGGCGAGGACATGATGTGGTGGCGGCGGCGGCGGCGGTCCGGCGGCATGCCAGCCTGGAGGATGTGTTTACTCGCGCTGCCATGGGAGCATGACGCGGCTTATCGGTTCTCGGCGCTTTGAACGGTTGCGATGTGTTGAAGTGCCCACCGTGCAAGGCCGTTTGCGTGCAAGGCCGTTTGCGAAGCGTTGCCAAGCCGGGATTGCGACCGGACGATAAAGGTTATGGTATGGTGGGTCCTTGGGATCGATGAAGGGGATTGCGATGGGGCAATGGATGATAGAGAGCGGTGAGTACAGAAACGAGGACGCGGCTGCGATGCGTGTGGGTGGTGATGTTGAGGATGGTGTGAGTCGTGACATAACCCGGGGTCGGCCAGGGTATGTATGGTATGTATGCCGCATTCGGGGAAGCACGAGGCCTCGCGGGGCGAAATAGGGCCGCGGCCAACCGCAACAGCCCCCGTGGCTGGCCGTCCAGTTATCATGCACGTACGGATACCTACCTATGTACCTATGCATGACTGCATTTAATTTGCAATAAATCTCCCATTGAATTTTGACTGTCTTTTACGTGCTTGACCTTTTTAAAACCCGCTTCTTCTACCAAAATGCAGTTGAATGTGCTCCAGCGCTGGATATTATCCGTCAGATAGCCCGACGCAAGTAGCACCAAACAATACATCCCTGCACTCACTTGTTAGGGTAGAATGAGGTGCATAATCAGATCATCATCATCTGAATGTATGTATTTTATATCCTTCTATCTGGTAAGAAACCCGCTACCAAAGCTCGCCATGCATTGGCAAGAATTATCCCCGTTGTGCTACTCGCTCGCTCTACTGAGTAGTGGCGATGCCGTCGGGCTCGACAGCCTTGACGTGAGGGTGAGACTCGAGGGTGGTGATAGAGTCCTCAGGGTAGCTGACACTGTATGTTGAAGAGAGCGTGGTTAGCCGTCTCGTCTTTTCTTGTATTGATTGTGTCATCGTGGGTGCGTCCCCCGGTGTCCATCCATCAGGGTGAGGGGCGGGGGCGGCGTGTGTTTGGTAGCAATACGTACGAGAAACCCTTGATAATGTCGTACTCGTGGATGATCTTGCCGCCCTGCTCGGTGACTTTTGCCTTGGTCCTGCAAGGAATACTGTGAGTAAACATGTACAAGAGGAAAGCTGCAGCAGCTTTGGTTAGGTTAGAATGGCGTGCTACTTACTCCTTGACCTGCTCAGGCGTGGCATCGTCTTTGAGGGTGACCTAAGGGGGGAGGAAATGTTAGAAACTATGATTGAATACAGTCGCGGATGGATTCGCGGCGCGTAGGGCCAACTCACAATATAGGTAGGCATTTTGACGGCGTGATATGGTGATGGGCGCAAAAGATGTTGAGGAGAGGAAGCAATGGGTCGCGCGGTGATGATGAAGGCGGGGGAGGGGTATGACGTGGGCCTCAGCCTGGGCCTCCAGGCCATGACAGTGGTTCGATGTCACCGAACTGGTTGGTGTGGTGCACGCGTGCCTTGATTGCCAGCTCCTAACTTATATTGTGGCTCTTTTGCCAAAGTTGTCAGCAGTTTTCCGGCACCTTGTCACACGATCACGTGGAAAACGTTCCTGTCGATGATGCTGCACTGTTGCGTGGGCTTACCCTACGCCACCCTAATACACCAGGCGTAGGGTAGGTACAAACAATTGCGATGGTTGATGGACACAGCCCATGTGCTCGATTCTCGACGTGCCTTGGATATGGGAATGAATTATGCAGCGTCGTGTATTTAAACCCTGAGACCGCCTCGTGAGTCAAACTTGGTTTCTACATACATAGCTGCTGAGTTGTTGGATGTGTTCGGTAAGGCCACCCGACGTGCCAAGATATGTACCTCCAATCACATCACTCGTGGCTTCTCCGACAACCAAAGCCTGCGAATTTGATTCGGATGAAAATGGAAGCCTCCAGAGAAATTGTATCGCACCACCACGCACTCTGCGTCGAGGTGAATTGCTATGTGCATCACGACATTTAGTACAGATTTGTCAGATAGGACATTTAGAGTCACTGCCGCTTTATTAGTGCCTTTGGTTTCAGTAATTTGGTAATGTCGGCCAGTGCCGGGTTGTAAAGGATAGACTGATCCAGGCTAATCTTATCGGCAGGGTTAAATTATCCGTATTCGTTGTTGCCGTTCAGCGTATTCGTCTCGCGAAACGCTAGCCCCAACAGGACGAAAAATCCCACGCTGTTTTAAAGGCACAGGGAGAGCAAGCCAGCGCTGTAACCCACTATAAGTCCACAATGGGTTGGGTACATTTTTCTGGGGCTAAAGCAGCGGTGTTTCGATGGTTCCTGAAAGTACAAATTAGTCCCCATCACACTGGGTAGCGTGTGGTGATACTCCATGAAGTCGTCCCAACGGCCTCTTCCTGACCTGTGCACGTTGATTTGTAGTTGAGAAAGTTCAAGTGGGTGCACTTGATTCATTTTCGGAGGTTTTTGCCAGACACGACCTTGATGACGGGCCAGCCGTTCGGGCTGGGCGCGTCAATGACGGGAGGCGTGAACGCTGTCGGCCTATCTAAACACCAGATCTGCGCTAGACCAATTTTGCTCCGGCTCGTGTACTCCGTAACTAGCTCGCCGACAGCGGCAAAGCGGCTTCAAGTTCTGCGAGTACGAGATGGCACGCGCGTCGCATGCAATGGGCTCACAACGGGCCGCGCATCTGATGATGCTGTAGACAAAAACATGCCTGTGGCGCAAAGGGATAAAGACGAAGCTCTTTATAAGATGGAGAACTTACAACAATAATTGATAACCTGTGCACCCTCACCGTGGTGGTTGCACCACTCTGCACATTCGCCTGAATGCAGGCCGCTGGGCGCTTTTCCTTAAACCTATTAGTCTCCGCGCCGTCTCCGCCTTTCCCTAGTAGATTTCCCCTTGGTGATTTTTTCTTTGTGATTGGCATTGCATTGCCTGTCCCCTCATTGGAACTCTCCGTGGCACAACGTGCTTTCCGCCGTGCCTTGGACCCTCCCGGAGCGCCGGCTTCCCCCAAAATCTCCTCCTGCTGGCCCCAGCTCCTAACTAATTGTCACCATAATACACCCCTTGTCCATTTCTTTTTCGCTTCGCTCCTCCCCTTCCTCCCCTTTCTTCTACCCAATCCTCCCCCGACCTCTGGCCTCGACCCTCGTCTGTCGCCTAGATTGCAGACATACTTCCCTTGCTACCCTCCGCTCTCACGGTCGCTCGAAATACCCTTTGTCGGCTCTGCTTGGCCACCCCGTCGATACAATGGCTGCCGCCGCCAACGTTTCGTCCACCTTTAGCTCTGTGCTTGCTAGCACCAAGTTCACGGGTGCTGCTCTTCCTCCGCAGATTGACTATGTTATTGACACAATCACGTCGGCGAGTCCCTGGGCTCTGCTCCTGACGCTCGTCGCCATGTGCGTCGTCTACGACCAGAGTATGTGCTCTCGCGACACCTGCGCATCATGCCAATCTCAAAACCCTTCTAACTAACATGCCTTGACAGTCTCGTACTTCCTCAACAAGGGCAGCATCGCCGGCCCTCTGTTCAAGACGCCATTTATCGGTCCCTTCCTCGATTCCATGGACCCCAAATTTGAGGAGTACCATGCCAAGTGGCTGAGCGGTCCCCTCAGCTGCGTTTCCGTCTTCCACAAGTATGCTCGCCTCGTGTTCCTCCTGAGCCATCAACACAATTCCTAACCTGTCGCCCCCCAGATTCGTCGTTATTGCCTCTACCAGAGACCTAGCCCGCAAGGTTCTCAACTCTCCTGCCTACGTCAAGCCCTGCGTCGTCGATGTCGCACACAAGCTCCTCGGACATGACAACTGGGTTTTCCTCGACGGCAAGGCCCACGTCGACTTCCGCAAGGGCCTCAACGGTCTTTTCACCCGCAAAGCTCTCGAGCTCTACCTGCCCGGTCAGGAAGCGGTCTACAAGACCTACTTTGAGCGCTTCGTCAACGTCACCCAGAAAGCCGGCGGCAAGCCCGTCCCCTTCATGCCCGAATTCCGAGAGCTAATGTGCGCCGTTTCCTGCCGCACCTTCGTCGGCCACTATATTAGCGACGAGGCCGTCAAGAAGATTGCCGACGACTACTATCTCATCACCGCGGCCCTCGAGCTTGTCAACTTCCCCATCATCATCCCCTACACCAAGACTTGGTACGGCAAGAAGGCCGCCGACATGGTACTCGCTGAGTTTGCAAAATGCGCTGCCAAGAGCAAAGTCCGCATGGCCGCTGGTGGTGACATCACTTGCATCATGGACGCCTGGATTATTCAGATGATCAAGTCGGACCGCTGGCGCGAGGCTCAGGAAAAGGGCGAGGACGCTGGCGAGAAGCCCTCCCCCATCCTCCGCATGTTTGGCGACTATGAAATCTCCCAGACCATATTCACCTTCCTTTTCGCCTCTCAAGATGCCACCAGCAGTGCCGCCACCTGGCTGTTCCAGATTACCGCCCAGCGACCCGATGTTCTCGATCATATCCGTGAGGAGAACCTCAAGGTTCGCAACGGTGACCCCAATGCCGAACTCACTATGGACCAGCTCGAGTCCCTCACCTATACCCGCGCCGTCGTTCGTGAGCTCCTCCGCTACCGCCCTCCTGTGCTCATGGTTCCCTACCTCGTCAAGAAGGCCTTCCCCATTACCGACAGCTACACCGTTCCCAAGGGCTCTATGCTGATTCCCACGACTTACCTGGCCCTGCACGACCCCGACGTGTACGAAAACCCCGACCAATTCGACCCCGACCGCTACTACATTGGCGATGCTGAGGAGAAGGGCGCCAAGAACTACCTCGTTTTCGGCACTGGTCCTCACTACTGCCTTGGCCAGGTTTACGCGCAGCTCAACCTTGCTCTGATGGTCGGCAAGGCCTCTGTCCAGCTGAACTGGGCTCACCACCCCACTCCTCTCTCCGAGGAGATCAAGGTCTTCGCCACCATTTTCCCCAAGGTATGCTACGTGGCACCTGATTTTGTGTAAAATGCCATGAATTAATTTGAATCTTAGGACGACTGCCCTCTTACCTTTGGGAAGCGACAGTAAAAAAGCATATTTGAATTGGGATTCTCGGCGTTTACGTATTTTTCTATTCGGCTGGCCTCGGGTGCGGAAACAACCTGGTGGGATAGGCCACTGCCTGCGCAATAGACATGTTTCTATGGTAATATTTATGGGGATGGGACGCGATTCATGATGCCAGACGGGGTTGGTTTTGGAAATGGAGGCGGTCGCATGAGCTAGCGGTACTGACTGCTAATAGAGCCGCGGGCAACCTAAATACCGTTTTAATGACTTGAAGTACTATCTGTATATAGCTTTTTTACAAATTCACGCCCTTGGGCAAAAATTCTAAAGCCGAAATATATGTGTCGCATTTGTCCGCAATGCTGACGAATCTTGATGTCCGAAATGATACCACAGAAAGTTGCTCGATGGAGACGAATTCATCCACACGCAATTCACGCCTCCGGGAACCAGGGCACACAGGGACAGGGTCTTGCTGGTCGTGGGTGGTCGTAATAGTTATTGGAGCTACCAGTATTACGGAGTAGACCATGACCGACCACCTTTAACGCCTCTCGAGCGCGCCGGACCCTCACTTCTACTTCCACCTTGCAACAACCATCTACCTACACCAGCGCTCTGTCCATCGCACTTGAATTGACGACCCGAGCGCCCCAGCATCAGCGCTCCTCTCGCACAAGTACGCACGCATATCACCCTGCATAATTATGGTCTGCAAGACAGCCGTCGCCTCGGCCGTGCGGTCCGCAGCCGGTATCCGTCCCGCGGCGTGGCGCGCGGCGTCGGCCCAGCGATGCGCGGCCGCGATCCCTCGCACGCTCACCACGGCTGCTGCCGCCGCCACGGCACGCGTCGTTTCCGTCTCGTCGACCGCGGCGTGCCGTCACCGCGAGGCCCTGGCGCTGCCCGCTGCGCGTCGTCGGTACTCGGCCGCTGCCGAGCCGACGCCGACCAAGATTTGGACGTTTGCCGACATCCAGAAGCAGCTGCAGACCAACGAGGACAAGAATGTGATTTTCGTCGGTACGTTTTTTTCGCCCATCATTGGGCATATACCGCCTCCGTCTTCTTATTCCCAGAGCTGACGACTTGAAAAATCGTGACAGACGTCCGCGAACCGGTCGAGCTCCGCGAAACAGGCAAGATTCCTGGCGCCATCAACGTGCCGGTGACGACGGCCGTGCAGAGCTTCCACGTGTCCGAGGACGAATTTGAGGACATGTACGGATACCCGCGGCCCGGAAAGGACAAGACGCTCGTCTTTTACTGCAAGGCGGGCGTGCGCGCCAAGACGGCCGCCGGGCTGGCGCTGCACGCGGGATGGACCAGCGTTGGCGAGTACCGCGGCTCGTGGCTCGACTGGGCGGAACAGAATGGGCCGGTGGAAAAGGTCAAAGGCGGCAAGTGATGCCTTTGAACCGACCAGGGAGAAAAACTCAAAATTGTACATTGACATGCAAATTTGTACATTATGACAGAACACTCTTAACATGGATCCTTTCTTCACAAGCAATTCACGTTCGCTAGGCGATTCATAAGCAACCTTTCGCCCACGATACAACATTATTAAAGTGCATTCAATCACAAAAACTACCAAGACAATACACAGCTCATGTGCTCTTGAGCGCCCTTTACTTTACACAGAGCATTTCCTTGCCCAGTTAGAAAAGGAACAACTTCCCGCCGCCACTCGCATCCTCGCCACCACCCTGCTCCGGTTTCTTGGCGACGGGGCTGCCGTGCGCAAAGAAGAGAATCTTGATAGCCAGCGAGAGGCCCAGGTGGAGCGCCACGACAATGATGAGCAGCACCTTGCTCGTCTGGCGGTCGGTGGCGCTGAGGACGGGGTAGAGGTTGCGCAGCAAAAAGGCGACGGAGAGGCCGAAGCCGACGGCAACGAATGTCCAGTTGAGAATGGAGATGGGCGACCAGCTGATACAGGCGACGGGGACCCAGATGAGGTTGGCGTAGCCGTACAGGGCCCAGCACTCGAGCAGGTTGGCCGACTCACTGCCAAAGTAGCGCAGCGCGAGGAAGAGCACGACGGGAATGAAGAGCGTGTATCCGTACACCAGGCCGGCGGCACCTACCAAAAATACAAGGTCAGTCCCAGTGGGACGGAGGATCAGGGGGGGGGGACAAGGGCTCAACACGTACCGCTGAGGAGGCGAAAGTCGTAGGCAAAGGGCACCGTGCCCCGCGTCGCCAGCCACTGGCTGATGCTGCCGCCCAGGAACAGGATGAGCACCACCGTCGTGGCGATCCAGAAAGGGCCGTACAGGTCGGGGTTGCCGTCGAGGACGTCTAGAAAGTTGGCGCGCGGGAACAGCGCCGCCCCGCAGCGCGACAGCACCGCCGACGTGTCCACGTCGAAGAATTGCGCGTAAAAGGACATGGACCATAGGAAGCGCTTCGACGAGGGGGAGGATGACGAGGCTGTCACCGGCAGCGGCAGGCCCGGCGAGTTGCCGCCCTTGCGCCCGCCGCGCGTGCCCTCCTGGAACGTCGAGTTGTGGAATTCGAGGCCGTCTTCTTGCAGGTCCGTGTGACCGAGGTCGCCCTGTTGGTGTGCCAAGAAAAAAATCGACATTAGCATCAAGACACATCATTGGAGAAGTAAAAGAAGGATTCGGGAGAAACGGCGACATTCGCCCGGTCGGGCGTTTGCTCGAGCCCCCTCGTCCTGGGCATCGCGACACGTACCTCATCGTCCACATCGACCACGGCGTCGTACCCGGAGCCCGACATTGTTCTCTATTTTTGTGAAATGAGATTCTAATCAAAAAGTTGCGAGAATCTCCTTTTGACGGTCCTTGGAGGTCGCGTAAAGGCGAATTCTTGGATGACGCAACGTAAAAGTCCCTGGAGGCGGGTTTGCAGAGTGGAAAGCTACCGAGCTAGGGACAGCTGTCGTCGTGCGCTAAAGAGGTCACAGATGACCTGACTAACCTCAACGGCGGTCCAACCGAACCCATTACATGACCGGGAAAGTTTTCGAACAGGTATTTCTGACACATTTCAGGAATTGTATTTGCGAGCAAATTAATATAAGATTGTCATAGAATCAACATTTTCTCCTACTTGTTGCCCTATTGTTATGCCCACAATGGAAGCGAGCCACCGTTTCTGGTAGTTGCGCAAGTGCTAGCAACGCCATCAAGTAAACTCGATGGTTCATTTCATGGGATATACCGAAATGTAAAGGGTAGCCCTCTTTGGGTGTAATTCGCAGCGTCAGAGTAGAGCAACGGGAAGCATTGCTACATTACTACCACTCGGCGGGTTGTCACTCGGCTGCTCTCCAATACACAAATACCTTTACGGAGTGTTTATCGTCTCCGCCCTGGTAACTACCGTTGATTGTCATTGGTTTTCAATTCACCATCTCGCCCGGAAAGCTCGTTCATCATCATCATGTATGCTAGCTTTTGGCTGGAAACGTCGATCCAGAAGTACTTGCCGGTTAGGGCAACATTGGGACTACAGAGTACTGTGTCCAATATTCAGAAAAACCCGGTGTTTAAGAGATTCTACAGAGGCATTATCGAGAGCTGGGCTCGCGCAAATACGAGCACCAGATTCAGTACTTATGACAGCTTTGGGAAGGCTTTGTCCACACACATTACATCTTGTATACGTCTATTGAAGCTCTGCTAAGCAGCCTCTACCTCGCCTACTTCTAGTCTAACGGCCGTCTTATCCAAGCCCCTATACACCTACTTAAAATAAAAACACCAAAAATTATTGTTGGTATGCCCTAGGCTCCGGTTTCCGTGTACAGAGAAAATGCTGGTTGTTGCAAACGTTTGCTCTGAGGTTAAAGGTCTAGAATGTACCTTGGCCTGTACCCCGGTTACAGACAATTTCTCCATAGAGCTATTCAACCTTACTCAAAGCAAGTTTCCTAGGCTTAAAGAGAGCGACTAATTAGAAGGATTAGAAGCTTGGTCTGGACGCCGATTCTGTATCACATCAATGCTGAGGAGTCACTTCACTCAAAAAACCACTCCCAGCAGTCCCCCGCTCTAAACAGTAGTTATTTGAACTCAACTGCGTAGCTCTCAATGTTTAACGTAGTTAATATGGCTTGTATGACCTTGGTGTACGATTTATGCATGCTTGCGATGAACTCGAGTTGCCGAGCTGGCCAATGTTGGAAGCCAATGTGACTTAGGCGCTCTGCTGTAGTGGCCAATCGAAGTAACTGTAGGTATGACGGAGTCCTGTTTCAGCTTCGAACAAGTAGTTGCGCTTTTATACCACGTCCCTTGTTCTCTCGCCCACATTCATTGCCTCACATTTTCGCACACTTCCTTCATTGTTTTCAAGTATTTTTTGTTCTTTTTTGTTTATTGGCATCGTCTAGAATGCATTGCGTGAGCAAAGGATGCTACCGTAGAAACAACAAGGAAAAGGTAATTTCGCGAACCCGGGAAGCATCTCTTATCCTCGCCAAATTCGTCAGAATGCCAGAAACCACCCAGACGCCAACATCCATACAAATTGGATCGCCATAATTGCGTCGTCTATTTGAGCTTCTTCTTGGGGCGGAGCTGGTTGGTGTGGCCGCACTTGCGCTTGCGGCAGTTGGTGGCACGAGGTGGGAGACGAGCCTGTGAGCGTCCTGGTTAGTATGCGCGTCATCCGTGGGGGGAGGCTCCCCGAGCTTAATTGCTTGGGTGTCGACATACGTAGCACTTGCGGCAGATCATCTTCTCACAGTTGAACTTGGAGGCCAGAGCCTTCAGGGAGGGCTCAATGATACCACCGCGGAGGCGGAGGACCAGGTGGAGGGTAGACTCCTGTTGAGCGCATATTCAGTCAGCCAAAAGCCATTCTCGCCACAAAACTACTTTCATTCCGCCGAGGTTGCGCCTTCCCAAAAATCGTTCGATAATTCGGTATTCGAGACGGGTTCCATCGAAGTCGTCGTTGGCCGCGGGAAGAAAAATAACGCACCTTCTGGATGTTGTAGTCGGACAGAGTGCGGCCATCCTCGAGCTGCTTGCCAGCAAAGATCAGACGCTGCTGGTCAGGAGGAATTCCCTCCTTATCCTGGATCTTGGACTTGACATTGTCGATGGTGTCCGAGGACTCGACCTCAAGGGTGATGGTCTTGCCCGTCAGGGTCTTCACGAAACTGTAATTGGGACTCTCGTCAGTATTTCCATCCTCCAACGGGCGATCGGCTCGGGGTTCGTCTCGGGGGTTTCGGTACGAAACGGCGCTGCGCAGCGATCGGGGAACCGAGACTTACATCTGCACTGTCAGGCTGTTAGCATCGCGAATGAATCCCCCCTCATATTGACACTGCAGCGTGCGACTTACTCTTTACTGATTTCTGTGACGCTGACGATGTGAGGTTTCGAAGGGCTCAAACTGAGGCGTGTATTTGGTGGGGCGCAAAGGCGCAAATACTGGGAAACCCTAGGTTAGCCCAGACCTCACGTGATAGTTTCCTTTACCGAACTGCAAATGTGTGCTCTCCACTTTTCCGTCCTCGCCATCCGGACTTTTTCGCACCCTGCCAGTTTCAGGTTCCTTACATGCATGATGACGGGGCTGCTAGGTCCGTTAAAAAGTCCGTTAGGCCTATCAGTATAAGTCAACGTGAGGCTTCAAATCGGACATGTTCATTCCACATTGGTTCGTCTATATCATCGAGCAAAGACTATCTCGAATTTTACAAGCGCTTTCCTATAACATTTATTTTTTTGCCCTCAGCTCTTTGCCACGCTACAATGGCTTGCTCGAGCATGTACACAGCGCGTACTGTGGTCTCGAGGCTGACTTCAGCAGCGGAACCTGCACGCCCCTGATTAGAATTATTTCCAGGGTACAACCGGCAATATGTAAAGCGGCAGCTTGAAGTACTTACTGACAGCGCTGTAAAAGAACCTGGCTATAGTCGGGAGGTCGTCAACCTTTCGATAAGCTTCGTAAGTGAACTGGCTAGGCACCTTTGTGCCAGGCATGCCCATTGCGCTCTGCAACATTGTGCGTGCCATATCATTCACTTCTTGGGGTGTCGGTTCTGCGGGCACAGGATCAGGCACCGGTTCTGGTTCTGATGGAAAGAAACCTGTAACGGGGTTTGTATCTGTGTAGGACATAAGCGGCTGTTTGATATCGAAGACAGAGAAAGACCTACTCTTTTTTTCCAAGAAACTCGCAATGTGACGAAAATAAGCATCGAGGTCGTCGTCTGTCATGTTGGCAACCTCACTAGGCGTTACACCGTCGAAAACCCGTGGTTTGTCCCGATTTGGCTGGCCTGCAGCAGTTTGCCAGCTTTTCCAGTCAAACGAAGGAAGTATCAGGCCACCTGATATAGTCAAGGCGCTTCTGCCATTAAATGGAAAACACAGCTTTGTAGCAACAATGAGTAAGGCGACGAGTCGAATCTCCGGATTATGAAGAGGGTATACTCGGGTACTCTGTACTGGCAAATGAAATCGGTAACCGAGGACATTGCAGATTCTCCGGACAGCAATGATAGATTCAACTGGCAGAAGTTAGTAGAACTTCGTGTAAAGCAGTTGGGATAACAGACCTGGTAGTGCCAGCAACTTGGCATATTGGACCAAGAGTGGCATGTAATTCAGGTCAGGGAAAAGCATGTTGTAGTTGAGATGGTATGAACACGCCAAATCCATAACAGCCGAGTATGCTTGGGCACCCTCTAAAGGCAATCGTATTGGTATCTTCAATACCTTTACGTAGATGGACGGCATTCGCTCTTGCATCTCGGTTGGAAGTTGCTGAAACTAAGCATGGTGTTAATCGTTGCCAAACAGAGCATTGATCCATCAGCGGTATCTAATCAAATACACCAAACCTACAGTATGTCGATATGGAAACTGAAAGTCATTCGCCCACTTGATGAGCTCTCCTAGGCGAGTTGGTATCCTCAGGAGATAGCATCCTAAGTAGCACAACGCGAGGGTGTCACTTATGCTTGGCATCGGCCAGCTGAGACCACGATCAGCGCTCCAATCTTGCGCTTTCGATTTCGAAATCCACAACTGCGCAGGCTCAGCGACAGTCGTCTGGGAGCTGAAGATCTCCAAGATGTCGTCTGAGGCCGCACCCGAAGCTGCGCCCTGCCCTAGCGCTGTCGCGCCGCGAATGCGAAAATCCCACAAGTCGCGGACGACAGTCTCTAGTTCACCCACGTGTCCCCGTTCTGTTATGAGCCATAGAATTTGCTTGCGCAGCAGCAGTTGGAGGGCTTCAAGGTATAGCAGTTTTCCAGCCTGGCCTGTAAGTTGTCGCTTTTCCTTGTCCTTGACGGCTCTTTGCTTCTTGGAAACCGTCCCCATCATGCCAGCTTCCACTTCATCGCCAACATCAAATTGGATGAATCCCTGCAAGCGCAAGTTATAAGCCGTGAAAACTAGTGATAGAGACTTGTCGCTTCATACCTCAACTTGATGTCCACGGGCGCAGTACCGCATACCATCCTGGAGATAATATCTCTGGCTCCCGCATTCGGGGCATCGCTCGCCTCGCGGCATGCGCCGCAAATCTCGAGAGTCGCTCATATTGATGGTGTATATGGCAGGATGTGGTTGGCTGATCAAACGCCACAAGGGTAATGGGGAAATATCTGTTCAAGGGGAGCCATGTGCTCATCAACCTGACACTATTGTGACAAGTAACAGGTTTGCAGATATAGTCTCAGGATGCATATTAGAACCATTGCTAGGCCCATCTGCAGATCCGAGCAATTGTCTGCCAGAAGGTGCTTGGTTGTGAACGAAAGGTTCGGCCCGCCGGCCAGTTAGGGCGCAAGATTTTGTGTATAGCGGGACCTCGCAGGCGGGAGTCGCAGACTCGCAGGACAGGACAAACGTCTTAACTCGAACGTGTGAGACAAAAGCCCGGTAACAGCGTAACCAAATGTTTTCGGCATCTCCAAGACAACTTTTAGAATACCAGTATCTCCAAATCGTCGCAGCGCGCGTGTTTCACCACAATGCATAAGTCTGTGAATGTAATGCTAGTTTTTTTTTGTCTCATTTTCCATCTATGAACAGCTATCAAGAGGTCGTAGTCATGTCGGTATGAGAAACTGAGATTTAAATCCGATCGTCTTCAAGTTTATAGATGCCGAAATTGAGAATGTAGCAGCATGAATCATATCCCGACTACGGAAAGCTTTTCGACGCAACAAGCCCAGCACAGCGCCCGAAGCAGTTGTCGGGCAAATAGCAACTAACAACGCTATTCATGAAAGAGTCCTCGTCAATGTAGAGGGACTTGGAAGACCCTCAAGCAGCCGGCGGCTGTGCGTCATAACCGAAGCGATGCGCTTACGCACCCCTGGGAGCCTCCTTGGCTTCAACGGCGGCCTGCTCTCCCATGGAGGTGAGAATGATGACGTCTGGAAAATGTTAGATATATGCGAGACAAGGAGAAAAAGGGCTGTGGAGTAACAAGGAACTTACTGGTGTCCTTCTCTTCCTCGGTGAAGAGCTTCTTGATCTTTTCACCGACTTCACCGTCGGGCATTTTGACATCATCCTTGGTGTCACCGTCGTCGTTCATGAGGGAGAGGAAACCGTCGTCGGAGACGTCAAGCTATTGGGTCATGTCAGTCAGGTTCAGGTGTGACGCCGCGAGCAGACGGCGCAGGTAATGGAGCGAGGCAACTTACGAGCTGGTACTCACGACGAGTGACGTTGGGGACGTCCATGTTGTGGGTGGAGGGAGAGAGATCTTCGTACTTCTTGCCAGTGAAGATATCGGTGGCGATAAGATGGACCTTGGCGTGACCGTGCTTGCCGGTCTTGGAGGTGGACATGTCGATGATCTTGCAGGGGCGGCTCTTGATCACGACGAACCCGTTCTTACGCAGAGCAGAGCACTGCATAGGGAAGGTAAGAGACGCGCCGGCATCGGCGGACTCGAAGGTAACATCGTGCTGAGAAAGGAGGTAAGGTTAGCTGGAGGAACGGCGAAGGAGAAGGCAGGTAAAGGGCCTCGGGCGACAGGTTCGGTTTGAGGTGGGTGGCAGTAGTGTTGAGGGCGGCGCCGGCGAGGGGCACGAGGCGAGGTGCGGGGTGATGCGAAGCAGTGGTTGCCATGGCGCGCACGACTGAGAACTCGCGGGGCGGGCAAAGAGCAGTAGCTTACCTCCTCAGTAGACATGATGATTGATTGCGCGAGAAGAGGGCGTAAAGACGGGGGAAGCGAAAAATTGATGGGAAAGAAAGTTGTTGTGCACCAGAAGGAGAGAGGTGGAGGAGCTGGGTGGATGAAAAAAACAGTTCAGGGTACAATAATAGGTAGTTAGTTAGTAGGTGGGAGAGGTGGGAGGGAGGCCGGGTGCGAGTTTGGTGGCGCGACAGAAAAAAAAAGCTCTTTTTTTTCCCTACCTGATGTGATTGGGTAGATTTTGTGAATTTGGCAGTCCACAACCTGGGGCAGGTCAGTGAGTGGTCGCTGGAGAGGATGCCCCGCAGCCTGGCCCTAGGCAAAGTAGGCGCCTTGTAAAAGGTACCTCGCGATTGCCGCAAGACAAGAGAAAATGGCGCCCAGCTTGTTGTACCTGGTGTCGTCGCTTGCAGGTTCCCGCCCAAACGCGCTGTAACCACTCCTCTCAGCGACCACTCCTCTCAGCGTCGTTTGCGGGGCTTCAGTGCTGTCCCGTTTGGGCAAAGTCGCCTCTCTACCCGTAGGATGATGCGCTTTTGTTAGTACGACAGGTGCTCCATACTGCTGCGCGCAGCTCCATACCTTCCTGTACGCCATCATCGCCTACATGCCAACATCGTCTCGTGCCCAACTGCCACAACCGCTCTATTTGCCGCCAATCATCCTCCCAAATATACCCGATTACATACTCTTTCGGATCGAATACCATACGCATCGCCAAGCTACCCCCATCCTCGACTGGTCTCCATGATATCCTCGCGACGTTCCACCCCTTTCTAAACCGCAATGTGGCTTGACCGGCTCGCTGGCCAGGCCAGCGGCTCTGGCTCATCTACGCCCCAATCTGTCTCTCGGTCATATTCGCCACTGCCGCGACGAACGTCAAGTAATCTCAGTCCATATGTAACGTCACAGCGTCAGGGCCAATCACCCAGGGGCTCCTCGCTATCACTCGTGTCTTCCGAGTCCACCGCCTCGCTACTAGCCTCGTCGCGCCGACCCAACGGATCAGGCCTGAAGCAGTCCTCAGCGCCCGCCGCACATCCCACGAGCTCTATAGAGACGTTGGAGAAGCTTCTTAGGAAGACACCGAGCTCCGCTCCGACTGCCGATTCTGACATTCTCGACTCCGATTTCGACCTCGACTTCGACTTTGCTGGCTTGTCGCTGAAAGAGCTCGCGGCGTCGCAAGATGACGTGGATGCGCTATCTATAACACCAAAACCCCAAAAGCCCTCTGATTGTAAGTGTGCAGCTACTCTGTCGCTTAGCCCAGGCTAACATGAGTACAGATGACAGCGACCAAGCCAAGTTTGAGGACCTGCACCGTTCCATCAATGCCTGCGATGATATACTCAACTCCGTCGAGACGAACCTCACAAGCTTCCGCAACGACTTAGCCTCTGTGGCGACAGACATCGAATCTCTACAAGACCGGTCGGCCGCGCTGAATAAGAGGCTCGAGAACCGAAAAGAGATAGAGAAGGCTCTGAGTCCCCTGGTCGAGGAGCTTAGCGTGTCGCCCGAAATCATCACAAAGATCACCACAGGTCATATCGACGAGACCTGGCCAAAGCTTCTCACAGAACTTGATCGACGGGCTAGCGTGCATCAGAAGAAGATCAAAGAAGCTCAAAGCAAAGCAACCTCTGACCTTGGTCCGCTGTTGGAGAAGTTAATACAAAAGGCTGTTGAGCGTATTCGAGACGTCATCGTTGCGCAGATCAAGGCTTTGCGTTCACCCAATATTAATGCCCAAATTATTCAACAACAGAATTTCCTCAAATTCAAGGATCTCTACACGTTCTTGCACAAGCATCATTCACAGCTTGCCGAGGAAATTGCACTCGCATACATGAATACCATGCGCTGGTACTATCTGACACAATTTACACGATATGAGAAGTCACTGGGGAAAATTAAGCTCCACGTCCTCGACAAGAACGATACGCTGAACCATGAAGAAACGACGCGCATGGCCAGCGTATTGTCAACTGCGCGAATGACCGGACCTCCACATGATGCCTTCAATATTGGGCGTCGTATCGACATCGTGAGAGCAAGCGAGCAACCCGCACTCTCTTCCTTCCTTGCTGAAGAAGACAAAGCCACGCACTACCTTGAAGTGCCATTTCGTAGCTTCAATCTTGCGCTGATAGACAATGCGGCAGCGGAGTACACGTTCCTCGCCACGTATTTTTCGCCCTCATTGTCGTTCTCCCACATTTCGAAGAATTTTAACTACATTTTCGAGCCTACTTTCGAACTCGGAAAAAGTTTGTCCAAGGCACTTATCAGCGACACCTATGATGCGCTGGGCATTCTCATCTGCATTCGACTGAACCAGCATTTTGCGTTTGAGCTGCAGCGTCGCCGAGTACCAGCTGTGGACAGCTACGTCAATGCCACAAATATGCTGCTGTGGCCGCGTTTGCAGGTCATCATGGATCGCCACTGCGAATCTGTTCGGCAACTCACCAACGCGACACCGGCCAAGGCGAGCAAATCGACGGCCGAGCAGGCCAAGGTCTCTGCGGCACCGCACCAGGTGACCCAGCGCTTCGGGCAGCTACTGCACGGGATCCTGTCCCTGAGTGTGGACGCGGGCGACGACGAGCCCGTGGCGGCCGGCCTGCAACGGCTGCGCACCGATCTCGAGGCGTTCCTGACGCGCTTCGGCCACTCCTTTGGCTCGGACAAGCGCAAGACGGCGCGCTTCATGTACAACAACTACTCGCTGATCCTGACCATTATTAGTGATACGACGGGGAAGTTGGCTGACGAGCAGCAACGGCACTTTGAGGAGCTCAAGACGGCCTACCAAGACGGGGATTAAAGGCATGATGACGAAGTTCAATCAAGTGGACGATGATGGAAGATATGTGGAACTGACACCATTTTTATGTTTACAACATTTTCTGAGCGATTATTTTATTAGCCATTTATGCACGTCTATCTTGCAGCTTGCGAGCATCACGGCCAAAGGCGTTGGTGGAAAGGTATTCTGTTTTCTTTGACCTTGCCTCTAACAACTTACTAGAGGAGTACAATTTTTTTTTTTTTTTGGAATTTCAGGCTTTGCTTTTTCGATAATACACTTCGTCTATATTCATGCCACTTCTCCTTCGCATGGCTGCATTTTGTCTAGTTGTGTGTGAAAACGAGCAATGACACCTATATATAGATATCTATATTGTCGCCAAAATTGTTTCATCGTGGATACTGTTCGCAGGACTCCCTCGCCTCTCTTCTCACTAAGAAAAAAATGACACGACATAATTTACAAGAGTCGAATTACGACGCACGTAAAAGGCAACGAGGCCCACGGCCACGGCCATGGCTACAGTCTTGGCCGGGCGGCGGTATGCCCAGGCGACGGACAGGAGGGAGTTGCGGAGGTCCAGCCACTGCAGCTCCTTGGCCTGGGTGTCGAACCAGGCGGCACCGTCTCGAAGCGTCTGCCGCGCGGCCTGGCGGGGGTCGCGGGCTGTCTTGAGGGCGCTGGCGCGGGCGATGCGGCGCCAGGCGGGTAATGTCTCGGGTGGGTGGGCGGCAAAGAGCAGAGCGGCGCGGGCAACGAGGCCGTCGAGGTCCATGCGGGCGGGGACGCGGGCGAGGATGACCTGGAGCAGGTCGGGCTCGTCAATGGCGAGGATCTCGTCGCGGCGGTCAACGACGATCTGGGCAAACAGGTAGATGCTGAAGACGGGCTCGCGGGCGAGCAGGACGTCAAAGAGGCGGGCAATGTCGCGGTAGGCCTCAATGTTGTGGGCGTACATGGTCAGGGTGCCGGCGAGGGCGTAAAAGGGCTCTACAGTGGCAACGTGCCGGCGGAGGGTCGGGTCGGCGCGGCTGAGTATGTCGGGGAGCAGACGCAGCTGCGACGTCGTAGGGCCGAGGTTGGGCAACATGAAGTCACGGATGCGTAGCACTGAGAGGCGGGCGACACACCTGGCCGCCAACGCCGGCCGGAGCACAAGCAGGAACACCTGGCATATGTCGTGGTAGCCCTGAAAGTAGCACAGGTAGGGGTATGTGCGAAGCACCTCCGATATCAGGGCGGAAAGCTGTGATCGTCGTCGCTCGAGGTCGCTCTCAGAGAGGTCTGGTGTGCACAAGGTTAGACAACTGGCGGGGAGACGGCGTGCGTTGCAGCTTTGGGCGGGGTGGTAGTTACTGTGAGGGTAGTAGACAAAGGACCGGTTCACGTCCAGCTGGACCTGGTCCTCATCACGGTGATGAGGCAGCTCCTTCCAGCGGCCGTCATCGTCGTCTGACTCGGCAAGTTTCTCATTGCTGGCGTTGACGGTCGGTGCAGGTAACCCAAGCAGTATTGGCCCTACATTGGTTTTCCGTTAGCAACCTGTGTTTGCCAAGTTGGGACCATGGATTGTTGGCGAAGGGGGGGGGGAGGGCCGTACAAGCGAGCTGGCGCAGACTGTCCGTCAGCAAGCCACCCTCGGATTCGGCGAGCTGCTGCAGCGCCGGGATATTACCCTCTGCGCAGGCGGTGCGGATGTCGTCCTGTTTCTTCTGGCCGGCCTGGTCGACGTAGTCTGGCCCGGGCGACTTTTCCGAAGGCGTCGATAACGCCGTACGCGGGTTATTGTAGCCGTCCTGATTCATGGTCGGGGGACTGACTGACAGCCTACCACCTACCTAGGTACCTGGTAGGTAGGGGAGCCCACCTTTAGGGGTTGGGGGCGAAAGGGACCAACCAAATGCAACACTTTGTGACCAATTCGGCAACAGAGCTTTTGCACGAGGATAGGGCTTTGGAGAGTCGGGATGACTAGTTCGTTACCTGGGTGTTGAGTGTGCGGCCAGCGCAAAAAGTGCAATACGTGTCGTTGAGATGATTGGACGTGAGCTGGGTCGAAGCTACTAAGGTACTGTCTGGCCGGGCAGTGCCGTCACTGCAGTGTGTTTCAATGGTACGTTTCAGCGAGTTCAGGGGCATTGACCCCCTCTTTTACTGTGGGACGTAGCTACGTTAGTACCTCTACCTGGTACCTTCTACTGGAGGTATCCGTAGGCTTTATTAACTGGAGCAGCTTCTGCTCTCCACGAGAAAAGAGGCAACCTTTGGCAATCACCTTGTCTGAGCAGGGACCAGGGCGCGACAAGGGAAGCGAGGGGATAGAGAGTAAACTAGGCAACAAATGGCTGTCGGGATAAACATGGCGCTCCTGTGGGTAGTATTATTGACAGCTACAGGTAGAAACCTGGAAGCCGGGAAAAAGACTAGGAAGCCACTGGTAGTCGGAATGCACGAAGTTTCTGTACTGGTCAGACGGGTGTCGTCGGTGATGTTGGAGGGTTCAACACATAACTACTCATGTCGAGCGACCCGGTCAACCGTCCACCAACGGGTAGAGGCGCAGTAATATGAGTATTCACAGTGGGTCGCCCGCCAACGGAGGGCTTGCACTTGAGTCTTGGGCTTGCAAGTTGCAGGCTGAAGCGGGATGGCAGGATAGAATGGCTGCAACTGGACTGGTTGCAGGGAGTTTTTGTAAGCAGGCTGGGTCCACCAAGCGAGGCCAAACGAGGCCAAACGAGGCCATACGGACAGGGCGGGGTAACTAATAAAAGAAGAGGGTGTAGTAGCATTTGTGGCGGTATTAGATATGGCTAGTTGCCTTGTTATGTTGCTCTTGGTAGGTGTGGTTGAATGAAGCTGGGAGCGAATGTGGTACCTATTCGTAACTATAGGATGGAAGGTCTATGCGAAAGGGCCGAGAGGTCACAACTCGGTAGGGCAGGCACATAAATGACTCGGCGGACAGGAAACAAAGTTGAGCTAACTAATCAACAGATCTAACGTAGATGCGAATTCTATTAGAGGCTCTCATCCAATCTCTGCGCTGATTCTGTTCAGGTAGACAGGGTAGTTATATGCTCCAGTATTAGAAGGTGCCTGTTAGCAACCACCCGCCTGCCCCTCCCTTGGCTGAACACTTAGTAAGTAATAAGTTTTTAGTGAGGGCAAGCTAGTATTCGCTAGAGAGACGCCGGGACCACTGATGGTGAACGAACTTGGTAACTTGTGACTCGTGACTGTGAGGGGTGCTGGAAACGAGCTCGGGAGTCAAGATCTGGTGATAGTTATGAGAGATGATGCATCTGCCCCGCCAGCCCGTCTGATGGTGGAGCGTGTCGAGTAGGTACCTATCTAATTTGTACATAGGTATGTAGGAGGTTGTGTGGGCATGAATATCTTTTCTTCTTCAGATTTCTCTCTCTGTTATGGATCTCCGCCGAGTGATACCTGAGAAGTGTGCAATATGTGCAATATGCCGCAAGAGGACCCATGGCGGACGGGATGCTCATTGTTAATACGGAGAAGAAGGATTAATTGGCCTGCCGTGCAACATGGAGCATGCGGGCTAACGGTGTAGTATTATGCCTAGCTGATCACTCATGGTAGCAGCCCAGCCCAAAGTTGCGCGCTTATTTCTTAAGCACTCCATGGCCTATTACCAAGTACCTAGATATGTATGGATGTTGGTAGGCATCCTACCTTGGCCTACATGGTCCAGGAGTTGGTTACGGGGCCCAATGGCTTGCTGAAAGATAATGTAGTACTATAAAGCCACTTTTACATCTGCCATTCGTATTATATTGCATGTTGAGATCTGGTCATTGTTGCAGATGGCCCAATTGATGAACGCATACTTGCAGCATGGACAGTATATTTACAGCATATTTACAGCGCATTGACAAAACCTGGGTGTTTGCAGCGCATTGGCATTCCATTTACGACGCATTGCTAGCATTGTATTATTTACATATTTATTGAAGTACTCTAATTATACTCTTCTGTGTCTTTCTAGTACCTCAATAGTTTGTAAAGGCTGGAAAACCCGTGCCAAAGGACCAGCATTATGCACCTCTGAACCTGGGGCGATCGAATTTATTAGGGGCTCCATTCTCTGCCACGACGTCAGCAACTCGTCCACAAATCAACAAATCACACTGTACCTACTAATGTACCTACCTACCTATGCAGGTACCTTAGTATCTAGTACTTATGTGGCTTAATAGTAGGTACCTTAGTAGTCACTGACCACAGTGACCACAAGTGGCACAGGGAACCACCCACAACACCCAGCCCTTTTACCTTCGCATTGCCATCATGCCTTCTTCCCACACTGCCTTCTTCCCACACTGCCTTCTTCCCACACTGCCTTCTTCCCACACTGCCTTCTTCCCACACTGCCTTCTTCCTCTTCTCTCCGACATCATTTTCAGACTTTGGTCTGGTGTGACGTTGGCCAGCCACTTATTAGAGTCCGGCTTTTGTTGTCCTACACTGTTAATACCTTCTCCCACAAGCAGCTCTCCCGCTGTCGGCCGCCGCTTAGCTACCTCGGTAGGGTACCTTGGTTAGTACGTGCACCTTGGAGTCAGTTCCGGCACCCCCAGCCAGGTAGCCAGGTAGCCAGGTAGCCAGCCAGTCTGCTCACCACCTTATTTCCCATACTCGGGTTTCTTTTCTCTCTCTCTTTCGACATCTCTGTCCCACTATATTCCACTATATTCGCTCTAGCTGGATATGCTGCCTTTTTTTTTTCATGTCCGTCTCGGTTTGGTTGGCAGCCGTACAACGTTGAGTTCGCATTGGCCTCTTTGACAGCAAACACCTCTGCTACGATTTTCCACCACCCTTTACCCGCCACCATCTGCCTCTTCACACTTTCTTTGCCCATACGGCAATGACGTCGAGGTCATGGCCTTTCAAACCAATGTGCTTCGTGGCGGCCAGTGGGTGACTGAGACGGTCAATCTGCAAGACGCCCTCGACGCCTCTGCCTCTGAAAAGCCACGTTCTGAACCCAAGGTCCCAGAGCCACCAACACTAGGCATCCTCACAAAAACTGTTGTAGAGAGTCCGGTCACGAGATGGATTCTCCCGCTGTCCATCCGCTCACCCAAGCAACAGGATCTTGCTTTTGTCGGGGTACGTCACTCCAGCCTGCATTGTGCAAATTGCTCGGTAGCCGTCTAGCACCTGCCCAAATTTACATACTAATTTGGCATTTTTATGACATAGGATCACTTCGTCCAGATAAGTGAGCTCGGCAAGGATGGCCAGATCCACGAAGTCCTCAAAAAGAACGGCTTCGGGCCTAGAATTCGAAATGCCGTTGTTCTAGGTGTAGGTCCCGACTCGGACATAGTCAACGGTGCTTTGGCAGTCCAAGTCAAATCAGAAGACGATAGTTTCCAATCGCGACAGCCCACTGCTGAGCCGCAGCTCTACTCAACACCTCATCGCGGCATCCCTCCCCAGGTACTGGTTCTTATGCTCGAGAATGGTGACGCAGTCTTCCTTTTTCTTCGCAAGCGACCTGACTCGAAACTCGAATTCGTCGTCAGCAAGCACAAACTACCAAGATCAGTTCCATATATCGGCTATCATCTAGCTGTAGACCCATCCTCTCGATACATGGCTGCTTCGACTCCCGAGGGCATTCTGGTTGTCTACGAGCTACAGCCTTGGAAAGACCTCAATTCGCGCTACATTAAAGATGGCACCTTTTCGCCTATCCGCCGAATCCACTTTCGCTCCGTCCAAGGTCTCATACACAACATGGATTTTCTCTTTCCACGACCAGAGGACGATTATCACATAATACTGTTGCTCATCGTCATCCGCAAGGAAAGGCGCAACGCGGAGCCCGTTTCGAGGATGATTACGTATGATTGGGAGCTCGGCGATAACCTAAAGACTGTGTTTGATGAAGAGAAGACCGGAAACCGTTTGCCGGCTGAACACAAGATGCCAATACTATTGATACCCCTCAAATTCAAGACGGCCTTCTTCGCCGTCTCCAAGAACAGTATAGGCGTTGTCAAGCATGCCCTCTCTGGTTCTCCCGAATACGAACGGCTCCGGACCGATATGCCAAAGCAAACCAAATTCCACAATGGCAAGGGCGAACCTTTATGGACTGCGTGGACGCGTCCAGCCCGGTTGCGGACCTGGTTTCAGCGAACCGACATCATTTTTCTTGCGCGCGAGGACGGTGCCTTCATCTTTGTGGATATCGACCAGAAAGAAATGGTACCCTCCGTTATCAATGTCGGCTGCTTAGAAACCAACATCAATACTGCTTTTGCAACATCGTTCGATCTATTTTCTGATGTCTTGATTGTTGGCGGCGACTCGGGCCCAGGAGGGGTCTGGAAGGTAGGCAGTCACACCCCGGTATTATTCATTGGCTCCGTTGACATTGTCTCGAACAGCTGGCGCCCCGGACCGATCTGAACCAAATTAATATAACGCCAAACTGGTCACCTGTTGTTGATGTCGCAACAACCTACGAGCCGGCGATGGCCAAAGATTCTGGAGCACGGCAGAGAAACGGTTACAGCATGATTGCCCGGAAACCTGATAGCATCTTTACAGCATCGGGAAGAGGTTGCAAAGGAAGTATAACGCAATGGCGCTCGGGTATTCAGGCGAAAATCGGACTTGATATTGAATCGGATGAACCAAACAAGCAAGCATGGATTTTTCCCGTTGATGAAAAAGGAGGCTCCTGTCTGTTTGGTATTCTTACCTTACCCCATTCTTCGCGGGTCCTGCAATTTGCCAAAGATTTAAGCCAGGTCCAGGAAGTAGATGCCGAGAACACTTCTCTGGATCTCTCGACCCGTACACTCTTCGCAACCCAACAAGCTGGCAGAAGCATTCTCCAGATCACCGAGGCATTTATATGTATTGCTGGTACTGCCCAAAGGTACGAATCGGTAACACAAGGTCGTGTTGGAAAACTAACCAGTACTAGAACACGAACAGTCCTCGAAGAGTTGCTAGGCGTCCCAAATATCCGGATTGACAAAGCCTACGGTCTCACGAACGCCATTATTTTGTGCGCCCAGAAAAGAGACCAAGCTGAGATCTTCATCGTGAAGCAGCAAGACACTAGTTTCGATCTGGCCAAATCTTGGACGGTGGACGGTGAAGCTACGGCGGTGGTTCTTTTTAATATTCTGGGGGAGCGACTGGCAGGTATTGCATTAATCCTCGAAGGGCAGCCGAGTTTCTCTCTCTACACATTGGATGGCCAGCTAACCGCCACAACACCTCTAAGTACGGACGAGAAGCTTGCCGAGTCTGTGGGCCTTGAAGCTGTAACCAGCATCTGCGCTGTGGATGACGAGTCGGGTGCACCCATACTTGTGCTGGGCACCAGATGTGGCCACTTGATAACAATGCCCGTCTCCAAAGACGCCCGGGAACAGCTCAGCTGGACGACAGAGACCATGGGAATCTCCCCAGTAGAACTGTTTCCTGCACCACAGTCGCTGGAGAACAGACAACTGGCTTTCGCAAGCTGCGATGGCAGCTTAATAATGCTTTCGAATTATTCGGCCCAAGAACGATGCTTTTGTACCAAAAACGTTGTGATACCAACTGATTCAAACGATTTGGCAATGCCCTCACCACCGATACATTCCATCTACAGCCTCGATGAAAATCTCTCCGAGCACGTTGGACATATGTCATTGCTCATGCTGGCGGGATCCAGGGTCTTGATGACAGATATCTGGCCACAGGCTGGGCTTGTACCTCGATCAATGACACTCGAAGGATCACCGTCGAGAGTTATTTACTCGCGAACTTGGAAGTGCCTCATTGTTGCTCTGCTCAAGAATGACCGGCCAACTTTGGAGTTCTTGGACCCCGAAACAGGTGCAATAATCTCTGACCCGTCGGACAAGGAGAAGAACTCGTCAGAATTCATTTCTGGGCTGGGTTACGAGGGTGATCGAATCTACGGGCTACACGAGTGGCTCTATGTGAAAGACGGGCGAACATTTTCCTTTATTCTCGTGACAACGAAGGATGGCCGACTATTAGTTGTATCATTGAAAGAGACGGAAGTGATGATGGAAGACGGTCCTGTGCGTCGTCTTAAATACTGGACGCGATACAAGAAATGGCTGCCCGGGCCTGTGAGCTCTATCGTAGGCGATGCTGATGGGCTGATATTTTGTGTAGATCGCACACTACACTGGGAGGTTCTGGATCTGACGGATAAAAAACTGAAACCGAAGAAGGAATATCAACTGGACTCTCCCGCAGTGCAGCTGAAGATTGTGGATGGCAAAGTTTATGCTTTGACGTTGACAAACTCGCTTGAAATTATCGACCATCGTACGGGCACGGGCATGGCCTTGGTTCACACAGATCAGGTCGCGAGGCGGACGATCCACATGCTGGACATTGGCAACAACGTTGACGGCTCCGAAGCCGGTCCCATCACACTTGTGGCGGATTACAAGAATGGATTCGCGGGTGTATGGGTTCCCAAGGGACAAGACAACCAGGAATTGCAGGCCGTGTTCGAAGGCCTCCTTCCGAGCTCTGTGCGTCGCTTTGTCAGAACATGGAGCCGGCCGGCTTGGGTGGCTACGAACCGAAGCCTGCGTTACGGGGCGCTGCGCAGCAGCACCGACGGAGCAGAGTTATTGGGCGTTGGGTTGGACGGCGCACTGTACCAGTTTACATTGATTGAGGTAGAACTTTGGAGGCTTCTGTGTCTGATCCAGACACTGGCACACCGCAGCCCGCTATTGTATCCGCTCTACAACCCAGCGATCAGCAGCGACTCTGGTGACGACGATGCAGAGTTAGAGCCCCAGCTACATCCCAGGCTAATGCATATCGATGGAGACATTCTGGGGAAATGCGTCGAAGGCCGAATACTGGAAGAGATAGTGGGCGACGGAGACGGGCTCGACCTGTTCTGCGAATACCTCGATGGCATCGAGAGCGGGCTATGCACGAGCAGCTTCCGGGACAGCATGGAGGAAGAGTGGCGCAAAACCAGATACTTTGACGTGGCATATGAGATATTGCAATATCTCTTGGCGCCAGTGATATGATGTAAGGTGAGGAACATTGGCTCTGTGGCGTTGGGTTGAGCTGGACCGGGGTGGGTGATTTAAAAATTGCTTGAGGATGTAGCATATTCTACTATTTTGGATGGAATAATGTACACGTGATGGATGAAACGTCGCATGCAGTGCTGGGCGAGGTCATATGTGTGCTGACTGGCCTGTTACATGTTGAGGGCACTGATGACGAAAGTGAGTTGGCTTGTAAAGATTCCTGCGGTGACTGTTAATACAATGATGAGAGAGAGAGAGAGAGAGAGAGAGAGAGCCATAAGAGGTAGAGAGAGGTTTGTCGCCATGGTAGTTCGCGGGCGTGGAAGACGTTGCACGAGGCTGCCATTGGTACCTGGCGGTGATGGTTGTTTGGTGGTGTATCATTGGATCATAATTATTAATATTATTAATATACGCTAATTGAACTCTGTGGTCCTTCTAGTACCTCAATAAATTGGATCATAATTAGAGATTCGACTTGGTCTGGTACAGACATTGGCAGTGACGGCAGCGGGGGGCAGCAAGCCCCGCCGTCCACTGCCCCGCGACAGGTTGCGCCTGCCTGCCTACCTACCTACCTATGTATCTACCTAGGTACCTACCTACCTACAGGTAGGTATGTGCCTTACTTGGCCAAATCTAGGTGTTGCACAGCTGCTCTGACATGTAGGCTGGAAGCCTGCAATATGGCAAAGTCAGCCACCTAGCAACCTCAACCCCACCCACACATCGGCATGCCCTTCTGGCCGGGCAATTCGGAGGCGAAAAAAAAGGACCAGGCCATTTTGGCATCCCGCCCAGGGCTTGCTTGCGCTTCACAAAACTCCCCTTGCTTTCTCCCCCCTCCATCCTCGAGAGCCCCCGCAACATCGCCGAATCGCGGGAGGAACAAAATTCGTGTAAGAAAAAAAAGGCCACCGCCTGCAATATCGAGAACGGCACTTCCTTCTTTCGCACATCGATCCAATATGGCTCCCAAGAAGGGAAACAAGAAGGGCCAGGACGACTGGGAGGCCGACCTGGGCGAGAGCATCGCCCCGCAGGGAGCGAATGAACAGCCCAACGCCGACGATGCCAATGCCAACGGCGATGACGAAGTCGATTCCGCGGGCCGCGGCGGCTTGATGGCCCAGCTGCGCAAGAACAAGGAAAAGCGCAAGAAGAAGGCCGGCCAGGACGGCGAAGACGCCCCGCCAACCGACGATGCCAAAAAAGCCCCCGAAGAGGCTGTCATGGACGATGAGTTTGCTCTTCCTATCAAGAAGGGCAAGGGTGGCAAGACCAAGCCGGAGCACGCCAAGCCCGCTGCTGCTGCTGCTACCGGCGCGGACGACGACGGCGAAGATGGCGGCCGCATCATGACCAAGGCAGAGAAGGAAAAGCTCAAGAAGGAGCGCGAAAAGCAAAGAAAAAAGGAGCAGGCTTCCAAGAAGAAGACCACCGCTCCCGCAATGGCCGAGACTGCAAAGCCCGCAGCCAAGGAGACGGCTGCTGCCGCCCCCGAGGCTCCTACGCCAGCCCCCGCCGCCGAGACGGGCGGCAAGAAGAAGAAGCTCCCTGCCCACATTGCCAGGATTCAGCAGCAACAAGAAGAGCTTCGACGCCAAAAGGAGGACGAGGAACGCCTCATCGCTGAGCTCGCAGCCAAGGAAGCTGAGGCAGAGCGTCTCGCCGAGGAGGACGAGAAGCGCAAAGAAGAGGCCAAGGCCTTAAAGAAGCAAAAAGAAAAGGAGCGTATCGAGCAGCTCAAGAAAGAGGGAAAGTTCATGACCAAGGCTCAGAAGGAGGAGAAGGCCCGAAACGAGCGCAAGCTCCAGCAGATGCTGGCCGCCGGTATCAAGGTTGGTCCCGCGGACGAAGTGTCCGCCCCTAAGAAGAAGGCCGCACCCGAGAAGAAGCGCAAAGGTAAGATGGAGCAAAAGGCCGAGGAAGAGGCTGCGCTGGCAGCCGCTGCTGAGCGAGCTAGGATACAGGCTGAGGAGGCTCTGAAAAAGGCCGAAGAGAAAAAGAAGGCCAAGGAGAAGGAAGAGGCCGCCAAGAAGGCCGCCGAAGGCAGTGACGTCGACGAGGACTGGGAAGCAGCTGCCGGTGATGACGACGATGTCAAGGACAGCTGGGATGCTGACAGCGACGAGGAAGCCGAGAAGAAGGCTGCCGCCAAAGCAGCGCTGGCATCGCAACGCAAGAAGGCCGCCGAGGAAGAAGACTCCGAAGAGGACTCCGACGAAGACTCTGACGACAGCGACTCTGACGAGGACGTCTCCAGAGCGAAAGCTGCCGAGGCTCAGCGCAAAAAGGAAGCCGCCGCGCGCCGTGCCGCCGCTCACAAGGCGGCCATGGACGCTCGCTCCAAAGATAACCTTCGTTCCCCCATTTGCTGTATTCTGGGCCACGTCGATACTGGCAAAACGAAGCTTCTAGACAAGATCAGACAAACCAACGTCCAAGAGGGCGAAGCTGGTGGTATTACCCAGCAAATCGGTGCCACATATTTCCCCCTCGATGCCATCAAGCAAAAGACCCAAGTCATCAACAAGGACGGTTCTTTCGAATTCAAAGTCCCCGGTCTCCTCGTCATCGACACGCCGGGTCACGAGTCCTTTTCTAACCTCCGATCCCGCGGCTCATCGCTCTGCAATATTGCCATTTTGGTCGTCGATATTATGCACGGTCTTGAACCCCAGACCCTTGAGTCGATGCGTCTGCTCCGCGAGCGCAAGACGCCCTTTATTGTCGCCCTGAACAAGATTGACAGACTTTTTGGCTGGAAAAAGATTGACAACAACGGCTTCCAGGAGAGTCTGGCGCTCCAGAACAAGGCCGTCCACAACGAGTTTGAGAAGCGTCTCTCCGAGACCAAACTCGCCTTTGCTGAGCAGGGCTTTAACGCTGAGCTCTACTACGAGAACCCTTCCATGTCCAAAAACGTCTCGCTAGTGCCCACTTCGGCGCACACTGGCGAGGGTATTCCCGACATGCTCAAGCTCATCATCCAGCTTACGCAGGAGCGCATGACCAATGCTCTCATGTATTTGTCCGAGGTCCAGGCCACTGTTCTCGAAGTCAAGGCTATTGAGGGTTTCGGCATGACCATCGACGTCATCCTTTCCAACGGTATTCTGAAGGAAGGAGACCGCATCGTGGTATGCGGTACAGAAGGTGCGATCAAGACAAATATTAGAGCGCTGCTCACGCCAGCCCCTTTGAGGGAATTGCGTCTCAAGTCTCAATATGTGCACAACAAGGAAGTCAAAGCCGCGCTTGGTATCAAGATCAGCGCGCCTGGGCTGGAGGGTGCCATTGCTGGTTCCCGCCTGATGGTTGTCGGCCCTGACGACGACGAAGACGACATCGAGGACGAAGTGTTGTCCGATCTTGACAATCTACTGAGCCGTGTCGAAAAGTCTGGTCGTGGTGTCAGTGTGCAGGCATCCACCCTGGGCTCCCTGGAAGCTCTGCTCGACTTCCTTAAGGACTGCAAAATCCCCGTAGCCAACGTGGGCATCGGCCCCGTGTTCAAGCGCGACGTTATGCAGTGCGGCATCATGCTGGAGAAGGCGCCGGACCTGGCCATTATGATGTGCTTCGACGTCAAGGTGGACAAGGAGGCACAACTGTACGCAGAGGAGCAGGGGATCCGCATCTTCACCGCCGACATCATCTACCACCTCTTTGACGCCTTCAATGCGCACATGAAGGAGATGCTCGACAAGAAGCGCGAGGAATCGAAGCTCCTCGCCGTCTTCCCCTGTGTGCTCAAGACCGTCGCCATCTTCAACAAAACGGGTCCTATTATCATTGGCGTCGACGTCGTCGACGGCCAGCTCAAGATCAACACGCCCATTGCCGTCGTCAAGAACAACCCCGTCACCAATGTGAAGGAGATTATCAAGCTCGGCCGCGTCACGTCGATTGAGCGCGAGCACAAGCAGATTCCCGTTTGCAAAAAGGGCCAGCCTTCGGTCGCCATCAAGATTGAAATGGGCGGCGCCCAGCCCACGTACGGCCGCCAGCTCGAGGAGTCGGACCAGCTTTACAGCCAAATCTCCCGCGCCAGCATCAACTGCCTCAAGGAGTTTTACCGCGAGGAGGTGACAAACCCCGAATGGAACCTTATTGTCAAGCTCAAGCCCCTACTAGACATCCAGTAAAGAGGAAACAAGGTCGGGGATGATGGTGAGCGGCGGGGAAGGAGCATTCCTGTCGAAAAAGCACTTGCATCAGTATGACTGTTAATGATGGGAGGGCAAAAAGTAACGTCTTTGTTTTCTTGCGTAGACGGGGACTGCGAGTTTGCAAAAAAGAAGAAGATGGCAGTGGGCATTTCTAAAAGCAAGAGGAGAAACTGAAACCGAAAATGTTTCCTGACTTATATTCACCTTTTATTTATCGTGTCTTTATTTCCTCCCTACCCTTTGTCTACTTAACAATGAAATGTCGAAAAAAAAACCGAAAAAAACAAAAACAAAAAAAACAAAACATACAAAAACAACCGAGATGATAGGGAATCATTTCCGTACTTTCTTAAACAGTCGAATTTATTTTTCAAATACTATCTTCACCTTGATGTTTGTCTTTGTGTTACCACGTGATAGACTTTTGAGAACGACTTGACCAAGTGTGTGGTCGTCTGTCTCTCCGTACTTTGCTGGGATTTTTCTGTCCACGGGAGGGTCGGTACGTAAGGTCTAGCTAGGCTTGGCACTTGGATATAGCGTCTCTCTGTCTTGGTCAAGGACGCATTCTATACATCGATTTTATTGTGTCATTTCTAAAACATTATAACAAATCAAGAAAAGACTAACCCATTTTCCTCATGCCTTCTTTTGTTTATATTGCGTCCCAATGAAAAGAGATTTCCTAAATCAAAGTCTCTGTCTGCTTTCCTCTTCTTTGTGTAGAACATCATAAAACATGTCATTTCAAAACAAAAGAATATCAACGTTCCCCGTTACTTATTGAATTTATTTGGGGTCGGCGGCGTCATCGGGTGTGGCGCCATCGGCATCCTTCATCTCGGCGTCGGCGCCGCCCTCGGTGGCCTTCTCAGCCTCAGCAGCTTTGCGAGCCTCTTCCTCAGCGGCTCTTTTGGCCGCCTGCTCGGCATCGACACGCTCTTGGACAGCCTGACGCTCAGCCTCGACTTTCTCAAAGTGGCGCTGGACGACGGGACCGGCCAAGGCGCGGATCTCGTCAATCTTGGCGACGTAGACGCCCTTTGACGCGTCCTCGCCGTCGGCGTAGAGCCAATCCTGCAGATTGAGTTAGCATTTGGGGTTCTGTTGTAATGTAGCGAAAAAGGGGTATACCTCGGAGGCCTCAAGCTTGGCGCGGATCTTCTCCTTATCCTCATCGCTGGCGAGGTCAGCATACTGCTCCTCCAGCTTGGCGCGGAGGTCGTAAATGTAAGCCTCGAGCTCGTTCTTCTTCTCATCAGTGTCGGCAACGAGCTTGTCCTCCATGACCATGGCGGCTTCCCTTTCGGCCAGGGCGGCGCGGGCGGCATCGTCGAGAGACGAGGTGCCGCTGGATATAGGGAGGTCGCCGGCACGGATTTGCTTCTTGACCTTGCGGGTTTTCTTGGGACCGTCGTCCTTCTTGTCAGTGTCCATGGCCTTGAGGCGCGTTAGTCTATTGCACAAAAAAGAAGAGGTAGAAATTTTACTCGCCTCGGGGTCACCCTCCTCCTTGACCTCCTCGTCAACTTCCTGCTCGACAACGTGGTAGCCAGTCTCAACGTTGAGGATACCGTGGATGTTGACACGGGCCTTGAGGCGGCAGACCATAAAGTCGTCAGTCTCGGTGGGCTTGACACCCTTGACGGAGAAGCGGCCGATCCACGGGTTCTGCTTGCCGGGGAGGTCTTCGGGCTTGGCATAGCGAGCCTCGAGGTCATAGGGTTGCTTGCGATAGAAGGTGAGAATCTTGGTTGAGGGGAGAACGCCGCCCTTGTTAAAGACGGTGAGGCTCGTATCCTCATCAGGGATGTCGGCAGCCTTCTCCCAGGTAAACTCGATGGGATAGCTGACAATATCCTGGACGGCGAAATCGCGGACGCGGAAGACGGGGGATAGAATAGCACAGCTGAAAGCACAGCCACGAGCAATGGCCTCGTCGGCATTCATGGTGAAGGAGAGGGGTTTGCCGAAGAAGGACTGGAGGCGCTCCTTGAGAGCAGGGACGCGGGAGCCAGCGCCGACAACCTCGATAATGTCAATGTCGTCCTTAGTGAGCTTGGCCTGGGCGAGTGCGGACTCGAGAGGCTCAAAAGTGCGGCTGAGGAGGGGCTGGATCATCTCCTCAAAGTCCTGGCGGGTGACATTGGTGGAAACGTCAATATCATTCATGAGAGACTCAATGTTGACAGGAGACTGCTGGTTGGCGGAGAGGACCTTTTTGCACTTTTCAGCGGCGGCAATGGTGCGGGCCATGGCTCGACCGTGAGTGTAGATATCTGCGTTGTACTTGGTCTTGAACTCCTTGGCGAGGTAGTCGACGAGAGCTTTATCAAAGTCACGGCCACCAAAGTTGCGGTCCCAGGCGGTGGCCTTGACGGCAAGCTCACCCTTGCGGAACTCGATAATGGAGCAGGTGTAGTTGGAGTGGCCAATGTCGACGAAGAAGACGCGCTTGGGGGGCTCGTCCGGGCCGGGGAGGTCGAGCTTGGTGATACCCCAACCAAGGGCGGCGGCGGTGTTGTCGTTAATGAGGCGGAGGAGCTTGAGGCCGGCGAGCTCGGAAGCGTCGAGGAGGGCGCGGCGCTGGGCGTCGGTGAACCAAGGAGGAACGCTCATGCAGAGGTCGGAGACAGGGAGCTTAAGCTCGGCGGCCGCAGTCTGCTTGATCTTGCTGAGGTACATGCCGACAAGCTGGGTGGCAGTAAACCTTTCCTTCTTGCCAAGGTAGCTGACCTCGGCGCCGACCTGGCCATTGATGTCGACGAGGGGAGCAGTGATGAACTGCTGCTCAATCTGGACATCGGGGTCGTTGAAGGCGCGGCCGGCAAGGCGCTTGAGGCAGTTGACGGTGTTTTTGAGGTTGGAGATCTCCTGCGTCTTGGCCGTCTCGCCGAGGTAGCGGGATTTGGGACCGAATCCGACGAGAGAACTTGAAGAGGGAGGGGTTCGTTAGCGAAGGGAGCGGTTTGGGGGAACATTTTGTAGGGATCTGGGGGAGGGGCGTACGGGGTAGCACGGTTGGAGACTTCGTTGGTAACCTGTATGGGCAAACAGTGGTTAGCAGGAGGATGTGATGCGTGGCCCGGGGGGGCGGAAGCTGGGTTAGGTTGGGCAAACAAACCACATCGACACCGCGATTTCTGGCGACGGCAATGACCGTCTTGAGGGTACCGAAATCGACACCTACAGAAGAAGAGGAAGGGCAGGGTTAGCGACATGTATGCGACAGAGAAAGGGACGGGGTGGTGGAAAGCAGAGGCTCGCAATTCCAACGTTGTTTGTCATGCATGTGTGCGCCTGGGGCAAAGCGGTGGGGGAAGAGACTTACCGACGACACTCATGGCTGCTGTGGGATAAATGTAGATGTGTAAAGAAAATAGAGGGTTAAAAAGCGATCTTCCCCAGTCAGCCGCGATGTAATGCACGAAATCAGGACGCTGAAGTCTATTCGGGAGGGTGGTCTGGGAGTTTGTTGGAGGTTGGAGGTTGGAGGTTGGAGGTTCGAGGTGGGAGGGAGGGGGGGTTGATTTGGCGGCGGGAAGAAAGGTTTGGTTCGCAAGGCGGGGCAGGGCCGGTTGATGGGCGGCGGGTGACGCAGGACAACGAAAACGTTGTTAGGAGTAAGACGTTGAAAAGGGTTCTTTGTTGTGTTTTGTTTCTGTTTTGTTGGGTAAAGTGGGAATATTTATAGAAGAGTACGGAGAAAAGTATTGGAAAAGGACAAGGTAGAGTTGTACAGTTTTGAAAGGAGTGAAGCTGACGTGACTGACGGTTGCTAGGTAAGTACAGCTGCTACAGTGACTGAGTTGGCATATGGCATACTGGTAGCCACCGCAGCACAGCGACCGGCCAATTATTTCCGTTTCTTTTAGGCGCTCGCTTTAGGCTGGGCAGGGGCTTTGTTCCTGAGTGGCGGGCGGTTTACAGCAGCAGAAAAATAAAAATTTACAATCGCTAACCAAAAAATAAAAAAAAAAGATACATCTTCCTCTAGCGCGGGGCTCTCCCTGCTGCGTAGCTTCGACACTCTATTCCGCCCACATGGTACACGATTTCGGCTGCCCCGCCATCCCAGCCACATGTACACGAATCCTCGGGCTCTCCCGCCAAGCCGGGAGCAGCATCTACTAGAAGCTCGAAGAATTTTCCAGAGTTGTCTTTGGCCATCCAACGTAACGATACGATAGTGTATGTAGACTGCAGCACCCTTGCGGGCAGAACCACTACCAGAACCAGTATCCGTACCTAGGTACCTACCTAGCTAGGTCCATGTAACTTGAAGTCATATTAGGTACAAGCATCATGACAACTCGACTGCCTGCTTGCCTGCCAACGTCGCCCACCCAATTTGGTCGGCACACCGTCGACGACCACAATCAACATATCCCGTATCACATCCCATGCTTATTCCATCCCCTCAACCCTAACTAATAAATCTCATTAGTTACCCACTCCTCTGCAACTGCCAACTGCATAATTTGTACCTCCCCCCCATTATGTCTCTCCTCTCCCCACCTAGCTATCCTCACTTATACCCGACTGACCTATAATCTGTTTGCCAAGACAACGCCTTCTAATATCACCAAACACCATCTCGACAGATGACTTCAAAATTTATTATCGAATATTTTTGCGACTAAATTTTCTTGTATATGCCCGGCAAGCATTCTTCACCTTGACTACTTGGATGGCCCAGCCCCAGCCCCAATACCATTGCCTCCCCCGCCAGGAATCTCACCGTCGTTGCCGAGCCTCGCTCCTCTTGCCCGCTGCGCTGCCATGTACTTTCTCTTATCCTCGTCGCTCATAAAACTCTCCATAAACCGACTCTGGAGCACCCTAGTGCCCCCCTGCGACGCCTCACCCTCAGACGAGACGCTCTCTACAGAATCATGAGGCCCATGCCTTGCCCACTGCGGCAACATCGATTCTCCTCCAACCACCGTGGAATCATCCACATGTTCATATATTCCTTCTTTTGTCCGCTGTCTGGCAGAGAAGATACCATCCACCTTGTCTGGGGGTCGAACAGTACTCCTAGTCCTTCCCAGCCCTTGCTGTTGGCTCCCTGAAGCTCCAGGAGATTGGAGCAGCCTCGCCTCTCTCGCCGGGATAAATGTTTCCGGAACGACATTCAGCTCATCTCCCTGCTCCTCGGCCTTCTCCACTGCTTCTCGAGCTGTCGTCGTCGTGTCTGCCGCCGCCGCATCCGCTCTCGGCCCGCCCCACGTCCTCTGTCCAGCTGTAAAAATCCCATATACAATGTAGTACCAGTTGAAGAATGGGTTCAAAATGAACATGAGAGGATACAAACAGGCTTTGAATCGCCGAAGTTTGAGACCAAAGTAGAGCATCAGTGCCCAATTCAGACCCAGGGATACCCCAATGAAACCCACCGGAAGGTTGTTAATCGACGCCGATGTAGACAATAACGCAATAACCATGATGAAAAAGAGCAACGACGTCGTCCGGATCGTGTTTTGCATGAACCGAACTAGAACCAGAATAGGATATCGCTTCCACAATCTCCAATCCGTCAACATGCATACCTCGTTCGTGATAAACCCCAAGAACCATCGACGCCGCTGCTTAACAAGTGATCGATAGGTCTGCACGGCTTCCGTTTTGCAAAATGCAGAGGTGCACATTTGAATCTGGTACTTCTTTTTTGCTCCAATCATGAACAAATGCGTCAGCCATCTGTCTTCGCCCAAGTGACACTTGGCAAAGTCAAACAGGTCCTCACACTGCTCTGCCTTATCGGCAAAGTAGTACTTTGCCATGCGTCGGAATGCTGACAGCCGAAGCATTGTCAACGCCCCAGGGAGGCATGTTACCGAGCCACATCCCGATTCCACTGTGCGCTCGAATAATTGGCCATGGATGTACTCGATATCTTGTAGCAAGGTAATAATGCTGTGCTTCTTTGTTGTCGACGTGATGACGCCAGTCATCGCCAGCATGTCCTTTGTGTTGCCCGGGCTGAGCTCCATGTCGTAGACAAAGTTCTGCAGGCACACCCGGTCCAATATGCAGTCCGAGTCAATGAAAAGAATAAACAAGTTATCATTGCGCTTCAAGTAACGCTGGTAAACTTTGTCAATGAGCCGAAATGTCATCTTCTGGCAATGTCGTTTGCCACCGTGGGGGAACCGGGAGACCGTCACCCTCGACGACTTGTACATGACATCAATACTGCGCGGGTATGATCCCATTGCTTCCGGCACTCCTAGATTTGCAATGGTCTTCAAGTAAAGCTCGTCTTGCTGATCACCGTCAAATGACAAGAATACGTGGATGCAGGCGGCTGGGTAGTCGCAGTCCACCACCGAGTCGATTGCGGTGACGAGCACATCGGGATCTTCCCGGTAGCAAGGCATGACAATTACCACTTTTGGTGCCGTTACATCGTCTAGCAGTAGTTTGATTCGCTTCGTTCGGCCGAGTTGGTTCGTCACGAGTTGGTAGATGCAAAAGAGCCATGGCACCGTCAACAGCACAGAAAAGCTCCAAAATGCAAAGGCCTGCAGAGCCATAGCCGCCGTTTCCGGCCAATATCGGGTGATTTGCTGTGGCAACGGAAGTGTCACGATCATGACGGGCAAAAACACAAGTCTGCGAGCTGTTAGCAATCACGGCAAACAGTACCAAGCGGTGCCAAGGATACCTCATAAGCACAAACGCCACTCCCACAATAACGCAGAGCACATTGATAGACCAATGCTCGGCTTTTTTGAACGCCTTGATGATGCAATAAAGAAATGCAGCCAGCCAAAGAAACCATTCCAGCAACGCCATCAACATGATCACGCCAACCACCGACGTATACACAATCTAGGCGCACCGATTAGTATTGCATAACAGTAGCAGAACCTATCTTCTTGGCGGCACAATCAAAACCAAGTCTGCTTACGTCTTTGATGGGCCATGCCGCCGATGTTGAAGCCATAGCGAAAGTTGGGCGCAAAGGCGAGCGGTTTGCTGGCCTTGATCTACCTCGTCGGCCTCCTTGCAGCCGCCATTGATCGATTCCAGTTGAGAAAGGGGAAAAAGGAAAGGAATTTCAAGGCATCCTTGAGATGGAAGCCCGACCTTGGTGGCACCACCGCCTTATGCAGGCGGCCTTGTGCCACTTTTTGCTTTGTGCTTTTACGAAGGGCAGGGGCCACCTGCCGTGTTTGCTGTTACTATTTTAGCCATCTCGGGTTTCACAGCTTCGGAAAAGGACATAGCCCTTTGTTTACACGTGCCGAGACCACACAAATGACATGATTTAATCTCTCATACGTAACACGGCTTGATGAAGATCTCCTTTCTAGATAGTTACGTGACAGGCATATTCTGCAACAAAAAAGCTAAGGTACGAATAGCTATGCACTGTCTCACTGCGACTCCACAAAGGATTGATTGGTGTCGGTACTCGGGAAGCGAGCTATGCACGAGCCAACTGTACCTTTGGGGTGGGCTGGGGTATGATGCCTGCTCTACGCCTGCAATCTCGCCGTCACAGAGTTATTGAGCACTCCCGTGTCGGATAGGCAATCATAATGATGCTTTCGTGGCAAGCCTGGCAGCCGTGACTCCCATGCAGGTTCGACTGCTGGCGATGAGCGTCTGTGGTTTGCTATGGCGACTCTTGTGAACCTGACATTGCTGCGTCTGATTTGATCATCTGTAGCTTCTTGGTAGGGTGGTAAGCTTTTGATTTGCTCCGCGATCGGTCTTGGTTCTACCAGTCCACATCGCTTAGCTGCAATTTTCGGACTCTCTGGCCTCGGTCTTTGCCAGAGCGCTCGACTCGATTGTGGTGAAATGTCGTTTGCTTCTCGTCACCTGGACATTTGTGAGTCTTTGCCCCAGTAAAGTAGTAGTTGGACGTTGGTATCGACTTACTGTCGGGGTCATCGCTTTGCTGCAAATCATAGTTTAGGACCAAACTTTTGATGCGTTGCTGTTCTTCCCGCTCGGCTTGCTGCGACGACTTCATGGCAATAGCAAATGCAGAATTGGACGGCAATTCAACCGTACGCGTCTACAAGTCGTTAGCACGGATAGTTATGCAGGGACCTCACATGTACCCACTTGTTGGCGGTTGCCCTTCTTCGTCAGCAGAGAAAAGGCCATCTTGTTTGCTGGCGCAGCTGAGCTTTCTGGAAGTGTCTGTGCTTCCCCAGCACTGAGCTCTCGAGCCTTCGGACGAACAGGGAGAGGGACATCAAACTGTTGCTTGCGCTCAAATTTTCGCGATTCAAGGCTCTCGGCCATCATCTTAGCATATTCTCGCTCAAAGTCAGCCTGGTCCTCCGGATCGATGGCTTCTTCTTGTCTCGTGACAACAATGGCCTCATCGTAATCTTCACTCTCTGCATCCGAGTCTTCGGCAAGATCGTGAACGTCTTCCTCCTCCTCGGAAAGGCTGTCCTCATCATCATCGGCATCTGCATCAGCCTCGATCTCGTCTATATCGCCATGCTCATCATCGGACGAAGCGCCACTAGTCGCGTCGTCTGCATCTGCGTCGGCATCATTTGTCTTGTCTCCGCCGTTGGACTTCTGATCCAGGGCCACAGCGTCTTGGAAGGCTTTTGTTGCTTCCTCCAAATCGGCAGCAAACTTCCATTGAGGGCGAGTCAGGCCAAACGTGTCTTGCACGATGAAATCTATGTCCATCGGCAGTGCAACCTTTGTGTAGACATAATACTGAAAAAAGGAAAGAAAGTAGTCCAACTTTTTGCCTGCAGCGCCACGATTGAAGAATACGCCGCACGTCTCCAGCATAGTTGAAACAAGTCGTATGCGGAAGAAGTCATCCGGTGGATCAAAGGAATTGAGTCGGCCAGGTACAGGAGCACCGCCATATCCGAAGGTAAGAATCTTGTACATGGCATCGAATATGACGGGGTGTTCCAACATGCGATAATTGTAGAGCTCACTCAGGTACTTGACTTCGGCCACCCGACGCTGAAACGTCCTGAAGTCATTTTGCTCGAGACCAAAACTAATGGACTCAACAACGTTGTCAATGACCTTGACAACAAACGCAGGGTGATAGCGATAGAGCGCGCTGAGTAGTATCGCGAGTAAATGTACGTTGCCGTACTTAACTTTGCCAGGCTTGGAAAATACCTTCTCGAGCATGGCAACAACCTATGGATTATTGGTTAACATGTTTCAGATTATTAGATATCGCACAGCTTACGTCGATTTCCTCCCAATGTAGGCGCCTAATTTGCTTCAGAATCTTGCTATAATTTCGCTTAGTCATGTCATTATAGACGAGCTTCCGGATGAATAAATCCATTGGGGTTCGTTCTTTCTGTTCAATAGCAGGACGCTCGGGTGGATCGACATAATAAACAGCGTTATCAATCAGCATTCGTTCCGGCTGACCGATGTGCTGCACCGACTTCTTGCGCTGAAGCGTTTCCAAGAAAGACACCATTCGCGGAGCCGTACCCGGTGTCTTGAGCAGGTATCGACCGCAGTTCTCCAGGAGATTGCAGAGAATCTCGATGTTCATTCGCGAAAAGTCGTCTAGACTAACTTTGAGGCAGTGGAAGACGACATGCTCGGGCACCACACCAAATTTGGTGAGCTCGGCGAGATAGCGTATGTTACCAAGCCGGACCTGACCGAGAAAATCTTTTTCCTTTCTGCGCTGTAAGCTGCGGAACTCGGCGTCCAAATAGTCAACAAGGCCCTTGGGAATATCCGTCATGTAGCGACCCAGCGTAGCCACAAGACGGGACCAGGATGGAAGCAGGTCTCCTCTGCCCTTGGGAACTTCAGTGAGCGCCTTGACGAGTCGATTGCGAGAGGCCTTAGAGTTGAGATAGCAAAAGTCGATTGCCATTTGATCAATGGTCTCTTTACTTGTAAGGTCTGGCAGTCGTGCGAGTAGCGCGTCAACTTGGGCACCAGTCGTCTTGTTTGCAATGGCCATGGATTGATCCTCAGCCAAATCTGCAGCAGCCACAGACTCAGATTCATCCACTTTCTTACCAACTTGATCTTCGCTGTCTGCCTTTTTCTTTTTGCCATCCTCTAGCAACATGGACGGAACTTTGCCTTTCAAGTCGACCAAATTTTCGTAGAAGCGTCTCTCTTCATCATCGTCCCAGATACCAGATCCATCGGCAGAAGAGCGCAGATACTCCCCTGTCTTGACAAGGCCGATTCCAGCACCAGAGGCGTTGAGCGAGTCGTCGGAATCTTTCAAATCGGGTATCTCGGCCCCAATGGCATCAGCGATGACTTGGGCATTTGAGACAAGGCGATCTTGGGCCTTGACTTGCTTTTCGTAATTTGCTTGCCGGTCTTCGAAGACCTCGCCACTTTTCACATATGCTTCTGCATTTCGGCGAGCCTGAGAGTGTATAGACTTTTGGTCGCGAATGATGTGGGTTTTGACATCCTCAAAATACTTTTTGAGAATATTCTTGAATTTTTCGGATAGCTCTGGCGATGTAAATGGCTGGTCGGGCCTGTTGTCCTCAGCATCCGTGGCAGGCTGTGCAGGCTCTGCTGCAGCGCCGTCTTCCTCAATCGTTTTCCTACCGTCGGCATGGCTAGGCTTGACACCGAGCACATCCCAGCTGAAGGCTTTGACGAAGATGACGAGCAAAGGAAGGTTGGTATGCTCGCGATCATAGCCAAGCAGATCTTTCAGAACCTCCAGCGGAAATGGGTCGGCAGATGTGCCATTCTTTGTGCTCGTACGGGGTTTTATTTCGGCCACTTTCGAGGCTGAAGCTTTTGTCGTTTCGTCGGGTTTTACCGCATCGTCCAGGGTTCGCAAGACTCCGAGCAACCAAAGCTCGGTAACGACTCGTAGTAGTGCTCTCTGTCTAGTAAGGCGGTCCTTCTCCTCCTTTTCGCGGAGTTCCTGGGATAGAGCCTTGAGCGCGCTCTTTTCAGGCGTGGCCATGCCGCGGCCTAAAAGCCAGCTGAGATGCTCGGTAAATTCGGCAGGACCAAAGCGCTGGTGCAAAGCGCTGGCAATCTCAGTGCCCGCATCGACCTCACCGGGTGTTTTAAGCTTGCAGAGGCCTTCGTAAAAGGCGGATATAATCTCGGAGAGGTACTTGTGCAGGCTGAGGGTGCGGATCTCCTGAAGGAAGGTGCTAAGGGTAGCAGGAGTGATTGCGGTACGGAGTCGCTTGATAAATGCAGTGTTTTTCTTGAGAGACGAGTCCAGGGAGCTGTTGACTTGGAAGAGATTGGTATCGCCGGCCCATGCTCGCTCGTTTGTAGCGCGCAGTTCGCCTGCGTGAGAGTTAGATACGACAGAGCTTTGGAGGTGTGAATAAGGGCAAAGGAAACACACGCTTCCTTGCGCGATCCATTTGGAAGCGCGACTTGTATCAGTAGGTAGTATTTAAAGCAAGGTGGTGAGTGGCTACATCCGGGCGCTGGATACGCTAAGGGATGAGCTGCGCCGACAAAGGGTGCAGCGACCGGGCAAGAATCGTCGGCATCGGTGCGTGCAAAAGAGCGAGGCTGGACAGCAGCCAGCAGAAGCGCAATGACGGGCGAGATGTTGCGATGTCTGGATATCCGTGGTGAAGAGGGCGTTTACTATATTGGTATGTACGAGACCATGACTACGATGGCGTAGATGGGAGATTTCGAGTGGGTTTTTTTCTGGAGGGGAGACTCCCGTGTTGGTTTAGCGTATGTAGTTAGCGAGTTTGCGGCGGCAGCGGAAAAGCTTGATATATAAGAGCACAAGGAAGGGGCTCGTTTCTAGGTACTTAGGAGGTACCTGCCTAGGTAGTTGTTTAATAGGCCACTAGATAGGTCTCCTATAATATCTATTTAATTTTCCCCTATTAAAACACTATTAAGTATCTAATATAACTTAAAAAACACATTAAATTTTTTTAACACATAATAGAGATAGTCTAACAGTATTATGATAGGGGAAAATTATATATTAAATACTTAGTAGGAGGCTTGTATACTCGCGTAAGTACTAGTCAATTAATCGACTAATAACAAGAGGGCTAGTGAGAGTATATATTTATAACTCTATTGCTATCCCTCTTCTAAGTCTAGGTATTGATTGATTGATTATGCCCTGGCCGCCTCTCGCTAGGTACCTACCTAGGTACTTCTCTCGCCGCCACTCTCGCCGCCTCGTGAGCTGGTCTGCCCCTTTGCCTGCCTAGATCTACATTTTTTTCTGACACGTGGTAATTCTGACATGACTCTATTTTAACTTGGAATCTACTTATGTCATGACGCCCTAAGCCATAGGCATGATTTTCTTTTCCACATGTGGACCAGCCCTTGTCAGAAAACACATGTACAGCGCAGCTAGCGTGGACAACGCCTGTGGACGAAACGACGCTCATGTCAAAACAAATCGTAACGCGGCTTTCCCTTAAAACTCCATACTTTCTTTCTAATTTTCTCGAGTTTTATATGTCTACATACCAGTATGTACGGGTGCAGGCAACGCGTCTCTATATAAGTGGTACATATCAATCCCAAGTTTGATTGATCAATGAGGAGGAACCGGATCAATATTAGCCCGGCCACGTCTCGAATTGTACTTCCTGCTCGCACCGAAACCGGCAACTTTTTCCCTCGTCGGCAGCAGAGCCGCAACTAACGGCAACTACGGTGCCCGCTACTAACTTGTCATTGAGCCGTCCGAGACACCAAGTCTTTGGAATTGACCAAGATCCCCAACCTAGCTAGAGTATTGGTGAAGTGAGGGTTCTATCTCAAATCCTTCCGCCCTCTTGACTTGCTGCATCGGTTGGTCGCACGCACTTGCGCTCCGGAGATGCACCCCGGAGATGCACAATCCACACTGCCCGACCGCGATAAGAGAGGGAGAGACGAAACACACCCGGCCGAATTGTTCCTTGAACCAACTTTTCTTGGGCCCTGTTTCGCTGTAGGTGCACTACTGATTCCTTGAGACAATTGGTAGTCGGTAAATGCTAGACGCAACCCTTCTGTCGCCAGCTCCGAGACCTCCGTTACTGCGTGGATGCCGTCTTTTCGGAGAATAAACCATTATACTTTGCTTGTCTGCTCTTTTTACGCAGCTAATAATGAGCAATAACGTCAGCCTTCGATTCCTACAGTGTACCCGCACCCAGTTGCTGTGGCGGAGAGGGCAAGTGTCCAGGCCTCTTGGACGAGATGCAGGCTTCCGTCACAACTCCGGCCAGATAAGTGAGCGCATTGTAATAGGGGGTCTACGCAAGCGATAACATGATCGCTAAGCGCAGACCCATCGCATGCCAGAGAAAGGGCGGTGTTATCTAGTGTGGTCTGAAAACTAAGGTTATCGCAGATAGCCGTTAGAGTGAGTTCATGGGCGAGCGCCACAAAGATACCGCGACCAGTGGCACTTCCCATCAACCACCAATCGTTGGCTTGGTAAAACAAACAACAATCCTCCGCGGAGAACCCCAGAACTCTAGACCACAGAATTATATACGCCAGACTCCGCCGCTTTGCGATATAGCCTCGCTCTAAGGTATTGGCCCACATGTGGGAGAGTTGCACCATGCCGCGAATTCATATGTATGTCCGCGTTCGCCACTGTTGAATTCCTCTCACATGTACCTTGCGCTGTAGTCGAGCTACTAGTTTGGAGACTCGGCGTCGCTGGTGCTTGTAACTACTATCCCCAAGTTGACGTTCCGCACAATTGACCATACCCGTTCGGCAAAAAATATTACGCCTCACACCAGATATTCTTTTTGTTGATTTTCTAGGATACTTCACAATATCCTCTAATATCTACTATTCCATTGCATACATATGGCAGCTAGAATGGCCGCCCAAAGCCAAATTGGGACAACTCATACCACCAACACCTTTCCGCCAAGCCCTCCTCGGACTGTCGGCAATTCTCATGCTGGCAGCGACGACGAGCACGACAATGCTAACGATACACCAAAAACCCCTCCAGTAGAGAGGCTCGGTCAACTCCTGAAACCGTATACTCTCCCGCCGCCAAACACTCCTACACAAGTTCTCCCGGAGGATCTAAAAACACCAGACAACCGTGTCAACCGCGATCCCCGGCTCATCAGGCTCACGGGTGTTCACCCCTTCAACGTTGAGCCCCCTCTGACGGAATTATATGACGAGGGGTTCTTGACCAGCGAGAACCTGCACTACGTTCGCAACCACGGCTTAGTACCCCACTGCCCCGACGATGAATCCCTCAATTGGACCTTTACTGTTGACGGACTGGTAGAAAAGCCCTTCACTATTACTGTCCGCGACCTTATACAGACATATGATCAGTTCACATACCCTGTTACGCTGGTGTGTGCTGGTAACCGTCGAAAGGAACAAAATGTGGTTCGCAAGTCCAAAGGCTTCTCTTGGGGAGCCGCCGGTCTGTCAACAGCTCTATGGACAGGTGTGCCGATTGGGGCGCTCCTGAAGGCGGCCAAACCTAAGAGAGCCGGAAGATATGTATGTTTCGAAGGAGCAGACAAGCTGCCCAACGGCTACTACGGCACGTCTGTCAAACTCAACTGGTGCATGGATGAGAACCGAGGCATCATGGTAGCCCACAAGATGAATGGCAAAAGCTTACATCCAGACCATGGTAAGCCTGTCCGTATCATCATACCAGGGCAGATCGGTGGCCGCAGTGTCAAGTGGCTTAAGAAGATCACAATCACATCGGAACCGAGCGACAACTGGTATCACATCTACGATAACCGAGTACTTCCCACAACAATATCGCCAGACGCCAGCGCAAACTTGCCAGACGTGTGGAAAGACGAAAAATACGCCATCTACGACCTGAATGTTAATAGCGCCATATGCTACCCTCGACACGACGAAAGGCTCATCCTGGCCACCGCTCCGGAAACCTACAAGGTTAGGGGATATGCCTATGGCGGAGGCGGGAAGCGGATTTCTCGGCTCGAACTCACCTTGAACAAGGGCAGATCATGGCAGCTCGCAGGCATCCACTACCCCGAGGACGAATACCGACGCGCCCCCGACGGCGACACGCTGTACGGCGGCAGCACCGACATGTGGTGGCGCGAGACGTCCTTTTGCTGGTGCTTTTGGGAGATTGACATTCCGGTGGCCGACCTCGCTGCTGCCGACGACATGATGATCCGTGCCATGGACGAGGGCATGATGGTCCAGCCGCGCGACATGTACTGGAGCGTGCTCGGCATGATGAACAACCCGTGGTTCCGCGTCGTGGTGCACAAGGGGGACGGCGCGCTCCGCTTCGAGCACCCGACCCAGCCCGCGCTGATGCCTGGCGGCTGGATGGAGCGCGTCAAGGCCGCCGGCGGCAACCTCACCAACGGCTTCTGGGGCGAGAAGACATCAGACGAGGAGGCGCAGGCGCCCCGGGAACCGGAGAAGGAGATTTGCATGACGAATCCCCAGGTGGACCGCATCATCTCGCTGGACGAGCTCAAGGCGCACGAGGGGGAGACGGAGCCCTGGTTCGTTGTCAACGGGCAGGTGTATGACGGCACGCCGTACCTGGACGACCACCCGGGCGGCGCGACGTCCATTATCAACGCCGCTGCCCAAGATACGACGGAAGAGTTCATGACCATTCGTAAGTACTGCCAACTGTTTCGCGACTCGCCATGCCAGCTCACGCTAACATGAATACCAGACAGCGAAAATGCCAAGGCCATGATGCCACAGTACCACATTGGCACCCTCGACGATGCCGCCCGCAAAACTCTCGAGGGTGGTGCCGACGACGAGTCAGGCAGCGACCCAACCCGCGCTGTGTTCCTGCAACCAAAGGCGTGGAGCAAAGCCATTCTCGAGTCGAAAACAGACGTGTCGTCCGACAGCAAGATCTTTTCCTTGCGCCTCGACCACGTCGACCAGTCCATCGGCCTGCCGACGGGCCAGCACCTGCTCCTTCGCCTGCGCGACCCGGCCACACGCGAGGCCATCATCCGGGCCTACACGCCCCTCTCTGAGACGGACGCCCGGGGCCGCCTCGACATTCTCATCAAGATCTACCGGGACGCGCCCGGCGGCGGCCCGCCCGGCGGCAAGATGACACAGGCGCTCGACGCCATCCCCGTCGGCCACTTTGTCGACGTCAAGGGCCCCGTGGGCAAGTTTACGTATCTCGGGCGTGGGCAGTGCTCCGTAGGGGGCGCGACGAGGCGCGTCCGCCGCTTCGTCATGGTGTGCGCGGGCTCCGGCGTCACGCCCATCTTTCAGGTGCTGCGCGCTGTCACGGGCGACGCGCAGGACGAGACGGAGTGCCTGGTCCTCAACGGGAACAGGTGCGAGGAGGACATTCTCTGCCGCGCCGAGCTGGACGGCATGGTGGCCAGAGCGCCTGGGAGGACGACGCTGCTGCACAAGCTGTCCCGGCCGGACGCGTCGTGGCAGGGCCTACAAGGACGCATGGATAAGGCCTTTCTTGAAGAGCATATTGGAGGGTTTAGAAATTCGGACGGCCAAGAGATGGTATTGGTGTGTGGCCCGGGGGCGCTTGAAGAAACTGTGCGCAGTGTGCTGGGTGACATGGGATGGAAGCCTGAAGACTTGCTGTTTTTTTGATATGGCGCATGATAGCAACATTGGAGCCACAGCAAAAAGCAAAACATTGCCAGACATTAATTCGTATATAAAAGATCTCTATCTCATTCATCTTGTTTCCCGTCGTGACGTGAGGAAAAATCATAATTTGAGCTGTACTACTCGCAGTGGAATGTTCGAGGTAGTATTGAAGTCGTAACTTTCTGGTGGCACTGATTAACTAATGGGTCTCACCGCCGGTTTCCCCGCCATGAATGCCAGTAAAAGGGTAATGGAATGCCGAGACGGCAATGGAGAGGTACAGGATGAGAAGGAGCGCGCCCTCGAGATAGTTGCTCTTTTGGTCCTGCAGGACCTTACCCACGGTTAAGATGGACAGGATAAGCATGACAATGTTGAAGATTTCAAAGTCCAGGTCCATGGGCTTGTGTAGACCCCATCCGACCAGGACCGTCAGTGGCGCAGTGAAGAGGGCCGTCTGCAGCGTGGCACCTAGGACGTGGGACAGAGCAAAATTCATGCGGTTGTTCCGGGCTTCATCTATCGCTGTAAGGTGTTCGGCAAACTTTTCGACGAGGGGGACGAGGATCAGGCCCATAAAGGCATCGGACAGGTGTGAGTTCTTGATGACGGGCTCAATCTGGTCCACGAGGCCGACGGCAAGGAACGTGACGAGGGTGATGGAGATGGCCAGCGCAATGACGCACTCGGTCATGGTGAGCATGTCCTTGGCGGCGGGCCTGCGCTTGCCGCCTTGTTGGTGCTCATCCCCTTCAAAGATGGCGTCGTAGATGCCGTGGTGGGTGCGGGCCTGAAAAAAAGTGTAGACGAGGTAGGCAACGATGAGGAAGATAGAGATCATGCGGGAGATGTGTAGGGTGCCGGCCTGAAGCTTCTCTTCGGAGATGCCCTCACTGAGGAGGCCTTTGCGGAAGATGGTTGGAACGGCGAGAACCACGCCACTAGCCAAGTCAGTACTGTGTCAAGCTCGATATCATGTCAAGCTCGCTATCATGTCAAGCGTGGATTTCCCAAGTGCACTTACGCCATGAGCAGGAGACCACTGCCTGCTTCGCTGATGGCGTCGCTGAATGACTGCTCGTCGCGCATCAGGCCGCCGACGAAGAAGACGAAGCCGAGACACAACAGCATAGTCGCCAGTATGGAGCCGAGAATGGCGGCCTTGATAATGTAGAAGTTGTTTGGGTGGTCGCTATTCAAAAACACGAGAAACAGGACGATTTCGACAACGGAGCCACAGGTCGTCTCGACCAAGACCCCAGCAACGTGGGGGAGCTTGCGGGCAAACTCCTGGCTGGCGAAGCCGACGAGACTGGCACAGGGGACCATGGCGATATAGAGAAGGATGAATACCAGGACATGGTGATCAGTCAGCGTGTCTGTCATGTTTTGTGCGTCAGTCTCAGCGCCAAGTTGTCAACTAGTGGCCAGGCGGTGGCTCTCTGACTTACATCGCACCGCCAGCGCCGCAGGGACGACTGGCCAAAGCAGGCTGCACAGGGTACTGGCTCTACAGGCAGACTTGAACGAGATGCGAAGGAAATGCCACGGATGCACGCCTCTGCGGCCGCTTTCGCCCTGGGGCCTGATTTTGAGTTTCCGGCTCTTCTCGCCGCGCGGGCTGCCGCGTTTGTCAGAGCTGTGGGTGGACGGCGCGGGAAGCCCAGGGCCCTGGGGAGTTTCCGTCATTTCGGGGCTTATAGTGTGTCGTTTTTATCGTCCAAGTGAATCGTCAAGTGTAGTCAAATAGCTTAGATTTCGGCACTCGTTTCGTCGTCGCGGCAAAAGGGTATCATGGATAGCAGGAGCTCGTTATGGGAGATGGAGGAAGAGAGGAAATGGAACACTTTGAAATTCGGTGTAAACGACAAGTACGCCAGAGACTGGCTAGAGCCCGGCAAATGCAAGATGCTCAGAGATGGTTCGAAAATAAGGTGGGAATACGGAGGCCAGATGTGAAAAGTAAAGGTCAAACGTTTGGTGGTGGGTTGCTTGCTGGTTGTCAAGTGTCCACTGCCCAAAATGTGCACGCAGCCTCGCCTGTCTCTGGAAGCGACCTTGGGCAGGCAGGATGAGGCAGCGACTCTTGAGGAATCCAGCGTCTCGGGTTCAAAAGTGTAGGCAGCCGCGTTTGTATTTAACTAACAGGTCAGCCTAAGAGGGGAAAAGGCAATAAAGAAACCCCAATCCAGCTCGACGCAGCTTGCTTACTGGCACGCCATTCAAGCAGCAAGGGCAGCAAGGGTCCCTGTACTGTACTTGGAGGCCCAGCGGTGGGTGCCATGCCCATGCAGCCGAGTGCTGCATTCTGTCGTCTGCAGTCATGACACTTTTTGTCACATTTCCAACTCCAGCCTTCTTTGGCCTCTTTGGCCTCTTTGGCCTCTTTGGTGTTTATTTTTGGCACAAAAAACAAGGCCGGACCGACAGATGTCTCATGTCAGTCCTAGACAAGCTTCGTCAACATTTTGGGCACGGCCTAGACCTTTCGTGAGTATGTACGCCCCATGCAACAGCACGGTGACGATATCCGATATCAGTAACAAGGCTGCGGTCCAGTCGAAATTTATGGTTAAAAAGTGGCTGGTCCTATAAAAGGCCGGTCCTATTCCAGTAGTAAGATTCGGCGCCGCCCCCAAGAGCACCAGGGCTGGATGCTTGCTCGCTAGCCTCGTTCAAAGCCACCCATCTGCCCCTCATCATTTTCTGTCCACCGTCTCTCTTGTCCCTGCCGCTGCATCGGCTCGTGTTGGCTGCTTCTACGTCGCCTCATGGGCACCGGCTGAGCCACAACGACCGTCTCAATGCCTGCGGGTACAAGCTCCTGGCCCTGCTGCCCCAGAGCATCCACGTCCACCTCGATGCCGAGCAGGACCTGGAGAATCACGCGCGAGCCCGCTTTGCTCATCACCTCACCCGAGTCTTTGCACAGCTCCGACGCGACGCACTCGATGCAGCCGTGCATGCACCGGCACGACTCAACACGCTGCAACGCGAGCTGCAGCAGGTGGTCAATGTGCTCAAACGCCTTGGTGCTGATGCCCGACCCGTGGGCGCCGCCCTTGGCATCGTAAAAGGTCAACCGCCCAGGCCGCTTTCTTGCCGTTTCTTCCGTGGCGAACTCCTTGAGCGCCACTTTGCACTCGGTTCGCACATCTTCTGGAGCGCTAATGACAAATGTTGGCAGTAGGCTCATCACACAGTGCTGCGCGGCATGGATGGAAGCCGCCGCATTAATTCCATGGCTGTTCAGGATATCAAGCGCAGATTTGGGAATGTCGAGCCACATCCCCTTTGTGTATCGAATAATGGGCCGATTGTCCACCTGAACAGCGTCGAGCACTCGCCCTTTGGAGTCTATCTTGAAGAACCCAAACACCTTTTGTAGAATTTTGATGGTACCATGGTACGCCAGCGTCCCAGAGGAGCCAATGTCACGAATCGCCTCTGTCTCGACAGGGTCAATGTTCGTATAATCGCGCTGAGATGTCAACCAGTCCACCTTGACTCGTTCCACCTTTGCCATGCGTCTGTCCGGTAAGAAGTCGCGCACGAGGTACGTCCGACCTTGATGAAGAAATATGCCGCCATCGTATATCGTAAACGTCGCGCGGGATGCCTCCAGTTCTTCCAAAACGACATTTCTTCCATGCGTGATATCAATCACGGCAAAGTGTTCATCCTCCGTATCTCGAATGGCCACAAACTTGGACGGCTTTGGTCGGAAACGATCGTGACAGTGATAGTAGCCCATGTCATCCGCGACAAGTCGCTCCTCGCAAATCTGCGCCAGATCCCGGCCAAAGTACTTGGTGTCATACTCTGGTCGGATCGGCATTTCAAAAGCCGCACATTGTATGTGACCTTCGCGCACCAGCATATTGTCCAGGTCCAGCCGCAGCTCTGCCGTAGGTTTGGAAAATAGCTCCTCCGGATTCTGCATATAATGTTGATCCGTAGGAAAGCAGTCACCTAGCAATATAGACAGCGAGTCTTTGTTTCTTCGCCCGGCACGCCCGCTCTGCTGCCGCAGATTGGCAATGGTATAAGGAAATCCCCATGTCAAGACACAGTCTAGCGTCCCAATATCGATGCCCAGCTCCAGTGCTGTTGTTGAGACGATCCCTAGCAGTCGTCCCGCAAACATTTCCGACTCAATCTTGCGTCGATCCTCTGCTGTATATCCGCCTCGATAGCCCATCACCAGATTTACGCAGTCGCCTCGGCCTCTATTCTCCAGTTCCTGTCGTATCGCGTTAACCAACACCTCGCACTGGTTGCGAACTCGGCAAAACGCAATGATGCGTACGCCCCTGAGCAGCAGCTCGCAGAACAGCCGTGCGCATTCGAATTTTGCACTGCCTCTGCCACTCGCAGGATCTCCCGGGTCTTTGTATGGCGTGTTCCAGCACAAAAATTCTTTCCTGCCAGAGGGAGACCCGTCAAAGTCAATCAGCTTGACATTGTCAATGCCAAAGATGGCCTTGAAGTGTTCGGTTGGGTTTGCTACAGTAGCAGAGCATGATATGAATTGAACACTTCGGTTTCCAATGGCCGCGCATATTCGCCTCAGGCGTCGCATAATAAAAGCAACATGTGACCCCAACTGTCCGTTGTAGTAGTGCAATTCATCCACTAATAGCAGTTAGTATAAGTCATCTACTCGTCAGGAAAACATCTACTCACCGACAACATATTGCAAGTTCTTTAGGAATGACCGCCACTTCTCTTCTTGGGGCAGTATAGTAACATGCAGCATGTCAGGGTTTGTGAAAATGATTCTTGCTTGTTCACGAATAGCGTTTCTCGCGGTGAACGGCGTGTCGCCATCAAATGTTTCCACTACGGTGCCCTCGAGGCCGGGCATGTATGCCATCATATCCTTCAAGCTGCGTCGCTGATCCTGCGCCAAAGCTTTGGTGGGAAAGATGTACATGGCTCGCGACTCAAAGTCTTGTTCCAGAGCGTACAGCACAGGTAGCTGGTAGATCAACGACTTGCCAGAACTCGTAGACGTGGCGACGACCACGTTCTTGCCCTCATGCAAGGCATTCAATGCCTCAGCCTGGTGGGCATAAAAGGAAGCGATGCCTTTGGCGTTGTATATGGCATTGACGAGGTTCTGGGAAAGCAGAAATGCCAGGTCTCCATGAACCGGTTCTTGTGAATCAAACACTCTGTGGCCATCAGGCACAATTTGACCAGTATACCATGCACTGTCCCGGATTTCTTTCACAATTTCCGGTATGGGTTTCCGGTCCTTTGGGATAGTGGCAGGAATTGTGCTGACAGCAATATCACTATCCTCGTCCTGCTCACTCGGTTTGGGCACGTACGACTCGGCCAAGCCCTCCAATGCCATGCACGGGTCCAATTTGTCATCCACGCACTTTTTCAAAAAAGCGTTGACGGCACTCGTAAATCGCTGGTTTCGCCGCTCAATGAGCTTCGTCATCTGGCCCTGGCCAAAGACGGGCATCTGAAGCTTCTCATCCCGCAGTCTCCGTTGAGGGTTAGTGGGCTCGCCCGTCTTCTTATCGGGAACCTGCCTCTTCAAATCGCCGTCAATAAACTCAAAGAAAAGAACCTCGTGGTCGTCCGCCGCGGAAGCGCCGAGGGCCTCCACGCCAGTCCAGCCGCCAACAGATGCATCAGGAGACATTTGCGGCTCTTTTCTGTTACCAAAAAGTTTGAAGGAGTCATCCTTGCGCTCTAACTTTATATCGAGCTCAAGCGTAGACTTGTCCACAAAGCTAAAGTTGATTCCTTCGGGACGCACTGCAACGATTTTTGCTACTTCTTCGATAGATAGCTTGCGTTTGATGTGAGATTCAACCGCCGGTCTGATGGCTGCAAATGTTGTAGTAAAATGTTTTCTCGTAGAGCAAAAGGTGAAGACTAGGTTTAAAGCCCGGTGAGTTCTATCCAGCGATACAAAGAGTGCTGGCCAAGGTGGTGCTTCTTCGTCTTGTTTCCGCTCTTTTTTTGCTTTGCCTTGGGACGGGCTCTTCGAAGTAAGTTTGGTCTTCTCCGAATCTGTAGCGGGATCGGTTCTGCTCATGCTGGAGTCGCTGAGCTCCGTATCTAGAGACTCTCTGGCGGACAGCCTTTTGCGCTTCGCCCCCGATGTTTTCGGAGGAGGAATGCCTTGATTAGGCATGGTAATTCAAGACGCCATTGAGACGCGAGTCCGATCTGGTCATAGTATGCAAGTCAATCGAAATGCGAAACCCTCCATCTTTTATTGACCGAGCTGAAGATGATGCAAAGCAGTGGTGACGAGTGCGCGCCGTTGCCCGCAACTAAATCACGTCCCTTGCGCCAAATCACGTGTAGATCTGTGAACGCACGCACTAACCTCCATGGCATTCCAACATCCGACGGTTGGTAACTATGAAATTTTGAGCATTTGTAGATTTCATTTCCGTTTATTTTGAGGCTCTGGAATTCAATAATGTACAACTAATTCATCCGCCTTCAAACAAGCCGTCCGCCATTGCGTGTAAAACTCCATCTGCCAAAAGGGCTAGAATGCATCCATCGCAGAAGTCCTGTATTTGCGCCAACTTTTATTCCATGTCCCCCCTCTCGGTCTACTTTGTCGCATTTAGCAGCAGTGCTCTAATAGGCATCAAATGTTTGTGCATCACATGAGGTACCGTCCAAGCTCTACCGATTTTGGAGCTCACGCTGAACGCTCTCTACCTCGGTCTGGAATAGCTTGGCATTGGCAGCCGACATCTATTTTTCGCGGTTAGCTGCAATCTCCCTATAGATAATTTCACAATATCCGCTTACTCTCATGGTGACCAGCAGTGGCGTCGCGCTGTCGCCAACAAATGCTGTGAAGAGAACTGACGTGGACTTGAGCGAAGTCTTTTCTTGGAACTTCATGGCTGAAATGATAGCAGTGTTCAAAATAACACGGTGTGTCTGGTCTTGGCGCATCAATAGGCGAACAACTTTACCAGAGGCGTCATTGCTATCGTCTTCATCCAGTCCTGACGCATCGAAGGATCCGGGTACAACAACATTCTTGTCGTCAAATTCCACACATGATTTCGGTGCGTTGATTTTCAACATTCCACCTCCGCGCTCTTTCCAAGCGTCGTTTTCGTGAACAAACATTTTGGCTCTGACGGATAGAAGGGTAGTTTCGCGGGCTTCGCCATCATCGACATCGACTAGCATCTTATTAGCACGGTGTGCAGTGTGGATTGCGGCGACAGCAGTAAACCAACCTTTATGGAGCTTGACTTTGGACTTTTCATCATCCTTGTCTGACAATGCGTCACGGTCCTTATCTGTGACGCTGTTGCCTTCCTCCTCGTCACCGTTCTCTTCGTCCTCGTCCTCTTCAGCATCGCTATCTGGAGCACCGAACGGCTTGGCAGTCTTCACGGTCTGAAAGGCCTTTGGCTTCCCAGAGGCAAAGCTCGAGAGGGGCTTCGCGCCAGACGCCGAAGCAAAGCCACGCCCACCGAGACCACTTCCAAATCCATTGGTGCCTGACAGTCCGGTAGCAAACGGAGATGCTTTCACGGCGCTGCTGCTGAAACTCAATGTTGGTGCTGGTGCAAGTGACTGCGCCTCCGTCTTCTTTGATGGCGATGCAAAAGAGGTTAGTGGTGCTTTCGCGGGTGCACCAAAGGCGCTACCAGCGGCGGCGCCACCAAGCCCGGCGAACGGCGACATCCCAGAGGCCAGCTTGCCAAAGCCAGACGCCGCGAACGCACTGGTGGGTATTTTCGGTTGCTCCTTATTTACTGATTCGGGCTTCTCTTCTGTCATCGCGGTCTTGGGTTCCGTATCGGGCTCCGTGTCGGGCTCCGCCTCAGGCTCCGTGTTGGTGTCGTCCTTGTCCGATTTTGCCTGCACGATGTTCGTCAGCCTGCGGCTCAGATCATTGTCATATGAGGAGAATTTCACCTCATCAGCGCCGTCAGCATCACCATCTGTATCGCGGTGTCGCTTCTTTTCGGGCTCTGATCGCGAGGCTCTATCCTTGGCCGAGTCTGCAGAGGCGACACTATCGGTGTCATTTTGCTTGTCATCCTTGGTGGGGTCCAGCTGATCGTGGGCGCGCTTCTTCTTAGGTGAGGATAACTGCTCCTTCAGCTCATCATTGCGTTCGTCGGTGACATCATCGTCGGCAGGCGTTTCCGGTCGGTCAGCGTCGTGAATGGCGCCGTCGCCAACGGGGTCGGAGATGGAGTGTTGCTTCAGCTCGCGACGTGCAGCGCGGGTGTCTGCGTCCTCGGGGGCGCTTGTTTGGGTCGTGTCATCCTTGGGACTAGCTGCCTTTATCTCTTCGGCCATGACGATGAGGTCGAGTGGTGTCGGGCTTCTCTTCGCTCTTCGCGCCTAGGTGCCGTTGTCCACGTGCAAAAGTGAAACTTGTAGCAGTCGTACGAAGTTGTCGAGCAAGATCAGACGAATGAAGGGCCAAGAGGAGCGCGTGCGAAAATCCTGGCTACAGTGTGGAATGATTGTTGAGAAGCAAGTATCTGCTAGGGCAAAGATGCGTCTGCGCGAGTTATTCTGAGTTGGGTGGGAGACTCCTTCTAGTTGCATTAATCCCCAATCAGTGTGTTGCCTGCAGGTTCCAAGTTGCAGAGAGTGCAAAGTGCAAAGCAAATCAAAGTACCCCTCACCGCCCAAAATGGGGAGGGGTACAGGCCAAGGCCCAGTAACCAAGCGCTGTAAGTTGGTACCAGGTACTAGTAGGTACCTACCTAAGGTAGGTAGTAGGAGGCGCCAGGTGGTCACCAGGCCTCTCAGCAGGCCACTCCAGCCACAGGCACGGCAATCAGCCGAGGCGACGGAGTCCAGTGGACTCGCGTGCCTACCTACTTATTAGTACAGAGAGGTAGGTAATCTCATTTTAGCGCTGGAGCGAGACGTCTTGCAGCTCCTCCCAGCCAGTCACGTCGCCCGTCTCGTCTCACATTAAAGCACCTTATTCATGAAAATCAATACACCCTGCTATCATTGCAGCGGCTAACACGGATATTACAGTACAATTAAATCAGCACAGCCAGAGAAAAAAAAGAAAGAAACAAGGAAAGGAAAGGAAGAAAAGAACCAAGTCTCGCATAACGCCTCTTCCCTGTGTAGCCCACCGGGCTTCATGCCCAACGTCATCTTCCCTTTTGAGGCTTGCTGCCAGCCACACTCAACTCATGAAGCAAAGCGCACCCAGGCCGACATAGAAAATGAAGAGAGGGTATAGAGCAATGACCAAGCGGTTATGCACAACACCGCTCCCACCCAAAATGCTGACACCGGCCGCCAGGGACCACAGAATGAGGACGATGAAGACGGGGATGCGAGCAATCCAGTGAAGGTGCAGAGCAGACAGGAGCGCTGCAATCACAAGCGGGAATAGTGTGTACCCGATAATGCACACGCTTTGCGCAAAAGAACTGTTGCCACAATGGTTAGCTTCCTTATCCGGAGAGCGCAACGAGAATGCACATACATGCTCCCACCGAGCAGTCTAATCTGGAGAGTGACAACCGCCTCGCCGAGCCAAATCATGGCAAAGACACCACTAAACACGGCATCCTTTTGCTCTGGGCGAGCCGAAAAGCTCAAAAGAAGACTCAGCAGCAGGCAAAAGATGAGCGGCCCCCAGAGATCCCAGTCGCGCAGGCCAGGGCTCAACGAACTGCCCAGCAGCGCCTCGGGGTCCATAACGCGACTTGCCAGGCCCGTGAGCTCCTCGCGTGTCCCCGTGATGCCAGCGCCGCGGATATTCGAGTACGCGCCGCGGAAGCCGCTCTCGCCGTCAAACATGGTGCCGCCCAGGAGGTAGCGCGGGTACAGCACCTCGCGCAGCTTGGCCCAGACGGCCAGCAGGTCGCGGCGCACCGTCTCCCAGACGGTCTCGTCAATCGTATTCTGCGAGGCGCTTCGGTCTTCGCCGGGGATTCGTGCGGTCAGGTAGCTCTGGTCGAGGGGTCGTGACGACGAGCCAATGTTGCCCGTCAGCGGCGCGCGGGAGCTGGAAGGCGCGAGAGGGTCATCAAAGTCGTTGAGGTCAGCTGCGGTTCATGTTAGCCGTATATCCGGCTCCTACCGCGTATAAACGCGGCATGCGAGCGGAGCATACCATCATCGGGATCAATCAAGTCGTCGTCGTCGATGGTCGGGTTCGTGTAATGCCCCTTGGCAGCAGACATGGCAGCGAGTAGGCAGCCTACGAGGCGCTATGGTGCTTCTGTAGACTATTCGGCTGTAGTAACCGGGATTTCGAATCGGCGGAAGTAGATTCCTTAGCACTCGAGGACTGCGATGCAATTGCAGACAAAACGGCGTAAATGGGACGGTGCCGCTGATAGCTGACGTGGTGATGGTGCTAGCGAAATGGCCAGCTTCCACGTTGCCGCTGGTCCAAGCTCCCCCAAACGAAAAACGGTACGAAGGTACCTCGCCGCCCGCCCTCCACAGCAGCGCGCAACGCGCAGTTACACGCATCAAACGACGGTGCAGTTTTATTTAGCAGCTTTATTCAAGAAAAATATTGGTTTCGGCCAAATACTGATATTAGCATCTCCGATTTTCCCTATCAATATCTTCCAAGGCCATACCGCCGGCAATTGTCAACCTTTTCTGAGCACCCGGTCACGAAAACTGCGGCCAAATGAGGCCGGCCAAACCTTGCCAAGATGACAGCGTCGGTTGACGACGCAGCGTTTCATCTACCCAAATTGCGCGTCTCTTTCGGCTTTGAGGTTCGTATAAATCCAGCACCAGGCCTGAGCGTTGACACATGTTGATCTTGTTGCAGAGTGATGTCCGCTTCTTGAACACCGGCGATGATGTACCCGGTATGTTCAACTTGGTTCCATGTGGTGGTGAGAGCTGCTACTGAACAGTCTGCAGAGTTTTTTGACGTCAAATTCTGTCCTTATCAGCCTCTAGACTGCGATCCTGTGTTCGCAGCCGTGAGCAAGAAACATGCAAGTCACATGCACAAAGCACTCGAAGTTGCAATTTCAAACTGACCTCCGAAAGGTTGTTATATGCAGGCTCTCTTCCGATACTGGAGACTCGAACCCGTGCTCTATTCTATGCATAATAAGAGACGATGACGTATGTGGTGATGACTAGGATACAACTCATGTGCGCCATTCCCTGACAAGGCCCTTTAGGACGATGCATCGGGCTGCTGCTGTACATGGACAAGAGATCCCGCTACTGGAGCCCCGTACATTTGCATAGGAGGCGGAGATGCCAAGGTAAAGATATACGATGTGAGAAACGCTAGACTAGTAGATGTAAGCAGTTATTCCGGGAACCCAATCATGCACATCTAACCTTGCACAACAGTGTTTCGCCGGTCACGGAGGTGTGAGTACATTTCTCTTCGAGACTTGCTGCAAAGCTAATTACGGTCAGGATGTCAATGATCTTGCGACCTCGCCAATAGACTCATCCATCATTGCGTCAGCGTCCAACGACACGAGCATTCGGATTTGGAGTATCGAGGACAAGTTCAGGTCGCAACCATGTCTGTGCATTCTCGCTGGAGAAGGACACTCTTGGAATTTACTGAGCTTGGTACGTAGTCGAGCGAGTACTACTTTCTTCGGTCACTTCACCAACCATTCTTGCAGGCATTTCACGACACTGGTCGTTATCTTCTCTCAGGCGGCCATGACCAAGTCATCAATCTTGTGAGTCTTGTTGCTAAACACTACCATCACTGATGTACTAACAGTCCCAAAAGTGGACTATTCCTGATCTTCCAAGCGAGCCCGTCGTCACGCCGCTCCAAGTACATTATCCTCACTTTTCCACCTCCGCGGTGCACAGCGGCATTGTAGATTGGTAGGCCCCAGCAACATGGAAGCTTTGGAGGCCGTACCCCTCCGCAGCCTATGCTAACACGCACGTTTCCGTAGCGTCGCCTTCTTCGGTGACCACATTCTGTCGCGGGCATGCCATGATAACGTCATCGTGCTCTGGCGCATTGAGGGCTTCTCATCTGACGGCTCCCCGCCCCCGCAGAGCGCGGCCCCGACGGCGCAGACGGCGGTACCGACAGCCCTGGACGACCAGTCGCGGCTCACGCGGTCCTACTTTGCGCCGTCGACTACGCCTGAGTGCCCGTCTCAGTACACGCGGCTGTTGGAGCTGCACACGCCCAACTGCGGGCCGCAGTTCTTCATGCGCTTCGGCTTGCACCACGTACCCGGGCAGAACCCCGTATTGGCCTTTTGTAACGCCGGGGGCAATATTCTCTTCTGGGACCTACGTCGCCTCGCCGTCTACCACGATGTGATGCGGGACCTGCGCGACCCGGACGGCGACCGCGACGCCGCACCACTGCCCACGTGGCTCAAGCCCATCATTCCCCGACAGCGCGCCGACATGTTTGGTCGCATCAAGAAGCGCCCCGCTTTGGTGTCGGTCAGCACGCGCCAGTCCTCGACGACGTCGTTGCGCGCCGGCGGTGTGCAGGGTGCTGGCGCGGCTGGGGAATCGGCACAGGAGTTTAGCGCCGAGACGCTCGAGTCCTGGGCAGCCAAGTACAGCATGGAGGATCCGCACGAGCCTGTCAAGGCGCACCGGACCGAGTCGTCGGCGTCCACGTTTGTCGGACGCCAGGCGGCGTGGAGTCCAGGTGGTGAGTGGTGCGTGGTGGTGGGCAGCTCCAACACGGCGTTGGTGCTGCAACGGTGGGCGAAGTAACAAGAGCAGCGGAAATAAAGACGGAAAGAATGAAGACCAAGGGAGGAAGGGAAGAAGGGAAGAAGAGACAAACAAAGGTCACTCGGCGCCAGGAATTTAAGAGAGTCATGGGACATTCATCTATCTCTTTAGCAGTATATGCATAGTTTTTGGTGCCGTCACCTCCGCCAAAATCAAAAGCTCAACGCCTGTGATGGTTTGAAAAACAAGAAAACAAGAAAAAGGGAGATCCGCGTGGTGCGGATTGCTGTCATAAGAATTCTACATGTTGATAACTCGAAAGTCGTTGCCAGAAAAGATATCGTTTATTTATTCGGCAGTGAGAGGTGTTTGGCCGAGCTTCTCTGCCTCGCCAGTGGCGTGGAATCCATCTAGAGTGACGGTGACGGCGCCCGCTTGCACCAGCTATATGATGATAATTAGACACAGGCTCCGGTTGAAGAGAGAGGGGGGGGTTCAAGAAATTCGGGGATATACTTACAGCACGAGACAGATCCTCAATCAAGTCGTTGACATCTTCAATGCCTACGCAGAGGCGAATAATGTCCTCTGGCATCTGGCGCTCGGCCCTGGTCTTGGCGTCGATGCTGGAGTGACTCATTTGGCAGGGCATGCTGATGAGGCTGTTGACGCAGCCAAAGCTGACGCTGATGGCCCAGAGACGAGCGGCCTCGACGATGCGCTGGGAGACGGCAGGGTCGCCCGTCTCAAAGGCCAGGACGGCGCCGGCGCCGCGGGCGGTGGACCAGTGCAGGTCGTACTGGGGGTGGGACTTGAGGCCCGGGTAACGGACGCGGAAGCCGCGGTGCTCGAGGAATTCGGCAATGGCTTGAGCGTTGGCCTGCTGCTTCTCCATGCGGATGGCGAGTGTCTTGACGCCACGCATGAGGAGGAAGGAGTCGTTGGGGGAGAGGCCGCAGCCGGTGGAGTTGATGGTGAAGAAGAGCTTGTCGCCGACAGCCGGGTCGTTGCAGGCAATGACGCCGGCCATGATGTCGTGGTGGCCGGAGAGGTACTTTGTGCCAGACTCGTAGACAATGTCGGCGCCGAGATCGAGGGGGTTGCAGAGCATGGGGGAGAGCATGGTGTTGTCGACGACGACGAGAGACTTGGGGTTGGCGTCGTGCGCGCGGGCGGCAATGGAGGGGATGTCGACAATCTTGATGAGGGGGTTGGTGGGGGTCTCGAGGAGAACCATGGCGGTGCGGGGGGAGATGACGTCGGCGACGGCCTGAACCTTTGTGGTGTCGACGTGGCGGACGACGATTCCGGCGTTGGAGGCGAGGTAGGTGAGCAGGCGGTGGGTGCCGCCGTAGAGGTCGTCGCCGGTGATGACCTCGTCGCCGGGGCGGAGGACGCGGCTGATGACGTCGAGGGCGCCCATGCCCGAGGAGACAGCAAGGGCGCGGTGGGCGCCCATGATTTTGGCGAGGTGGCGCTCGAGATGAGTGCGCGTGGGGTTGCCGGAGCGCGTGTAGTCGTACTCTTGCTGGCCGCCGGCGGCTGAGGTCTGCTTAAAGGTGGCCGACTGGTAGATGGGGATGCTCGAGGCGCCGTACTGGTCCTTGCCCTCGGTATAGACGAGCTCCGTGGCCAGGGCGTAGCGGCGACGGCCGTTTCGGGGGCTCGAGGGCGCGGGCGAGGGGGGCAAGTTGAGGGCGTCGACGTTGATCTTGGTAACGGCGGCGCTGGGAGCCGGAGCCGGGTTGGACGACATGGCGACGGCGGGGTCGAGTCGGTCGTGTGTGAGAGTGTTTGTAGGAATTGTGCGTCGGGCGCAGGCCAATGGCGCTGGTCGAGAGGGCAGCAGGTGCGGGATAAATGCTGGGTTGAAGAAGATGATGACGGAGGACGGCAGAAAGATGCTGTTGAAATTGTTGAGCTTGGGGAAAAAAAGTGGTGGTGGTTGGTTGAAGCAACCAGAGGCAGTCAGTCACACAAGGAATCCACAGCGGCGTTGCACTGACTACTTCCGTATTGTGTGGTACAAGCTGTGCCGCGCAGGTACCGCTTCGGAGTCTCACCAAGTGCACAAGAGCCAGGTTGGTGTCACGCAATCCGGCCAGTGCACGCTAACACACTAACTGCACAGCGTCACCGCCTGTCGCCGGCCGAGGACCGGAGCTACCGATTTCAATTCACCCTTCACTTTGCACAATGGGAATCACCTGGTTGATCCACTCCACGATCTATGGCATGAAGAACGAGATGGATGGGAGCAAACCGGCGCTGGCAAGCAATGGTACTGTCATTTGACAAGATTCGAGTTTTGATTAGTTAGGAGATCTGACGAGACTTCTAGCCGGACCGACCACGTGACCGACGCTCTTTCCAAATTAGGTTAGTCTAATTTAGTGCTTAGATTTACTAGTAAATGGCAAAATACATGAGCACTCCATACATTGATTTGTGTGCGACATACACCTAAATCAATGTACCTTGAGAACAACCCATGTCTAAAAATCACGTGGTCGGTCCGGCTAGTAAAATGAACCGGTCCGCCTAGCAGGTCTTGATCTGACCGATCTGACGGCAAGACAGTCCAGGGACTCTAGGTTTTTATGGGCTAAAAACTTTAGTCACTAGAGCATCACCATTCTGGCCACATTCTGTCCTATGATTGGCGCGATGCCGCCACGAATACTGATTACGAAATACTCTGATTCTCTCGCATGAATATAAAAAGGCCCATTCCAACCTCCCAAAGGCTCTTTTCTTGCATGCAGGAATAGAGACCTTGCCGCAGTTATGCCAATGAAATCATTGTATCGCTGCAAAACGCATGTCCCATAATGAATGAGTAGTGCTATTGGCACGAGAGCTTTTTGCCCGAAATTATTTGTAAAATTTAGGGTTGAAAGGTCCCCGCAGGCGCAAACAGCAATAAATAAATAACTAAATAGATAAAGAGAGCTTTTTCACGTGATAGGGAACTTGGAACAGGGGCCATCTCCGGTGGCGGCGGAATGAAGTCACTGTAATTTGCATCTGCTTCTTGACCACACTCGTCCACCACCAAGTTACCCGGTAAGGGCTGGCAACGATCTAAAACCTTCTCTGTTGCCTCGATTTGCGAATATCTCCGTCCGCATAGAGACAATATTCATTTCTGACAGCCCCGTCAATAACTAGTGAATCTCCTATTTTAACATCGATCTTCGCCCCAACCGTCCCTTTCGGGTCGTCGCTCACCTCGGACATCCGAGCCTCACAATGTACCTAACTAGGCAATCACCATTTCTGTACCAATGACAACACGTCTTGATGAGATCATGTCCTACGACCCTGATTACACGGCCTGATTCTCTAGCTCGTCTTCCAAACCATATAATACTGTATTCCTTCCCTCGTCTCCAACCCCTCTCAGTTATCGCCATGGCACATCTTCACATCTCATCATCCTTCACTTGCACTGCGCAATAAAGCTAAACCATCCAGAGCTCCCCAAAGCATCCAGAAAGACTTCATCATGTCCACGACGCAGTATCTTGTCGGCGGCGTGGTCTTCGCCTCGGCCACCCTCCTTGCCATTGCCTACCGCGACTACAGTGCCTACTGCGCCCTCGGCGACCACGGCTTACCTGGCAACTTCAGTGGCTGGTGCACCCAGCTCAGGTTCACTCGCAACAGCCGCAAGGACACCACCGTGCCCGCGCCCTACGATCTCGCCACCGCGGCGGCCGCCGCCGGCCCTCACTCCGCCGAGGCCTTCCTTCCGGCCCACCTCCCGGCCCGCGACGGCGCCCGGCCCAAGATCCCGGGCTTCACCGCGCCCCAGCGCCAGGTCACCGACATGGCCTCGGCCGCTATGAAGGAGCGCATGTACGGCTACCTAGAGGCCCTGACCCGGGCCAACCCCGCGCTGCTGCAGTACGAGCTGTCCACCCTCGAGGGCCCCGTGCCCGCCCTCCAGCTGCACAGGGACCAGACCCGGCCCAAGCACCTGCAGCGCACGCGCGGCGAAATGGCACACATTCACCCCCCAGACGGCAGCACGCACCTCTCCCTCTCGCTGGCCGACTCGCGCCGTATCATCGAAACGGCCTGGGGCCAGAGACACCGACTCAGCGGCACCATGCTCGGCTGGGGCTATACATTGGTCTATGCTCCCCGGAACGAGAACGAGTTCCAGCAATGGAAAGACTTTGTGGCAGCCGCTGCCAAGTATGCCTGCGCAGATATTGGAAAAGTTCAACTCGTAGTATAATGGAGCCAAGCGAAGCACTGAGGGTTTCCTCGTTACTTGATGGCTTTGGGCGACGCATTCTGAACGCCGCCCTCGACTACCCGCATACAGTGGCGTTGTCAGCTTCTTTCGGGTGCAATCAATGCTTGCTAGTGTATTTATCTCTAGTATCAGTAGATAGGATGTATATTTCACAAGTGTTCGAAATACACTCAGCCGAATATTGGGTTGAGACTACACACCACTGCTTCAATCCGCCTCTCCGACACGGGTAGACGCGACGCCTCAAAAGATGAAATTTTGCCTTGCATTCTCCGATGCTTATTTACATGGACCAAGCGTCATTGCAAGAATAGCGCCCTCACGCTTCGCAAGTTTTCTCAGCCGTCTGCCTCGCTCTCCAGTCTTGCTCCAGAGTCGACATGTGAACGATGTCGAACCACCTGCCCGCCATGTAAATCGCCTTCATAGCAAGACAAGCAACGCATCATCACTGAATAGTAAAAGGAAGCAAGAGAAATGGAACGAATAGTCCAAAAATGAGGAATGTGATTAGTTTGCCACACCGCTGCTATCCACAACCTTGCACAAGTTCATGAGAACGGTTGTACCATAAGGCTGATCATCATCAAAACAGTTCGTTCGAGTATCCGACGTTCATGACGGTCCGTTGGCGACGGACTGCGTAGCGACAAAGACCCAATATTGGTGGCAGCCCTCGATTCTCACGGCGCGAGTAAAGCTTGATAACTGGAAAAGGGTAGCTTTTCTTAATGACTATGCCATAACAGCTAGCCCAAGTCCACTTCTCGTGTGTTGGTCATTTCTGTCCTAAATAGCTCAGCGTTGCGAATGGGAAGCGCGGAATAAATCTGAGACGTCATCGGCAAGCTCTCGTCCACGTCGTCCGACTCGACCAAGTCGCGGGACGCTTCGTCTAAAGTCCCGCCGCTTTCCAAAACCGTCTGGAGCGCCCGTCTGGCGACCTCAATATCCCGCCGTCGTTGCTCCTTGACGTCGTGCAGTTCCGGGTTGGCCGTCTCGTCAAACGGGACCACCAAGTCGGCCATGAACAGTGAAGCGGCGGCGCGCAGTCGCAACATCTCGTGGTTCTTGGTGTAGGGCAAGTCTCGCATCAGATTGTCCATGTGCGCCACCACGGCCTTGATGGCAGCTAGGGTTCGCGTCCGGACCTTGTCCTTGGAATGCAACGCTGCGTCTTGGTGTCGCGTCTGCGTGACGTGGAAGCTCTCGTCTTCCAGTAGCGTCTCCAATCGCAAGCCGGCATCGTCGCCGACCAGGCTCTCATCTACCAAGGAGTCGTCCACATCCACGTCCGCGTCCGCGTCCACCCCAAGGAGCCCTGTCGTGTGCTCCGCGTAAATGTTGTAGATCTCAGCGCTGTACAGACTAATGTTGAAATGCAGCGCGGATACCTTCTTTGGAGCCTTGGGGTCATAAGGATACTGCCGGATCAACGTCTCGAGGTAGGCTCTCAGCTTGTTCATGTTGGCTGCGGAACCCCAGCGCAAAGGAATCCGAGGCCCATCTCCCGCAATCATCTGATAAAGCTCATCTTTGCGGCGCTCTACACGATTCTGGTTCCGCCGGAGATCGTTGCGCTGCTCCTCGCCTTCGCGCATAATGACTTCTGCGCCGAGAGCCCACAGATTGTCTTTGCGAATATCGACCGGGCGGGACTGAGGCCGCAGTTGCAGGGCCAGACCAAAAGCGCGGGCTGCCTTGTAAACGTTGCCTTGGCCGAGTAACTGATGTATTGATCTGATGAGGACGGTCAAATGTAGTGCACGCGCGTCTGGCGCTCTCGTTTGCTTCGACTCTACATCGCTGTCCTCCCCCAGCCCTGCTTCATTGTCGGATTCTAATGCCGAGTCGGCAGGCTTGTGGCTGAATCCACGGTGCGGAAAGTCTTTGATTTCCTGGGACGGATCTTCATCGGCGTCTGACAGACCTGCAACAGCAAACTGCACAAGCTTGGCAGGCGGATAGCTGTGAGGGTTGATGGCTTGCGCCGAAGGTGGAGGGAGGCTGGGATCGCCGGCGAAGGAAGAGCCTCGTTTTCGTTTGCCTGACATTTTAATAAGTCATTTGATGTAATAGAGTGCGCTTTGGCAATATGCGATGCGCGATCCGGGGCTGTTCAGCTCATGGTGGTTGGTGTGAACGGAAAGTTGAAGTGAAGAGTGGAAACCCAGATTTGAACCATGTCTTCTTGAGTGGTAGTTCTAGTTACATGCTAGCAACGAGCCAACAGTCTCCAGCAATACTACGGGCACGGAACTGCACCTTTTTTTTCTTTTTCTTTTCCCCGGAATTAAGAAAATAGTCTCAGTACGTTTGGTGTTCATTTTCACATTATCGGTTATGTACCTAGCATGATGTATCTCTAGCGGACAGTAGCCATTGCGTGGCCAAGCCGACCACAACCTACAGTGTGCTATGCGGAGAATGAAGCACAGCGCAATTTGTCTCTGCTAAACATGCGTTCCATCTGATCATGGTGCAAAAAGTGTATTTTGGGGTTTCATCTATTGAGCCAACGTATTCCCACGTTGATGTACAGCTTGCTCCATCTACTTTACAAAGACATTAAAAGGAAACGCCAGCAGTCAAGATATTTTGTTTAGGGTCGGTCAAAGTATGTCCACTGGCCTTCGACGGGCTTCTCCTCAAGGTCTTCCCAGCTGCCCGTAAAAGTTAGCAAATGTAGCTCATACCATAGCTTGGCTCCAGACAAGAACTTACACTTTGGCCTTCTCCATGACCTCGATAATCTTCAGCTCGCCTTCGGCAACCTCGATGATCTCTTCAATGAGGCCAGCACCAATCTTTTGCTCGAGTTCTTGGATCCTGCCGAGCCTGTTAGTCCCCCATCCTATGTCGGCGGCAGAGTCGCCCGGTAAGCCCCAGGTTGCCACTTACTGGTCCGCCGTCAGCTGCGGCTCGTCCTCCCACTCAATCTTCTCGTGATCCTCGAGGGCCTTGCGCTCAGCCCAAAGGACTTGGTCAGCGCGCTCGGCCGGGGTGCGAATGCCCTCGAGCTCGCCGCCCTCATTCTCCTCGCCGTCCCACTCCTCGACGCGCTCATCCCCGGGCAGGTGCCTGGAGCCGACGACGAAGACGCGGTCGCCGAGCTTGACGGTGCGGGCCTCGCTGCCATCGACGCGGCCGCTGGCCACCCGGAACTGCTTATTGTTCTTGACCAGTTCCCGCGCCTTGGCCGCCCACGCCTCGTGGCCGGGCGGCGTGTACTGCTCGACGAGCGCCAGACGGTGCTTGGTGGTGGCCTCAACAGATTGGCGGTACAGAGACGTCGCCGGGAGCGACTGTAGCTTGTCGAGAGTGCTGCGGTAGAGGAAGAGAAGCGTCGATCGGGGGGTGGCGTGCGTCCACAGGCCTGTCAGACCCGTGGGCGTGCCGGGCTCGAGGTAGCGCGCGAGCGCTCGAAATGTTGGCCGCATGCTTGGCGAGTGCAATTGGCAATCGTTGTCGCCGTGGTGTTGAGGGTCGGCTTTTGGAGAGAGATGCTCAATTCCCGCCTAGCCTCCAATGAGGTTGAGCAATTACCAAGCTTGCATCACGTGAAACATCACGTGCAGAGGCTCGATATTGATGCCCTTGAACCCTGGTCTGGTGTACATGGTATGAAATAACTGGAATGACGATTGATGTATTCTTGCATTTTACTTGACTTAATTGTACTTCTTTTACATTGTCGCTCTATGCAACGCCTATTCAAGCGACACCACTACATGAATGATTTCAAGCTGCAGTCGTCCACAATAGTGGATTAAGTAAGGAAACGGAGCCATTGAACAGATGACTGCTTTGCGTAGGCCGTCAATGCCTAGGTAGTTAATAGAAACACAAAGGAAATATTAACTTTGGGAAGCAGGTTTACCAGAAGACCTGCCACCGTACATCCTCCCTCGGTACACATGTCTTCTCACTTAAGCAGCGTCCTCACGGCTCTTGCGGTAGTTGGCCTACACGTTTGATTAGCTACAGGACGGTGGAGTAATATTCCAACAAACCATACCTCTTGTTCGGTCTGCAGCTGCGCAATGATGGGAGCAAGCTCGCCAAGAATCTCAGCGGCCTTCTTGTGGTACTCAATCTGGGCATTGACAAGCTCAGACAGGTTGCGCAGAGGCTCGGGGGTATCAAGAACCTAAATTGTTAGCCTCGCTGGGTATACCTGCATCTGCTATATCACCTACGTTCTTCATGACGCCGACAGCTTCTTCAGTCTGGGTGACAAACTCATCCTCGGCCTTCTCAATTTCTTCCTGAGCCTCGGGGCTCAGCTCAGGCTCCTCGTGACCAGCAGCGGCAGAGCCCTGGCCGAGCTTGAAAGTGGTGCCCTTGGCGCGAGCCTTGACAGCATCCAGAGACAGTCTAGACTTCTCGACATTCTTTCTGGCGCGGGTGGCAAACATTATGTTGGTGTTCAAGGTAGTATTCCAGCCAGCTAGAAAGCGGCTCTGGATCTGGGAGTCCTGGGCAAGGCGAGCCTCGCCGACGCGCTCCATGGAGAGGGCGTATTTCTCGAGAGCGGTAGCTAGAGGATCCTCACCAGCACCGGTGTGGTTCTGGTGCAAGCTCTGGCTAGAGGAAAGACTGGCGCGAGCAATGGCATGGCTGAAGGTCTTGGGCTGGGGCTTGGCGGTCGGAGGAGCGACGAGAGCGGCCTGGGCCTCGGCGGTGCTGGTGGCGGAGGACAGGAGGGCGACCTTTTCGCTGACGGTGCGGCCGAGGTCCTGGAAGGTCTCCTTCACGTTGGGGGGGTAGTCGTAGGCTTCGTTGGAATATTGCTGGCTGTAGACGACCTCGTTGTTAGGAAAGCGAAACGGTAGTTGCTGCGACAATAGTACTCACGTAACGTTGAGCATTTTCTGGTGAGCCTGCTTGAGGGAGTCGACCTTCTTCTCGAGGTCGATGTAGTCGGCGGGCAACTGAGTCTGTATTGCGCCAAGCGGTTAACGGCTTGCGGCAGGCAAGTCATCCGGAAGTGTGTCACGCACCTTATCCTCAGTCTGACCAAACTGCTCCTTGGTGTACTGGAAGGTGCGCGACGCAAACGGCGTGATTTGCGCACCAAAATCGCTGCAGAGCGCAGGCAACGCGTCATGGTTAGCTACATCTTGACCCTGATTGTCAACGTGGGGGGGTGAGTGAGCTTGCACAGCCGTGCGGTGGCGGCAGCAGTAGTAGCGGTAGCTTCGGCGACGTACGAGAGATTCTTGCCAAACTTGGAAAAGTCCATTTTGGGGGAGTAGAAGAATGACTGGCAGGAGTTGGGTAAAAAAGGTATAGAAAGTAACACAGAGATTGCGCGAGGGGAGTGTTTGCAGGAGTGTATGTGTGTTTAGTGACCAACGCTTCGATGTAGGAACAACGTCACAAGCGAAATGGCGCGCAGAGCCTGATCCGCCCAGGGGGGTTCCCACAGGGGCCACAGCGACGACGACAGCAACCGGACTGATAACAGCGGCTGGCGGGCCGCCTTAGTACATTAGGTAACTTCCAACTTGCTGGAACTACAGTAGCCAAGCTTTTTCCCCGTGCTGGCTTCGTCACGCGCACGTGATGCATGATGCCCGTTTTAAGACCAGACAGAATTCCAATGACAAGACCTAACTACTTACGCCGCGGCAGGATAGTGCTGAATTTCAAGTAAATTTGAACATGCCAGAAACTCCAAGCTCCGAAAATAAAAACAACAACCACCCGCCCTCGTCTCAAAACGCCGCCCAATGAACATGTGCTTCCCTGACTACCTAGTCTACAAGATGCTTGTTGTCTGCCCAGCTTGGCTGCACGCTACGACACACAGACTCGTAGTGCTGCAGCTTTGGCTGGCGCCCGCACAGCCCCAATGTCGTCCAGAACATGGTCCAGTTGGAATCAGAGAGCTTGATAGTCCCGACCGACCGCTCAAAATACCACTTATTAACCGGGTTGTTCTTGCGGCTCCGCCAGCAGACGCCCTCTGGGAAGCAATCCCGCACCATGGCGTTGAAGACGATATCCGCGACACCGCCGCTGCCCTGCCGACATCTCAACACGGCGAACTTGTCGAGGTACGGCACGTAGAGTCCCTGGTCGTACGCTTCCTGTTCGGTCACCCCGTCAGGCTTCTCCCACGTCAGAATCGCACCGCCTTCGTATTCGCCGGTAATGATGATACCAGCGAGATTGTCTTGGACGCGGTTCAGGTAGTCTTGGACGTCAAGCTTTCGACCAAAGGAATCCTCGATGAGATGGACCAACCGAGCCAAGTCGATGTTTTTATCAGTCAGTCGGCAGCGCGGCGCGCCTGGCTGCGGCGGCCGCCAAGGGTTCTCGCGTGGGTCTGGATAGATTGTCAATGGCATGCCCCTTTTGACCAATGTAGCCGCCGTAGAATCGCTCGGGTCGACTCTGTAGCCGCCGTCTTGAATTCGCTGCAGCGGCAGGGACGACGAGTACATGGGCTTGTCTGTCAAGAGGTTGTGAAGGATCGGGTTGTGCTTTTTGCGGGTAGTAACCATGCCATCGAAGCCCAATTGACTCTCCTCCATCTTGATCGAACGGGGTTTCGAGTATATCGGGTTCGTGTTTGCGGCCGCAAAAGGCGTGGTGATGAGCGCAGAAGAAGATGGCGGCAAGATGGCCAGCGTTTCCTTGGCCAGGGTCAAATTTGAAACATGGTTGTTGGTAGTTGGTTTGCCGCTTGAACTTCCTGTCGCTGGTGATCCTTCGGGCCCTAGGAGCTGTGCACGAAGCCTGGCATATTCTTCCTCGAGATTGATAAAACGATGACACACACCAACGCCACGACCAGATGTCGGTGTGCCGCCCAGCGCATCCAGCAAAATGACACGCTCCACCGAAGCAATTTTTTCCGGTCGCCATATATTCTTGCTGTTCCCGCTTGCGTCTGGGAGAGGGGGCTTGTCGAACTGGAGGCCAGATAGGAACGCCGTCAAGGCCAGCACCGTCTGTTCAGCGGTGGCAGGCTTGGCGGCGGACAACTCATCCGGGGCAGAGATAGACGCGACGACCGGAATAAGCCCGCGCTCAAAGGCTCGCTTCAGCAGACCGCGATCACTGACTTTTATCGAGTTGGAGTACGCCGAAGGATGCTGCACATCCGAGGCTTCACCGAGAAAGATGTCACTAATCACTTTGGCGCCAGGCTTGCCAAAGTTGTCGACGGCCTCGCAAAGCCGCAGTGCCTCATCGTCAAGAACTTGGCGGCTGCAGTCCCCGGTGCCGTCTATGACTATGGCGCTGAGAAGCCCTAGTGCCCGCAGTTGCGCGATGGTCTTGGCGATGCCATCCACAGTGCTTTGGACGAGATGCTGTGGATCGCGGAGCATTATGACGGCAATGTTGAAGGGCTCTGCCACATCATGGGCGCTGGGAGATTGCTGAATGTCTGCGAATTTCTCAGAATCCAGTGCGCTGGGTTGGTTGGCGGTGTACTTTTGGAGATAGCTTTTGGCGTCGCGTCTTGTAGCCGTCGACTCTAGCACAGAGACAATGACATCCTAGGTATTGGTCAGTTTTGTGACCTATAGACTCTCCTTCCGCGGCAAATATACATACCCTCTCCAGGGCTCGTTTCTTGACTCTGGCCACGGATGATGACGACATGGGCCTCACCACATCTGCCGTGGCCGTTGTCGTGGTCGCAGCGGCTGCGAGTGGTTTCATAGTAGCCTGCTTGGCCATGCTATGCGCAAGACGTCTCTGCTCTCCCATCGAGCGCAGGCTCACTGCCGATATCCCAGGGCCGCAGCCCGAAGCAACCTTTTTCCCAACAGTCGCCCAGGCCATGGTGATGTTGCGAGGCGGTGACCGGGGGGGGTTTCCAGGTTGGAGTAAGACGGGAAAATTGGAGGAAGCACAGTACTTGTCTCTTTCTCTCGCTAGTGCAAGGACGAGCTTACGCTTGGCTGCGGCCAGCTTTGTTGAAGAGGGGGCCCTTTATTGTCACTCATGCGGCCTTTCAATGAAGAACGTCTCTGTTTTATTAGTGATGGTGTTGGTCAAGATGAAAGAGAGTTTGCAATCAGTGCAGAAAGCCAGGGCATTTCGGTATAAGTTGGGTGGATGACTCAAGGCGGGCCGCTAATATTTCGTCACGCTCAGAGCGCTTCAGTGGACTCTACAGTGGACTCGGTGGCTCCCTAGCGCCCTGAACCAGCCGGAGAAGGTAGTGACTGCCGAGGCGTGCCGATCTAGCTCCGAAGATGCAAGGGTAGAGAGGGAGATAGTTACAGCAAGAATGTCTTTTTGCAAGATGGGCGACCTAGATATATAGTGAAGCAAGTGGTGGTATAGCTGCTTCACTACGTAAGAAAAGCCTATGTAGTTGCGTGTACTTGAAAGGCTGAGGCATATATGCAATGCAATACGCCCGTGAGCCCGATCCCACATAGGCACCTAGGGACAGCACATGGTTCCTTGGATTGTACTCTATACAGTAATTCAATATGTGCTTATCCGAAGCCTAACTACATATTCTCTTCGTTCAAAGCCACCAAGCCGGCTCCAAACCAGGAGATTATAAACTCCCATTGGTTGGTATCCTACCGGGTCCACTCTTCTACTGCGCTGGTACAGGTTCCATTGGAGATGCATTTTCTCAGCTCAAAACAACCACTCAACACCCTCATGCATCAAACCTTTCGTCTTCGTCACACATCATTCTTAAAGTTCAAGCCAGCCTTCTTACGTACCACGCCATAGATGGCCGCAATGTCGCCCGACGGGCCCGCATGTTCCCGGAGGCTCGCCAAGTGCGCGTCGGCCGTCTCGACATTCTGCACCCTCGTGCCCGCCGCCGCCGCCAGGGCCTTGGCGTGCCGGGCGTCCTTGCGGGCGAGGTCCACGGCCCATAGGGGCTCCGCGCGCGTGTGGTAGTCGCCCGAGAGCATGCGCGTGCTGTACGCCGCGTACGGGCCCGGGAAGAGCGCCTCGACGAGCGCGTGGATGGGCTGCGTGCCCAAGCCCGACGTCTCGGCCAGCACGTGCGCCTCGGCCAGCTGCTCGACCATGTTGAGCACAAACGTGTTGCCAATGACCTTGAGCGTCGTCGCCTTGCCGTACGGCGCCCCCGTCAGGTCAATCTCGGCCCGCGCCGTCACGCCCTTGAACCACGGCCGCGCGCGGTCCACGCTGGCCGACGGGCCCGCGAGCACCGCGATCAGCTGCCCGGCCTCGGCCGCCGCCGGCGCGCCAAACACGGGCGCCGCGACAAACTCGGCGCCCTGCGCGAGGAGCTTGTCTGCCGTCGCCTGCGTCGCGTCCGGGTGGATGGTGGAGCACTCGATGAACAGCTTGCCTTTGATATCGGCCTGCAGCGCTGCGGCAATGACCTCGCTCACGGCCTCGTCGTTGGCGACGCAGGTGAAGATGATGTCGACCTTGGCGACGGCGTCGACAAGCGACTCGACCACTTCTGTCTTGCCGCCGGGAAGCTTCTGGCTCAAGTCGACGGCGCGTTGCTTGGAGCGGTTGTAGATGAGTAGCGGGGCGTCAAGATTGCCCTTGTCGACAATGTTCTTGCACATGGCCTAAGGTCACATCTGTCAGCGTGTCGCGCTGCGATTCGAGATATGTGAGAGCACTTACACGACCCATGTTGCCAAGACCGATCCATAGTAGTGTCGGTGCCATTGTTGATCTGCTCTTTGCTTGATGTAATCTGAGATGTGTAGGCCGTCGCGTGGTTCGTAGGTTTATCTTCTTTGGTTCTTGATGTGTACAGTAAGACCCTGTTGTTGGTTTTCAAGACGGGATGGGGGGGGGCTGCTGTTTAAATAGAACCGCCGACCCTAGGACGGCACGGCATTTGTATGCGCGGGCGATTTGTAAGTGATTTCATAGCACACGATAGTTCCCGATCTAGCGACCATCGCCGGCTACCAAAGCCCACATATTTCATGCATCCCATCATAGCCACCTCACCACCAGTCGGGGATAAGGGCGAGGCCGCGAAGTAGTCTTGTCATCCGCTCTCGTTCCGCAATATCCGCAGCTTTACAAACAATTATTGTATTTCACGTTTTGCATCAATAATCCCCAATAGAGCTAGCCGCCTGTCAATAGCGCCTTTACAACGAAACACAGTGGCGTGATGACTAAGCTTTGAGCTCCGTCACTGGTAACCCACGGCCAGCAGCCTACGCAGCTCCCGCCGAATAGTAGCATCACCAAATCTCCAACTTTGAGCGGCAACCGTACATACAGCCTGATTTCCCAATACATACGTCAAAATGGCGCAAGGGTAAGTTTATTGACAGCACTCACCCACGGCCTCCCCGCCTTGCTGTTCCTACCCAACCCTAGCTAACACCATCCGCCCTCCTCCAGGTATTCTGTCTTCATCGGCCTGTTCGTCATCGTGGCCATGTGCGCCGCGGCATATTTCCTATCCCCCAAGGGCGAGAACCAAGTGTATGTGGCTACTACCTCCTCGCGACTCCGATCATCTTCGCTTGCCACCTGCTAACCTGGCTCTCCAGACTCTGGCGCTCGTCCCTCATCCTCGCCATTGTCAGCTGCTACCTCATGTGGGCAATCACCTTCCTGGCGCAGCTGCATCCCCTGATCCGACCGAAGAGACACGACCTGCGAGAACAATTCCTAGATCACTAAGAAGGGTCGATGTGAAGGAATGCATGTTCGATGGAGAAACGAACGAGCATAGGGACAAGGAGGCGGCCACCAGCATGGTCACTCGTGTATGACTACGAATGCAAATCATTGAAAGAGTCTTTTTTTTTTGTTATGGGCGTTTCATCTACTTTGAGTTAATCCTTCAAACAAGAAGACAAGAAGGGACAAGAGAAGCTGGCCGCGCAAGGCGGAAAAATACTTGTATGCATGGGTCCACCAGATTATTATATAAGTTATTACCTGTCTCTATAGTGCATATGCGAGCGATCTCCATCGTCACCCAACGGCCAGCCGTCCCGCCCAGTCAGTCACGTACGTGACCGCTCCCCAGAGGGCCTTCGCGTCCGTGGCCATGCTCGCGTCGACGGACATGGAGTCGGTGCCGTTGAGCCCGACCGCGACCAGCACGAGGCGCGCGACGGACCAGCGTGTGGCGGCGCCGATCAGCGCAAGTAGGCAGGCGACGTAGTAGCGGCAGTCGAGCAGGATGCGCAGCGCCTCAACATTGTTGGCGACGACAGCCCACCCGAGCGACGTGGCGGCCGCCGGCACGTCATAGTCCCAGATTACGAGCAGGATCGGGAACAGCTTCGTCGACGAGGACACGAGTAGCGCCGTCGATACCGAGTTCGGTCGCCGGTAGCGCGGCAGCACGCCGAGTGCGACCAGCGGCGATAGCGAAGACGCAACGAGGAAGCGGATAACGGCGTGAAAGGCGAGGGTCGAGAGCGTGCAGAGCATCACTGCGCGTAATAAGGACTAGGTTAGGACGGTGGTGTTGCAAAGTGTATGATGAAATCCAAGGATGGTCTCTTACGGAAGAAGAAGTATTGGATCACAATGGGCTGCTGCGCGAGCTGCCCCAGGCTGCTCTCGTTTCTCTCGCCAGGCGTCTCGCCCGGCAGGCCTTGGTTCTCAATGCGCGCCCATGTGAGGTAGACATCGAATAGCAGTAGCAAGATGCCGAGCCGTACAATTGAAGGCTATCGGTAACCCCCCTCTTTGTTAGCAAAGTTCCGAATCTCCTTCTCTCTTCGCTTCTTCTGCACCGGTCGTCGTCCCACAGCACACGTACATCGAATCGGTCGCCGTCGCGCATCAGCGTATTATGTAATAAATGTCGGTAGACCTGCTCTTTTGTTAGCGCTCATGCTCCTTCCTCGAAAACGCTTCGTCGTTGTTACAGGCATACCTGGGGCTTGATGAGGACCAGGTCGATGAAGAGGACGACAAAGTCGTGCTCAACGTACTTGTCGCAGAACCGCCCGCATTTGCGGCAGACGGTCAGCCGAATGTTGTGGCCGCTCGCCTTGTCGCCCGCGCCTGAGTACTGCGTCCATAGCGTCTTAACCGGATGCCGGCACTCGATGCAGATGGGCATGGCTTGAGACGTTGGGGGAGCGCGTCGGTATCCCTTTCCATGTGACGGTCGTGGAGTTTGCCCTGGCCCCTGGTTCTCTCTGTTCGGTCGTGCCTTCCAGCTCTCTCTGACTTGCTGTCGAGGGGGTAGTTGCGGCGTGGAGGAGGTTCGTCAGATTTGTGGCGCGCGTTCAAGCTCGCATCTGGGTAGCTTGGTGTAGCCCGTTGGAGTTTCCTGCGCCACGAAGCGTCATTGCGCCACGGCCAGATCTGCCCCACCAACATGGCACTGTGCAATATACGCTTCGTACTAGATGAGTAAATTTTCTGTATTTACATTCTTTATTAGAATGACTTGTTTAATACGAGAATTTTATTTCTCTAAAATAAAAATATATACCCAGCACATGCCCGTTACGCCGCGCAAGAGCTGCATGAGTGCGTTGTCCACCAGGCCAATGATGTCACATATGTATGCCCTCTCGCCATCAAAACGCCCTGTCCAAGAAGCAAAAGAGAAACAAGAGAAGATTCTAAAAAAAGACTATAGTTGGAAAAATAAAAATGAAGTCAGCTCTCGAAAAACAGAGCTGTGTGAGAGGTATCCTCTTTGGTGGCTAACAGGAAATATTCTTGGGTATTATATCCACGCGTGCTCAGCCAAAACATGTTGCCCTCGCCAGTAGTTCAGACTACCTAATCTGCCTTCTTCCCTTTACCCGAGGCGCCAGTGTTGCTTCGAATCGTTGCGGCACCCGTGCCCCGGCTATGGCTGCTCGTGCCGCTAATTGCCAGTGGCTCGATGAGGCTCCCCAGGGGTTCGTGGTAGACTCGGCCATCGTCACTGCCCGTGTCCGTGAGCTCGATCAAGTCGCCTTCCGCTCTACTGGTGCCCTTGGACCGGGGCCGCATGAGTGGCGTCGTGGGCCGCTTCGCCAGAGCTCCACGCAGCCAGGTTTCCACGGCCGCGGCCGCCCTATCCAGCCCCGTTCCATTGGAATTGATCCCGGCGGAATCCTGGCGACCGCCTTCAAAAGAGCTCTCGGCAATGGAACCGTTGCCGCCTCTGAATCCAAACTGCGCAACCTCTGAGTCCATGACTGACATAGACGGTAGCTGGTCAATGTTCAGCCCCGGAAAGTGCTTGTTTGCCCAGGCATTCAACGAGTCCTTGTCGGGTCCTGGCGCTCGCACATTGCGCCCCATGGTTCCCACGCCGCCAGGTCTCCGCATCCAGGCCGGTATTTGCTCTGCTGCCTCGCTACCTCCCCTGCTTCGCGATGAGACCGGTGTCAAAGACAACTGCGCTTGGCTGCCGAGCGAGCTCTGCCGTCGCGTCGGGTGGTTTTCTGAAGGCCCGGGCATGCCGATGGAAAAGTCCGAGCTTTGACGTGGCGTCGACGCTGCTGAAAGGATGCCTTTCTTCCGCCGCGGGGGAAAGTAGCCCATCGATTGACGAGAGACTCGTCCAATCTCCACGGGTGTCTGGAACGAGTCTATCTGGACCCATCGAACATGGTTCCATGGTTTGCTGTCTTGTTCAATCTGAGGAGCATCGTTCTCGCCAATATCAGATAATGAGCTAAAGTACTCGTCGTGCTCGGGTCTTGCCTTATTCGACGGTAGCGGCGAAGGAGCAAGTAGATCAGTTTGCTGCGGAGTTGCGGAAGCCGGAGGATCGCAAGGAGAGCCGCGTATTTCACAAGCATCGACCGGCAATGTAAGCCATTTGCGTGTCTGGATGCTATCGCGCGACCATAACCCGTTGGCTTTACGGAAGACGTCTTCTCGGCATTGGTATCGCAGAATTATCCCAGCATACGTGTCGTTAAGAAGCACATGATGAATGTAGACCAAATAATCGTCGGGTGGTTGCTCTGGTGTGGAAATATCATCCGAGTTGCGACGCTTGTGCCGTCCGGTGGCATCCAGGCCACCATTGACACCTTGGTGGCTCTCCAGAACGCTCGCCGTCTTAGCCGCTCTCAGTGCGGCGTCTCGCTCAGCAAGCGAGCCCGCGGCCACGTCCGCCAGGCTTGGGGTAAGCGATGGGCCCCACGACGTCAGCCCTCTGTTGCTGTCGGCTCGTCTGCGTCCTGGACCGCCGGCGGGTGTTTTTCCGTTTGGCGATCGCGAGCCGTACGGGCTCCCCAGGGCTCTGCCGCCCTTGGGTGCGGACAGGATGGACGTGGCGAATCCCTGGACAGAAGACCAGCTCTGTGTCAGCGATTCCCCGAGGAATTGGCCAATGTTGGCGGTGCCACCGCCGCTCGCAGACGCTGCGTCGGCACGCCCGCGCTGCGAGCGCGGCCGCGCGGCCGATGCCTCAAAGGCCGACAGCAGGCCGCCGCCGCCGCCGCCAGGCCCCGTGGCGTCGTCGTCATTGTCGGTAGTATTGTCGTCGATGCTGATGAGGCGGCGAATGCGTGGTCGGACGGCGCCGCCAGAGCCAGCAGCCGGCCCCGCGGCCAGCCCTGACGACGACCTCGCCGAATAGCCCGGTCGGCCAGTCATGCTAACCGCGAACGGGTCGACGGCGGCAGCGCGCGGCTCTGCCGATGGTTGTGCATCCGTGAATGGGGGGTTTTGGTGAGGAGATGATGCCGTGCGCGCGCGGGTTGGGAAGAGAAACGTTGCCTGATTGTGTGTCGTTGCGGAAGGGCCTCACTCGTTAGCGCTGAGCTAGGTGGGTATGTCGCAGTGACGTACAGGTTGGTCACCCACCAGTAGCCTAGTTAGCGTCCGCAGCGCTTCCCAAGCACAGAGAAAGCCGAAGGCGTCGCTGTTGTTGGTTACGACCCTGCGATGCCAATTACGGAGTACGGATGGCCGAGGGGGGATAGCTGCTCGCTGTGGTTTGAAAAGGCCAGCAAGATACCTATGCTACTTGGATGATTCGTCGAGCCAGTGAGGAGGGGCTCGATTGCTTGCTGCTTGTCCGAGAGCGTCGGCGCCAGCGGAGTTGTAGAAGGTCGGGAGCAGTCAACCAGCGAGCGGCCCGTGTCAAGAGAGTTTGGACAGTCAAGTGTTTGAGGAAGACTGGGTCCGGCCAGAGCGCCTAGAGTTTTCGATGATTAGCTCTCGTCCTTGCTCTCGAGTCGAACAGGACACATCATGTCTCTCGGCGTCTCCAGCTCGCCTGTGGTTTCAGTGGGCTCGGCCGCTACGCCAGAGAGGAACCAGCCGGCTTGGCGCTGGCTGGCTGGCACGAGATTCGGTCCGCTAACAACTCGTCTGTCTGTTGTGCCATTCGTCTTCCCTGCCCATCTGCACAAGAAAGATCAGACTCTAAAGGCGTCGACTTGATCAAACTTTCATAAATATAAATTGAAGCGCAAACGTAGTTGTCAAACAACAGCCCATGCACTCACTTTATTCTGGCAGTGTTTGCTGTGGAGCTCAACCCCTTCATTGTCTGCGCCACCGACTACTACCTAAAGGTACCTGAGCTAGGTGCTGTACTTCATGAACCGTTGTTTCCTGGCAATTCGCTTCTCTCAAGGATGCTACACCATTTTGTTTCCACTTCGTAATAATAAACGCCATTCGACCCATACACAGGGTAGCCCAACTGCCAATCCATAAAATATTGAAGGAAAAAGAAGACTCAAATGTCCCCCAGCGGGACCTACTAGTTGTTATTGGTGGCTGCGTTGCCAAGATTCGACGGTACATTGTTGCCCAGCGCGTCCAGGTTCAGCTGGCTTGGATCCCCCTGTATGCCAAAAAATTGGAACCTGTGGTGTGGTGTCGTTAGCTCTACAAATCTATGTCTCTATATCCGTCCCTAGAGTGAGATACATACCAGTCTTCAACGTTGAGTGTTGTCGGCACAGGCTGTCCTGCAGCTGACCCTGTGCTCCAACTATCTGGGCTTTGCCCATCCTGCCCAGCCGGCTCAAAATTGCTCTGCCACATGTTTGCATGCGTAGCAAATCCGGGGACTGGCATTATTCCATTGCCGTTACCGTGGCCATTGACATTGCCTTGGGTATTGCCTTGGGTATTGCCTTGGGTATTGCCTTGGCCGCTGCCGCGGTGCTGAAACTGCGCGGGAGGCACTCCACCGGGCACTTGTCCCAACCCGCTTGGGTCAATATTCTGATGCGTTTGCGATGGCGAGACATTGGGGATTCCAGTGCTGTCAGGGAACAGCTGGTCCGGCTGGAAGTTCTCCCAAAGCGACTGCGAGATATTGGGCGAGTTTCGAGTAACAAGATACAGATCAGGGGGTGTGGCAGGAACCGAAAATGAGGGGTTAAACGGAGTTGCGGGTCGCGTCTGTGGACGCGAGCTGGTGCCTCCCATGAAGGTATCGTTCGCTGGTCGCTGTGTAGGTGATATGTTGGCCTGGTTGTTGCCAGGAGGACCTGCGTCCATCTTGGCAGCACTCGGCGTTTGCGGACGGGATCGTTCGTAGGATTCTTGTGGTGTCGGCGCGTTTGCTGTAAATTCCATGGCCATGTCATCAAATTTGCGTTTGCTTTGGTCTTGCTGTTGCTGCTGCTGCTGCTGCTGTTGCTGCTGCTGCTGCTGCTGCTGTTGCTGCTGCGCCTTGCTATGCTGATCTAGTTGAGACATGCTTTGCTGCATTTTTCGGTGACGTTTGCCCGCAGCCTTTTGTAGGCGTTCTTCGAGTACCTTGTTACCGATGATAGACTCAAAAAGCGTGTACACCATTTTGCCCACTAGCCATACTCTTGAGACCTCCTTCATTGCTTGCATGCAGCTTCGTAGTCGATCATGAGTTACCTGCTGAATAGATGGGACAGGCGACCGCATCTGATAGACGTGCATGATCAGTGCAGAGAACAGGCTGTACACGATGAAGGCGGGGCAATAGCGCAACTGATCATGTGCTGCGAGGTTCTCGACGATCGAAGTAATCATGGCCGCGGCCTGGAAGGCAATGTTTCTTGACGGGTATGGCGAGTCGTCCAAGGTTCTCGGCCCACCGTTTGGAGGCATATGTGCCCTGTGCAGAAGGCAAAGTGTTGTGTAATAGTTGGAGTGCAGCAAGGCTGACCAAAAGTGGTGTCGGGGCATTTCCCAGTAGACAACCTTTGGGCAGTTCTGGAGCCAGTCCGCCAAGGCCATGTCGCTGTGCGTAAGATCAATGGCATTTCGCTGCCGGCCCTTGGATGCAACCGAGTACTGTTGTGACAAGACCAAGCCCATGATCTCACATAGCTTGACGTATTGGAGGAAGAATTGCACGTGGATCTGATCGGGTGCAAATTCGGGATGGTTGCCGGACTCGTCTTCAATGAAGTCATCTTCTGTCAACATCTCAACGTCCGAATCGTCCAGGTTGATTCCAACGGGTCGACCAAGGGCAACTGCGACGGAGCGATCACGGGTGAATAGTGTCCACCAGATTCGCTTCCACAGGCGCTTGTCGGACTTGCTCAGTTGAGACTGCTCGACTGAGCGATGCATCCCAGATCCTTGCGCAACAATGGTGGCAACGCGGCTCCAGTAGAACACATTCTTGGTCACGTCTTCGGGGCCTTCCCAGTACCAGCCCATGAGCAGGACAGACTGTACAATCGTAACGCGGTCGTCTTCGTAGTTGGCATCATACAAGGCCTTGGCACGCTTGTAGAAAGTCAAAGCAGCCGGGGTAGTCGAGCCGTTGGCATCCATGAGCTGCTGATTGCTGCAGACACGAGTACCCGCGAGTAGCACAGCCTGTAGGAGTAGCAGCGAGGGAGGATTCTTGGGGTCGCGATACTGCTTCATGAAACGAGCTCTGTTAACAACAGGGACAATTGGGTGGACCCATTTGAAGTATGAATCAATGAGCTCGTCGCATAGGGATCGAGGCGGAAGCAAAAAGGCTCCCCTTTGATGCAGGATATCAATCTCGACATTGTCCAGTTCGGTCAGTCTGGCACGAGATCCTCGGACATTTTCAGGGAGAGGGTAGTGTACAACATCGGCAGAGCCTTGTCTGTCATGGACGAGGAGAGTCAAGTTGGAGGACTCGCCCAGATATGCAACACGGCCAGCTTCAGTGATGGGGGCACGAGTGAACTTGGGTTTCATAACCATGTTCAGGTAAGTGCCAGTATCGATGTCCTGTTTGCGTGATTGTGCCTCAGTCAGGAGGGCAAGCGGTGTGCCTTCTATCGAGTGCGATACCGTTGGGGGTTGTGGGTATGTGACAGAGCTGATGGATGTTCCTGTTTGAGATCGTTCATCTCCTTCGCCTCGGTCACTAGACAAGATTAGGTCAGGTAGCAGGAAAGGCAATGCTTGCGGGGGACAGCGCACCTGTCTGAATCTTTACCAGTTTGGCCGGCGTTACTCTGAGCCTTCTTTCGTTTCGGCGTGGGGATGCGGCATTCAATTTGGAATGCGACGCAGTTGGTGCAAGGCACGCCAAGGCTGGCGGCATCACAACGAACCTAATGGCAGCGTATTTAGTATGGGGAGCTTGTGACAATTGGGGGTAGCAGAATCAGCATACTTTTCTCGCATGGCAAGTCTATTGGCAGGATAACAGGTGAGAATGTCAGCAGTCAAGCATATGGGCGAGTGGTGCAGCGTGATAACGCGCGGCGACTGCGCGGACCCAGAGATGCCTCGGCACGAGGAGCTGTTGCAGGGCTCGGGCAGCGGAGAACGTTGGAGCTCCAGGCACATACCTCACATGCACGGGATGCGCGTTGTCTATATCGGGTAGGGCTGATCAGCAGGAGCTCCGATGGCATTCAGGGCAAGCGTTTCTCACCTTCTAAAACTCATCGCGTTCGCGGCCGCGACGGCGGCCGCGTTGGCAGCCGCGTTGGCATTGCCACCAGGCGACGATTTTGTGGGAGACTGGCCATTTTGGCCCCCGTCGCCCGACATGTCAACGTCCATGGCAGCGGTCGGGAGCGGGCGACGATGATATATTCAGAGATTTGATGCAAAGATGGGGATTTCTGTTCGAGAAAAGGAGAGCGCAGGCAGGCGAGAATCAATCTCAGGAAGAGCAGAGCTGACGCTTTCGAGGGCGGGGGGATGCGCCTGGGGGGCGAATGCGCGACGACTGCAAGAGGAGACTTGCGTGCGTGCGGAGCAAGTCAATCCACACCACTGGCTCACTAGCGGCTGCGGGGGGGGATGGAGGTCCAAGAAGAGGGCTGCCAGACGGCGAGGCAGCCGGACGTACTATTCGGCGGCACACACCAATGAGAGAAAAGCTAGCCTGGGGAACTCGAGGTCCGGGACAGGAGCCGCCGTGATTGGTGTCGCGGAATAACTCTGGGCGGCGGGGGATGTCGAGAATAAATGAAGCTTCTTGTAGCGGTTGAAACCCGGCGACGCGCAAAAGACGAGGACGCGGTCCGGATGGCAATGCTGCCGGATCTTGCAAGGGGCACCGGCGTTCAGGATGGTAACTTTGACGGGGTGGATACTGGCTTCGTCGACGAGGTTCCGCAAATCGTGGGGTGGGCAGGCTGCGCAGGCAGCTCTCGTGTGCGGCACCGGGGTAATGGGTAATGTGAATTGAATGATTCGGCAATGGCGCGGGGGGGTCCTGGGTGGGCGCTTTGAGGCTGCGACGATGGAGAGGTCAGGTTGGTGATGTCGGATCAAGGTTGTCGCCTCCGTTTGTCCTCGATGGGCACAAAATCGGTCATGGAGCGTCAGAGCTCTTGTAGCGGAGCCGATGGGCAGGTGGCAGCCAGCGAGGTAAGACCAGGCGTTTGCGCACTAATAAACACAACAATGTCGTAAAAGCGGCACCAAGTTCCAGTTTGCACTGTTGCAGGCAATGCTTTGTTGTTGCGGCTGGCTGACAGGCCAATGGCGTTAATAATCAACGCACGGTGAATCGCCCATCAGCAGACTCAGAGTAGTTACCTATTCCGAGGACCAGGTGAGGTTAGCTGGTCAGTCGTCAAACAACAGCAGAACAAACAAAGCTCCGAGGAGAAACAGAAAACGAAACAGCAACAAGACACCAAAGGCAGGCGAGGGCCGGGCAGAGAAAAAGAGAGAATCATCAAAATAAAACAGCCGAGGGCCAAACTGGGGCCGAGAGTCCTTAAATATACTTGTACATGACGGCCGGACAGTCCATTCACTAATAAAGCTTTGCTATTCGACAGTATAAGAATAGCCCCAAACGGCCTTGTTCGTTCCAGAGGCGACGACGAACAATGACCGGGCTGTGTAGGAAGCAAAACGACCATGCCCGGCCGAAGTCACCCGACCATACCCCCCAGCTTTTCGCGTGCGTGTCTTGGACTGCGGAGAAAGGACACCATCAAGGGCTAGTTTGTTGGAGAAGACGGGTTGGGGATCTGAGGGTGGTGGACGTGATGTGGTCGCCTCACCCACCCGCCGCCGCCGCCGCCGTTTGACCAAAATCCGGGGGAGCGGGCGGCCAGTGCATAATGCGAATGGCGCTACAGACCAACTACCGTACCTACCTAAAAGTAATTACCTTAGTACTTACCTAGTAACTGCTAACCTCCTACCTAGTATTACTTTTAGTAGGTCATGAGGGGCAACGACACACGACCGACAATCCCCAAAATGGGCCGACGCCATGCCGTCGCGTCTGGGCTTTGCAGCAGGCATCCGACAGGCTTTCCCCAGACGGGATGACGCAAAGAGGTATTGTGCTCGTGTTTTGCTTTGATTTTTCTTGTGTGTCGTATCGTCGTTTCCACTTGACTAACAGCAACCAGCTTCCCAGTGATGCCGTCACCTCGTCGTCGTGCCCGCCCGCTTTGGCCTGCCCGCACAAACAACACACGCAACCCTCCCTCTGCAGCAAATCCACCGATGCAACTTCAATGCAAGTCGACGAAAAAAACCAGTTGGCTTGGCCCAGGCCTATTTCAGGTCGCCGCCACCGCAGGCTAGCGGAAACAAGGGTGGCGCACCCCAGACTCGAGCTGGAGGCGGGAACGGGGCCGTTGGCGAGATTATAGCACCGAATCTCCTGGCATGTGAACTAGTTGGGAAGTGAGGCTCTCGGGGTATTGTGCAGTTGCCCTCGTTTCCGTCATCGAGCACCTCCCCAGGTTCAAGCGAGATCCGGAGCCATGTTCAGCGGCGAGTTGACGTGATCGACTGGGCGACTGCCATCGCGCCGCTCTCACGAGAGCACGGCATCCATTATATTGGGCGGTAACATAGGTACCAAGTATAATAGCCAGGGCATCTCGCGAATCTGCCAGTTCCTGGCATTTGACGAACTGACCAACGCTTTGGCTTCTACGCCGCCGTTCTCGGCTGAGCCATCGAATATCCACATGTCAGTGGGGAGCCGCATTTTTCTTCTCCAACTTTCTTTTTTTTTTCGCCATCCGGGGCCGAGACTGATGAACGGGCCTGGGGCAAGGCAAGGAGGGCTTGGGCACGACTTGGGTTTCCCCTGCCTACCTAGTACCCAAAACATCAGCAGAAAATAAAGAAGCGTGGTGCCCACGGCCGGCCGGCTGCCCTGATAACCTTACCCATTGCGAGGGGAAGGACCCAACTCGGCGCATGACATATCAGCAAACGTGGAAATAAATACCTGCTCCAACTCAAAGCTAGCGAGACTTTGCAATCGAAAAGAAGAAAAGAAACAGAAGAAGCCATGGGGACCGGAGAATATCGCACAACAACATCTCACTCCGGAAAGTAGATGACCAACGGGCCAGTCAGTCAGTCACCCAGCCAGCCACGCGACGAGCGATCCAGCACGGGCAGTATCTGCGACGTCGGCCCTTTGTCCTGAAAAGACGAGTACCGCTCAAAACGCCGTCTCTCCCTTCAGCCGCCATCAGGGGGAAAGCACATGTCCCTGCCGACGCAGATGAAGAAGATGGTGTGCAGGTCAGGCACCAAACATAACTTCACATGCTTCTCGGCGGTTTTTTTTTTTTCAAACACGTTTTTGAGGCCACCATCAAGGCTCTCCTTCTTAATCTATCTGCCGCAACCTTCATTTTATGTGTGCTCTCTGTCTAAAATCTTCCGTCTGTTTCCAACCTTCAACAGTCATTTCTCCACCTTCGAGAGCAAAACATCTTCAAAAGTAACTACCAATAATCACAGAGCAAGGCACTGGGCAGTCACCATGAGTTAGTACATAGAAGCCGGCCTGGCCGGAGATCCCCGTGCGCGTCTGACCCTGGTCCCACGCCCAAACTACCTACACATCTTGCGCACGCTATTTATTCGTTGACGTCGCATTCTCGTGGCATCTCTTCATCGGTGAGTTACAGCGGCGACCCGACCTTTCCGGCCTACACCATCCGCGAATCCGCCGTGAAGCACGTCGCTTCTGTTGCAACTTGCAAGGGGCATGAAGTGATCGACGCTCCCCGTCCACCAGCCGGCCACGCTACGACTTGACTGGGCCAATTCTCGAGTACAACAACCTCTGTCATCAGCGGCCGTCTCTCTTTCCAAACCATCTGTACTCGCTCGTAATTTCCCTACGTTTCAAAGCCTAGTCAGCTCGCATCTTCACCTTATCAGCTCATGTAGGGCTAATTGGGGCATCGTTGTATACTGTTGAAATTCCGCCATGGACACCGCCTGAGGTAGAGGGAAGGAGGTATCCTGTAATGTTACCCGTCCTTGTCATCTCCAATTTTGGGTTTTTTTGGTCCCCTAGAATTCTCGAACGACCTTTCTTCCATTCCACGCCGTGGGATAGCGTGTTTCGGATTCGCAAACTGCGTCACATTACCGCAGAGCATTAGAGCAACCACTGATAATATCCCATGCAGTCAGTGTGCAGGAACCGCATGACGAGTGATTTCACTTTGAAAAAATTCTACTCGTCAGTCTGTTTCGGCTTTGTTTTTATGCGTTCTTCCACTACATATTCAACTAATACCCCTGTCTTGTGTATTAGATACCTGATATCTGTTGGACTTCATGGGATATTGTATCTATAGTGCAGTGGTGTACAGCGCGAGTCTTGATTACAAGGTTAACCCTGAGAATTGTTACGTCTCCCCTTGTCCCATTAAACCTAAAAACATGTCATTATTAAATATACTTTTCCACCTTTTGCTTCTTCTTCTATTGTTAGTTCCTCTTGTTGCTCTTTTTGCTGGACGCATGCCCATTCGTGCCCGCCGCCTTACTACTCGGCGTCTCGGGTGCGTGGGTATGCTGCTTCACATGATCGCCCACCTGGACGCCCGAGACAAACAACGCGCTGACGGGTTCCAGGGCGGCGACAAAGACACATAACAGGCTGGCAATGGCGAAATGGCTAATCGTCGAGCCAATCTCGAGCCATGAGCCCTCGTCCTTGACGACCCAGAAAAAGTAAAGCGTGAGAATGTCACTAATAGCCATGACGATCATGAAGAGCGCCGAGGGCGCGACGCCCAGTCGAATGTTCAGCACGCCCAGGTTGGCCGAGATGAGCGCAAAGGGCACCATGAGCTTGAATATGAGCAGCGCGCCCTGCGAGAAGGGGTCGAACACGGGCAGCAGGCGGTTGACGCTGTCCAGGCTAAATGACGAGATAGAGGCAATGTTACCGGTGCTGAAAAACGCAGACTGGAGCAATGCAAGGAAAAAGAGCGCAATTCGGGCGTCAGAGAGTCGCAGCGCTCTGAATTGCAGGCCATCCCGTTCAATCGTGACGTCTTTGCTCGATGAAGATCGCCCAGATACCTCGATAGAGTACTCGAGACGGACCCAGGCAACCAGGGTGATGCAGAAAGCAACGTAGAATAGCCCCTCGTATGAAATGGTCAGAATGACAAAGGTAGGCGAGCAGGTGAGGAAAATCAGCATCAAACGGTGCATGTAGTTGCTGTTGGGCTGCAGTCGGTGCACAAAAGGCATTAGCAGCGAGATAGCCAAGACTGTCCATCCGACAACTTGGTTGCCGAGTGGAAGACCCGTCTTGGCTGCAAGCGATAGCGCGCTTGAGCGAGTAACGATCATGGCCAGAATGGTCAAGCCAATCTGAGCCCCCATCAAGGTGCGGCTGAGGGGGTTGCTCAAACTCTTGCTCTTGACGAGGGGCTTACTGAAATCAGACAAGACAGTGTCCTCAAATAACAGGTACAAAACGCCAATAATGACCATGGAGACGCCGCCAGCCAGGATCAGGGGGATGTTGTCCGTCTTGTTGGCGGGAAGCAGCGTAAAGGTACTCATGACGAGGCATGACAAGATCCAGGTAGCGCAAAGGGTGGCGCTGTTACGGAGGAAGGAGATGCCGTAAAGCAAGGGCCACAGGGCGCCAAGGACATAGAGACCGGTAAAGACTTCACGGTGGATGTAGCCAAGTGCAAGACCCTCGATGACAGCCACGTAAATGATGACGTAGACGCCAAAGCTGAGGGCAGCGCTGGTAGACCTGATGTGGGAAGTGAGAATTTTGCGTCCCTCTGCGAGGCTCCGGCGGCAAGCAAACACTTCTTCCCAGAAAATGACGGGGAAAACTGCATAGAGGTAGTAGGTGATGGAGGACTGGGAGATGATGAACGAGGCGTATAAGATGACCAGCACCGAGGAAAAGAAGACGAGGGCAACGGCAGAACGCTGAGGCTTGAACTTTTGGCCAACAACAAAAAGATCGATAACAGTGGTGATGGCATAGGCCATCCAACCCAGATAACCGATGGTGATGAGCGCTCGCAGGAACAGCCAGTCGTAGGTCTGGAGATAGCGCAGACCCTCGAGCGTAACTTGAATCAGGGCATCCGTCTCCTCGATGGCCTCTTCGTACTTTTTGCTCTCAATGAGGATCTTGATGGCATCAATGCGCTGGTCGGGGCTAGCATTATGCTCGCTAAAGGAGCTATAAGGACGGAAACGAAGCTCAGTCGCCCTCTTCTTGGCTTCTTTCACGCGGTACATTTCCAGGATACTTTGGGCATTGACAAGCGATGCCTGGGCCTTTTCTGTGTTTGTTCCGGCAAGATAGGAAAGCGGAAGCTCGCCAACAGAGTTGGCAGGGAAGTCGAGGCCAGTCAGGTAGGCCATGAGGGCGGCGATATCAGCCTGGGCAACGTCGTGGCGACGAACTTGGTCGAAGCCCCAGTCTGCGGAGAATTCATCATGACCAGGCGCAACAGTGCTGGTGTGCTTCTCCGGGCGAGCGACACCAGAGCCCCAGGCCACCAAAGGCGTGCGAGTGTTGTCAGGATGACCGTCTCCGTGGCTGCCCCAGTCGCTCATGCCGTGGTCAGCGGTGAAGATGTAGGCAGTCCTGTCGTCGCCATAGAATTTATCAATGAGTTCGGTCATTTCCTTGACACCTTGGTCGACAACCTTGATGTTGTGGAGGTACTCCTTGGAATATGGGCGGTACGCGTGTCCGGTGGTATCGATGCCAAGCAGATGGAGGAAGAAGACAACCTTGTCTTGTCGCAGCGCCTTGTCCAGCTCTTTGTTTGTCGCGGCCCCAGCAAAGAAATCCTTAACATGGTCAAACACCCAGTAGTCCAAGATGGTAGCATCTTTGGAAAAGTCTTCGAGCTCGGCTTCGTAGGCAAAGGCGTCTACACGGCCAGGGACGGCACCAGCCTCGAACATGGGGACAATATCGGGGCTTCCCCAGCTGTAGGTGTGGCGGCTGCGGTTAAAGACGCTGTCAAAGTGGACGGGGTTCATCTTCCAGCCAGTTGCGACAGCTGATACGTCCTCGTACAAGCCAGCGATCAATGCGACATGGCCGGGACGGGATTCCGTGGGCACACGGGTGTGAGAGACGCCAAAAGTGCCCTCGTTGAGGACTTTGGAGCGGATAAAAGGAGCGAGGGGTCGGGGGACAAGATCAGCTTCGGTGTCGGGGTATGGCTCGGGAAAGGACTGGAAGGCTTTGTCTGCGCGCAGACCGTCGCCTAGAGAGAACAAGATGAGGATTAGCTTCCAATTGAGTCGCGCATGGTTGCCCGAAGGTTGGCATACCAACAAACAGCACCAATCTGTCGGCAGGCGCCTTGACAGATGGGGCGCGCTCCACGCCATGGAGTCGCATGCCTGTGACGATTGGGCTGACAAAGTAAATGTCAAAGATGGAATAGATGTAGACCAGGTGAAAGATCATAGCCACGGCGAGGAAGCCGAAGCGAGAAAAGGAGGCCATTCTTGATGCAGTAATATCCTAGTCTGTAGAAATAGAAACGAGTGTGTGTATGCGTCGGAATCCGTTCGTATCGTGGTTCCCACAGAGGTGTGTATATGTTGGACTCGGAGAAGCACCTTGATAAACTCGACAGGTTGTCTTTCGGTAGCGCGGGAGGGGCGCTGCAAAGGAATGGCTGGCGCAATGAAAAAAAGGGCAGGCAAGAAAGTCGGAAGGGCAGAATTAGACAAACACCATGACAAGATGGCGATGCTCGGCGCAGCGTTGGGATGCAATGCCGATTGGGAAACAGAGTGGCACGCAGCTTGGGGCCAGATGTAGTTCAAACGAGCTTCAATCTGTACCTTACCTAGTACCTCTAGAAGGAACGGACAACTATAGGCGGGCAGAGATGGTGGAGGCGGCGGCGGCGGGCGGCTGCTGTAACGAATCAGTCATGGTCACTGGCTCGCTTCAGGGGCTTTGCCTGCTAAAGGGGCCCCTTTTCGCTGTTGCTAGAGGGTCCACAGCGGACGCCACACCCACTGTACCAAGTGCTAGCGAGGAGGCACGGCTACCATCTCCTGCTACTCAGCTGACACCAATGACCATCATGCTACTACGTCACGTTGCCGCGTCTTCAACCACCTTTGGTCCATCGCCTTGTTGGCCATCTGGTATTTCATAACCGTGACTTGTATCTCTCACCCCAGGCAATGTAGTGTGCAGCTGGACGGTAGGCAATTCCAGTGACCACGCTACTGTGACGAATGCTCTACGATGTAACTACCTATGTAACTGTAGCCCTTTCGTGCTCTACTCTGATATAAACGGAACAGCTCCACGCATCGGATGACAAGCAATGGGACTGCAAGATACCAGCATTTCAGTTGACACGAACGGAGGAGAAGATACATACCCACATTTACACTATAATTACTACCGATTTTATCCAAAATTTAACACATCGATTGCCGATCGCCCGCAATCGCTTTCCTTTCCCTGAAATATGTCCAGGGTAGGTCACTACCTACCTACCTGTACACAAAGAATGTCACAGATCCCGACCAGCGGCTGCACTGAATAAAAGTGCTAGGTACCGACCTACCTAGGTACCTAGGTAGGTAGGTATATTTATCTGTATCCAAGCAACAGAGCCCAACCCCAAACTACGGAGAGTCCAGAACCAAGGGGAAAATACCAGGTAACCAACAGCAAGATCACAAGTCCCGTCAATTGCCAACAGGAACATACATCTCATTGTCTCTGCATAATCATTCAAAACATGGAGCTTCCTATCCCAATGTTCGAAAAAATAAATAACCCAAACCAAATGCCACAGGGTATCAATTCCAAAACAACGCCATAGCAATGCATCCTCCGCTACACCTTGGTCCCTTTTTACTCGCTTGACTCCGATTGCCTCTCCCTCGATACCTTGACAACCTTGCTGTAAAAATTGGCCAACTGCGGTCTCCCAAACTCAATTTCCGCGCAAAGATAACTCGGTAGGCGTGCAATCAAGTCGGCGTCGCGATCAGACTGCAATTGCGGCTTGTAACTGACCTCGGACTTCTCATAGCTGACTGTGGAACTGCTGCCAGGGATGCCGAGCTTAAAGTGAAGCGCTGCGTCGTGTTAGTAGTCTTGTTTCAATGTCGTACCGATAGTCAAGTACTTACTGCCGTTACGGCCGGTTTGGATGCAGTCAAATATGTCCTCACTACCATTCTGTTTCACCCCCTGGATAATGAGACCCGTAAGATCTGCATACAAGTCTTCCTTCGCGTGCGCAGCATGGACCATTTCCGATTGGCCTGTCCAAGATTTTGCCGCGTTGCCCTTGACTGCGCTGCTGGGAATGGCAGTACCGGGAGCTGCCCGGCTTGCAGAAAGCTTGGCGTTGAGGGCCTTGATTTGGCGATCGGCCTCATCAAGAGAGCTAGTTAGCTCCTTGGCTTTATTGGTGAGCTCTTGCACGTTGCTTTGGCTATCCTGCAGCTGCAGACGCAGCGAATCCGCGTCGCTCGCTATTTGACGTTGGGCAGCTACTTCTTCCTTGAGCTTGGCGATGAGCTTGTTTGCGGCTGATAATACGGTTAGTGCATGCTTGCCTTGCAAGTATGAATTGGCTATCGAGTACTTACTTGACGCATTTTCGTCGGCCTGCTTGCGCAGATTCTCATAGTTTCGCTCGGCGGTCTTAACGCCGACCTCACGAAGCTCAGCATAGCGGCCTTCGAGATTCTCGTATTTCTTCGTCATTTCGCGCAACCGAAGCTCTATCAACGAATTCTCTCCCTGTGTATTTTGCGATCTGCTCGTCGGACACGCATGGGATGAGACTGGCGCGGTTGATTGTCGGCTCGTTGGGACTGGGAGCTCCTCCTCTTCCTCTTTTGGCTCAATGACGTCCACCATGTCCATCACACAGTCCTCCTCCAACTCTGCCACAAATTCTACCGGGTTGCGGCGAGCTTCCCGCCTAGGTGATGAGGATGTATAGCGCTTCGTTATCGCGAAACTTTGCTTAACAGGTCGCGATTCTTCGAGCCGCTGCTTTTTCCGAATTTCCCTTGGCTTATGCAATTGCAACATACTGTCGTCGTCGGACAATTCATCACTGAGTGGGCGAACAGGCTTCTCGTCTTTACTTTTGTGTGATGGACGTGGCGCATTGATATTGTTACTCTTGTCCATCAACGCTCGTCGGCCCGGTGATGATCGGCGCGGGGCTTTTCTTTCGATGGATCCTGCCAGTTTTGAAGCAGGCTTTGTGATTCGATTCGATGCTCTAGCCACCGAGCTCTGTCTCTTGCGCGGATAGACTTCTAGGCCTCCGAGGTCCGAATCCGAATCGGAATCTACGAGTGTCGCGAAGCGCCCCGCATTGCGCACCCGAGTCGCCATGGCGCTGTCGCGTGCTTGGTAGAAAAATGAAGGCAAAAGTTGGATGAATAGGTATAATATATACAAAATCGCGGCGTACAGACGCACCCGGTTCGTGAAGCGAGCAGCAAATAGAATGCGACCGTGACACAATAATGGTGGTGATGCGGAAATGTATCTCGACTTCCTGTTTTGGTTCGATGTAAACAAAATGCCTGAGCGGGTCTTTTAGCGCAACGACTGAATTCTTAGTCAGCAGCCAAAGGCCGCTGCCTTGTTCCTTTCACTAAGTAACTTAGCGAGGTGACGTGCGTCACAAGCCGAGGCTTGTCATGTAACATCAAGTACTGGGGATGCGCAACTAGAGACCGCGACCAGTGGGCTCGGATGCGCGCCAACTTCTATACGGTTGGAATTTCCTGGGGGCCACTATAAACAGGAAAAATCGTCTTCATTTGCGGAAGCATTAAGCTATCAGATTAGTTAGTTCAGGTTGGCCCGTCTTCTCTACCGGCTAATTGTCGCCACCGCTTCATGTGAAAGCCCAACTAAGGGCGTAGGGTACCTACAGGTACGCGGTGCAGCCACAGCCACAACACCTGCATCAACCAGAATCGCCGGCCGCATCACTTTCTCTTCACGCACATCGCCCCCCTCAAAATCTCACCACTGGCGAAGCTGCGAAAGGCTGTACGCCTCTACCTCGTCTTTGCCCCAGCGACATCTCATGCCCGATCAGTCAGCGTCTTGGCTACGCTGGGTCGTCGGAATGGGCGAACGCCGCAAACTGGGCGATGTCGCCATGGACCTCGTGCTTTTTGCCGGCATGGTATGTCTCCTTCATCTCCACAACATTGCCCAAGCTTGAAAAAAAGCCTGACCAAGACCGAAATTATAGATGACAGCTGGTCTGTATATTGCGCGCAATTTCTTGAACCCCATCCTCAGCAACCTCGCCGACCCCGACAAGGAGAAACACGACCAAGCCAGACAGAAAGCCAAAGCCCACCTTGAACGCATAAACCGACGACGCCAAAATGAGGCTGGTGTCGGTGAAGGAAGCGATGACTATCGGAATGAGTCGCGGGTGGAAGACTTGGTCCTGAACGAATACGAAAATTTAATTGCGCTGGAGATGGTCGCTCCCGAAGACATCCATGTTGGCTTCGATGGTCAGTTGGAAACTTTGGTAATCGCTAAACTGCTGAATGATGCTAATGGTTACAAAAGCTATCGGAGGTCTGGATATGATCATTGAAGAACTTAAGGAATCCGTTATCTACCCTCTCACCATGCCACACTTGTACTCGCATGCCGCACCGCTTCTGTCGGCTCCCTCCGGCGTGCTTCTCTTCGGCCCCCCCGGCTGCGGAAAGACCATGCTCGCGAAGGCGCTTGCTCACGAGAGCGGCGCTTCTTTTATCAACCTACACATTTCTACCATGACGGAAAAGTGGTACGGCGACTCCAACAAGATTGTCAAAGCCGTCTTCTCGCTGGCGCGCAAGATGCAGCCTGCCATCATCTTCATTGACGAGATTGATGCTGTTCTCGGCACTCGACGCAGTGGCGAGCACGAGGCTAGTGGCATGGTCAAGGCTGAGTACGTATTCGAAAAGACCCTGATATCTCTACACCACGAATACTAACAACTACCAGATTCATGACGCTGTGGGATGGACTGACTTCTGCCAACTCCTCTGGCATGCCCGCACAGATTGTTGTCCTCGGCGCCACAAACCGTATTCACGACATCGACGAAGCGATTCTGCGCCGAATGCCCAAGAAATTCCCCGTCCCGCTTCCCGGCCAAGAGCAGCGCCGCCGCATCCTTCAACTCGTTCTACAGGACTCCAAGACGGACCCGCAACACTTTGACATCGACCAGGTGGCCAAGCTCACCGCCGGCATGTCCGGAAGCGATATTAAGGAAGCCTGCCGTGACGCCGCCATGGCACCCGTCCGCGAGTTTATGCGTGAGAACCGCGGCACCGGCCGGCCCATGCACAATGTCGATGGTTCGCAGTTTCGCAGTATTCGAACCGACGACTTCTTTAGCAATCGAGGCGGCCAGCTGCCGCTAGGAAACGGTGGTCTGCGCAAGGCGGGCAAACGCAGGGGACAGAGCAACAAGGGCGGCGGCACGCAGAGTGATGAATACGAAGACGTTGATGAGTTAGTTGCTGAAGAGCAAGATTTATTTAGACTGGATATGCCCTGACGGATATTGCCCTCATGGGTATGGAAAACACGGAACACATATGTATAAATACCACGCCGCTTTGCACGATTCTGACATGACTCATTTACGAAATCGCTAATGCTAGATTTTGATGAAAACTGTGCAACAATGTGATATCAGGTTGAGAAGTTTGGATGGATTGTTGACTATGTACTGATTCGATGACGAACAGGCTGACGAAGCCTTTCACGTCGTGTACCCCCGATCCCCAGTCTAAAAAATTGTGTCCTTGCGTATATACAGTTAAAAATTACAAAGTGGTGCGGTCAAATGCTTCTAAATGGCACCTAGACTAATCCTCTAGGTTGGCTTTTCCTATGACCTTTAGCTTTGCAACGTACTGGTGACGGATGACCCATATAGTAATGGCCACACCAACCAGGCACGAAGCAAACGTGATGCCATACGCGGTGCGGTAGCACTCGAGGCCTTCATGGCAGGAGCGCTCACCGCTAGGGTAAAAAACGCTGTGGTGATCTAGGATGGAACCGTATACAAGGTTGAAGATGTTGGAGGAGACGACGGGGGCGAGCGTCATGAAGCCCCAATTCTGGCTGAGGCCGTGGATGCCAAACGTCTCGGCCACGATGGAAGGGAAGACACCAAAGAGCAGACCGTAGGCGATGCCGGAGAGGCCGGACAGCAGGAAGAGGTAGCTGGGCGTGGATATGGTGAGGCCGCAGACCTGGGCCACGGTGAAGATGAGACCAGACGTGACCAGACACCATACTCGACTGGCCCCGAGCTTTTTGACGAGAAAATCGGACCCGATGCCTGGGTTGACGGCCGTTAGCAGATGACTTCCCGTTGGGATCAATTTCGTTTGGCACATACCGCTGAGAAGACGCCCAACGAAGCTACCGATGGAAAGTATCGAGACATGCATTTGCTGACGATGAACGAGAAACTCTTCGCCTTTTGAGCTGTCGTAATGCTTCCATAAAACGTTGGCGTCGTTTCCGATATTGCTATGTTCCATCAGGCTTTCAGTTCTACCGAACCCGCAGCGCGCGCACTTACTTAATGGTCATGAGTCCAGCGCCCGCCAGAATCGTCATGATGGCAAACAATTGCCCAAACTCCAGGCTAGTCAAGAGTTGGAAGCCACGAATATCTACATGATGAGACGGATCTCTATCAACACTTGCATTTCCCTCATGATTCGCCATCGACGACCCTGACATGAGGGACGACGTCTCATCTGCTGCAGCGTCCTCGGTGTCTGTGCTGTCTGCCGCTCGAGCAGTGGCAAGACCGGGACCGGAATGATCCGCGGTGACTTGGGCAGTAGTAGTAGTAAAGTTATTGGACGTACCAGGTTCATCATCAAACAAGCCGCGCGGCTGGTGGTTGCGTCCCGACGACGTGCGCCGCAAGCGCTGGCCGCTCCGGCTGGCGCCCGGTTCCGCGCCCGGTTCCGCACCCGGCACGGCCTGGTACGACATGTGAGGGTAGGCCTTGAGGAAGAAGAAGCCGCTCAAGGTGAGCGCCACGGTGCCCCAGGCCAGCAGTTCCAGGAAGGAGCTGGGGTCGCCCGGGAAGAGGATGGACCCGAGAAAGGAGAAGAAGAAGGCGCTGAGGCCAAAGGCGGCCAGGGGAAACGCCGTCGCGGTGCCGCGGTGGTGCGGCCAGTTGAGCGCCGATACCTTGACGGCGGCGAAGAAGCCGAGGCAGCTGCCCATGCCGGTGAGGTACGAGAAGAAGCAGAGGACTGGCACGGAGCCGGCGGCGTTGTCGTAGGCACGATGTAGTGGGAAATAACCGACACCGAGCAGCACTGCGCCGAGGAGGACGGCGGGGCCGGAGCCGACGGCGGGATGGTCGACAAACATGCCGACCAGCGGACCGAGCGAGTACATGCCCAGGTTACCAAAGAGGCCGACCAAGTTGCTCTGCGTCGCCGTGAGCTTCAACCGCTCCGCAAACTGCGGCGCCCATGCTGAGTAGACATACTATTGGTTGGTTGTGCCATGTTAGCGGATAAGTGTTTCAAGTTGGCGTCACCTCAACGTGTGAGACGAGGTGGCCTTTCGAGGCCGCGGCTTGTCGTAGAGATGGCTAGGTGGAAAACGCACATTTGTCCCGCAGGCCAGCGAGATGACGGTAGCCGCAACGCTAGCGAGGATCCTTTTCCGATGCAAATCGTCTGAATGCATGGCGGGCAAGCGCTTTTGCGTCGCGTAGCGTTTGGCGGCAAAGGGAGATGGGTTCGCGACCTGGCGGTTCCGCTGAGACGGATTGCGAGAGAGCAAAGAGTGTCGGGGTGCTAGCAGCACAATCCCATTGAGAAGGACAGAGGGCCGCTGTTTTCTGTAACAGCGACAAGAAACAAGGAGAAGAAGAAATCAGAGAGCGTGAGACTAGAATGTTCGGATGATGCAAGAAGATAAAGATAATGGATGGTGCCGGGTCAGTGTCCCGGCGGATGTTTGGTCGCAGATAGCGAAGACGTCAGTTGTCCGTCTTCGGCCCAGGGCAAGAGAGTCGCCCCCAAGCTAAGCTCCAAGACAGGTTGCAGTATCAAGCCTGTAACGTGCGCTCAAACCTGCTGGAGACGCTGCGTTATAGCGCATTCGATGCCCTGCGCAGCACGTTTTTGTTAGCGGCATCCAGTGGCGCCGCCAGAAAGGCGCTTACGTAAAGCCTTTAACATCGGGCGGGCTGATCCCGTCGTCATTCCAGGTCGCCATCCTCACCAAACAAATCCTCAGCGACCAGCGAACCACCTCGATCGCGCTGGCAATCCATCCGTACCCTATTATCGCAATACAAACCGCTCGCGACCGATTCTTTCCCACACAAAGCACCCTGGCACACGTCGCCTGCCATGGGTGCGCTTCTCTCCCTCCCGCTCCTGGCGGTGCCTAGCCTGACCACAGTAAGGACCTTCGCCACCACCTTTATGCGACCACTTCCTTTTTGCTTGTCGACTGACAAAGGCGACCGCGCATCATTATAGCTCCTCGGCTTCGGCGCCAGCTGCTGCGGAGCGGCAACATGCTCCATGGTATGCAGCGCCTGCGGCAAGTGCGGCAACAGGTTCGTCGCCCTCGTCCAAGCAACGCGCGCCACCACGGCCAAGTGTCTACCACTAACCCTTTGTGCCTGTCCAGTGTCGCGACCCGTATCGCCTATGCCCTCATCCTCCTAGTCAACTCGATTGTCGCCTGGATCATGCTCACGCCGTGGGCCATTGAGAAGCTGCAGCATCTCATGCTCGACTACGTCAAGATCAACTGCCCCAACGGCGAGTGTTACGGCTGGCTCGCAGTGCACCGCATCAACTTTGCCCTCGGCGTCTTCCACCTCGTCCTCGCCGGCCTGCTCTTTGGCGTCGCCTCCTCCAAGGAGCCCCGCGCGGCGCTGCAAAACGGCTACTGGGGCCCCAAGGTCATCGCCTGGGTCGCCTTTGTCGTCATGTCCTTTCTCATCCCTGACGAGTTCTTCATGTTCTGGGGCAACTACGTGGCGCTGATTGGCGCCATGCTGTTTCTTCTCCTCGGTCTCATTCTCCTTGTCGACTTGGCACACGGCTGGGCCGAGTACTGCCTCGCCAAGATTGAGGACACCGATTCGCGGCTCTGGCGCACCGTCCTCATCGGCTCCACGCTCGGCATGTACGCCGCCTCCCTAGCCATGACAATTGTGCAGTACATCTTCTTCGCCGGGTCGGGTTGCTCCATGAACCAGGCCGTCATCACCATTAACCTCGTCTTCTGGCTCATCATATCCGTCATCTCGGTCAACCCCACCATCCAGGACCATAACCCCAAGGCTGGTCTCGCCCAGGCTGCCATGGTAGCCGTTTACTGCACCTACCTCACCATGTCCGCTGTCTCCATGGAACCCGATGACAAGCAGTGCAACCCGCTCCTCCGTGGCCGCGCGACCCGCCGCACCTCGGTCGTCCTCGGCGCCATTGTCACCATGCTCACCATTGCCTACACGACGACCCGGGCCGCCACCCAAAACTTTGGCCTAGGCAGCGGCCACAGCGTTCGCTTGCCCGATGACGACGAGCATGACCTCGTCACTCAGCAGCCCGGCGGCAGACGCGAAATGCGCGCCGAGGCCCTCCGCCGCGCCGTCGAGGAGGGCAGCCTTCCCGCTGACGCCCTCCTCTCCGATGACGACGACGACGAGTCGGGCAGCAACACAGCACACGATGACGAGCGCTCCCGCACCCAGTACAACTACTCCATGTTCCACATCATCTTCTTCCTCGCCACAACGTGGGTCTCGCTCCTCCTCACCCTCAGCCACGAAACGGCCGTCGAGCCCAACAGCGACTTTGCCAGCGTCGGCCGCACCTACGCCGCCAGCTGGATTAAGATTGTGAGCGCCTGGCTGTGCCACGGCATCTACATCTGGAGCCTGGTCGCACCCGTGGTCCTTCCCGAGCGCTTCGACTTTGCCTAGATATTTGTACATTGGCGCGTCCTGTTCGATCAAGCGTGCTTGGGGGTCTGTCTGTATCCGTTAGTTTTTGACATTTGTTTTATTCCCATGGCGCTCTCTTGTGGATGGCGTTTGGAAATCATATTTGCTACGAAATAAAGTATTCTTCTTAGCGCACTGTTGGCTGAAACGAGTAGCTTGTGTGTGCCGTTCTATTCTTGGTCACCGGTATATTTCAATCTTGACACATTTCTCAAAGAGAGACCTGCGATGATGAGTATAAATTATTATTTATTCAAAGAACTGAAAGGTCTGTCCCATCTTCTGAGACGTCCCCGAGTATGTAACATTGATTTGTGCGTTGGCGTGCTGGCCCTTCGCATCTGCCCTTCTGCTAACAAAGCACCGGGGAAGTCATTCTTCAAAGTAACCCTCACCCCCTCCCTTCCGAATGTAAAAACGCCCTGACAATGCTCATTACACAAGAAACAAGATTAAAAACCCGAAGAGGCAGGAAAGAACTCGAAGAATAGTCCCAGCTGCCAACGCACAAACCCCCGCGCCGCTCCATTTCTCTCTCTCATCTGTGAGAGAGGGACGGAAAAAAGTATTAGGTATTAATGAAAATCAAAGTCTTTCTTTGTTCAACGATGCCCATTATTTGCCGTTCATGAATGAAAACGAAAAAAATACGGGTGAAAACAACAATGGTGGCGGTTGTCAAAGCCGAAAGGTGGAAGCGGAGAGGGCAACATCGTGCGAGGTGCAGGATGCCTGGACGCAGCGCAGGGGTGGCCGTAATGTTCTATTTGCAATGTATACAATGAGCAGTCCTCAAAGCAAAAGCGTATCATGACGATTTCCCGTCTGTCCTGCTTTCATCGGCATTCCCCTCAAACATAGCGCCAAGGTTACTGACCGACCATGATGTAGAGGTAGCGTGAAGGAGCACGAGCCAGGCGGCGATGATGTTGACTAGATAATGCAGCAGGTAGGCATGAGAGACGCCGTATATGGCGGCACACAGAGCAGTAGCGAACAAGAGAATGCTTGTGACGTGTCGCAACCAGCTTGATACTTGCGGTACCATGCGGCCAGTCGTCATGTTCTCGACCAAAAGGATGAAGGGTGTGATGGAGAGTACATTGTGGTGCGAGGAAAAGGGTGTAAGCCAGTGTACCGCCAGGTTTCGCACCCACACAGCCAAAATGGGCAAGTTGATCGGGAGAACCCACATCATCAACAGCAGAATCGAGTGCGTGTAGTGGTAGTAATTAACATTGGATGTGGACGGCGTGACGGCACTAATGCGGAGAGCTCTGACGGACGTAAAGAGTTGGACAAGACACGCAACCAGATAGGCAAACTGGTATGGGATAAATGTTGCCACTAATAACAGAAGAATTGCGGTTGAAATCATGCGTCGTCGGGGAGTGGATGGTGCGAAGATGGGAGAAGCAACCCTGGCGCTTCCGTGGGCCGCATCGGCGCTTCCGCTGGGCCGGAATATGATAAACGCAAAACTGAAAAGCTGTGTGAGAAGCAGAATGGTGTAGTGCAGAGCGGTGCAGACTCCAATACAAACGATACCAATTAGTGGCACCATGAAAGTGAAGACTGGGTCGTCGCCACCGATCAAAAGATCATTGCGATGAAAATCGATAGCCGACACCGTGTCCGCCAACGGGCAGCTGTGTCTGCTGCTATCAATCCGTGGCGCTACGCCAATCGAGGTCGCCAAGAGCGTCAGGGAGAGAAGTAACAGCGGAATTGATTGGCGGAGTGAAAGGTCGAGACTCTCTGAGAAGGAGATGAAGACGCCAGTCTCGTCATAGACGCGGAACTGCTTGCGAAGAACCAGAGTAACTATGAGTAGCGGAAACGCTGCAAACACAGTGCGGTAGCGCATGTACAGTTTGCCCAAGCTGCCCAAGAGATCGAAAGTTACGGTGACCTTGATAGGAGCTTTGCATGTCGGATCCGAGAAGAATTCCAGGGTGACACCTTTGTTGGCCTTGTGAGCCAAGGTTGGTGGCATATACGGCGCTGCACCATGAAGGCTGATACCGGCCTGCGATATGTTGACAAAGTAGCGCGACTCATACGGGCTCTGCAGGAATTGGCGCAGCATCGGTGCAAACATAGCATCCTTAGCACATGCTCCAGATTCCACTCGAAGGTTATAAGCCAAAAGACTGGACTCAATGGCAGGAACTCTCGCTTCTACAACAGTGGGCCTCGTCGCGGGCAAGGTAAATGAAAGCCCAAGTGTAAGCAATCTACCGAGCACGATAGTGTGCTCTTGTTCAAAGTCCAAGAGGTTGCTGAACTCTGCGATAACGAAATTGTCAACAGGTGATTCCGCCCTGTCGATGATGGCAACAAAATGATAATCTGACAGATGCTGGGCGTCGTATCTCAAGTGCGCAAAGGGAACCAACTCTGGCTCGCCGTCACGGTAAAATGGGTTGATGGTGCGCTTGGTAGAAGCTGGCAGAACAGCCACGTCGCCTGCAGCGTTCTTGCACGCGAGTTTCATGCCACTTTTGTTGAGCTGAGTGAAGTCCAATGTCACAACAAATGGAACACTGGCAGCAGGTGCTGTCAGTACGGTACAAAGCAAGACCTCGAGAGAACCGGATCCGGAAACATCGCTAAGCGGGCTGTTGGATATGAGTGAGAATCGCTTGCTAGCGGGGTCGGCCGGCGGAGGAATAGGTAGGAAGTGCACTTGTTGGCTCGGGCTGGTGCCTAGTTGCCTCAAAACTAGACGTTGGCCTGTTGGAACGAGATTCTTCATGTCCTCGTCAACCATAATGAGGGTAGTAGCTTGACCTTGGTTGATGGTTTTTTGCGCGTTGGGCTCCAAGCCAGTCAAGAATCGCTTCCTAAACATAGTCATTCTCTCAGCTCTAGGCTTGGTCTGGCTGGCCCGATTGACATCAACAACGTTGAACAAAGCCTGGCTGACAACCTTGCGGAATTGATCGCACCACATGATGGCTTGGTGGTCAGCACTGGTCCAAACTGTGGGTACACCAGTAGTGTATACAGTGAAGCCGTGAGTCTCAGGCACAAGCGAGTCAATATCGGCGTAATCGGAAGGCACAACAGTGTCAAGGCTACCGCCAGCAATGGAAATCAAGGTAACATGCCAGAGCGGGTTGCTGCTGGCCCACTTCTGGGTGTACGCTCTCCTCCAATATTCGTTTATCTCGTCGTATATTTGAACGATTTGCCCATCAAAAGTTACTGGCGGGCGGGCATGCGGCGCAGACATTGTGACGATGGTATTAATCGAGTTGGCTTGGTAATTTGGCTGCACAAGCATGGTGCGAGCAACGACACCGCCCATGGAATGGCCGATGATAATGACGGACGTAGGATCGGGCAGGTCGGAGTCGCGGATGACTTTGTTGGGGTCAGAATATAGAGACAGAATGTAGCGAATAGCCTCATTCAAATATTCGGCTTGGTCGAGCAAGGTCTGGCCATGAAAAGCGGTGATATCTTCGTTGAAGTCGACAGTGAAGAAATCGAGGTTGCGAATGCCAGCATTGAGCGAGCTTCCGTCGTGCTGAAGGTGTTCGTAAAAGTAGCTTGCTGCCTCGGCGGCAATCGGCCGGACTTGCTTGTAGCTGCCGGCATTGCCAGGAATAAAAAGGACCGGAACTCCGCGAAGCTGCACGGGAACAGTTAGCGACCAACGAGGCACATTGGGTTGACAAGAAAAAACGTACCTTGGCCTCGTCATCAAGCCCCTGCTCACGATATAGATGAAGAGAGTACTTGGTGGCGAAACGAGTGTGCTCGGTGTCGAACTCGCGAAAGTGAATATACGATGGTCGCATATACGACATGCGACAACCCTTTGCATCCTGCTGCCTCCTCACCAAGGAGTGGACGATAGCGGCAAGCAGGAGCAGACCCAGCGCGGCAGTAACAAGGGCGAAGATGGATATTGACCAAGTACCAAAGCGACGGGCATGGCTTCGATGGCGGCCAGGCGGGCTCGGTTTGGGATGGCCCATGCCCGAGGAGGTCGCGGGCAGTGTTGGCGACTGTGAGATGGGAGGAGAGGGGGTTATGAGCTTTGGGGATGCATGTCCGTTGCCATTGGAGGGTAAAGCATGGTTCCAATCGAGATTGCTAGGCCGACGGGATACCCGGGTCGAGAGTGGACGAGACTTGAGGCCAGAGGGGCGGTTATCGACCTCGGCGAGGACATCGGGATCGATGGGAGAGGATTTGTCACCGTCGTCGGTCGACCCCGAGGAGCGTCTCGTCATGGGTAAAGCTCGAGGGCTCCCGGAAGAAGGAGGCGGACGGGAAAGCAGAAGAGTATCGAATCGTCGCGGCAGTCAGAAGGCAACCAGGCAGAGAGCGTCGCAGTCGCACTGAGGGAAATGGCGTTGGCGTCGGCGTCGACGTTGGTGCAGCGAGTTGCTGGGACCAGGCGGCCGCTTAAGCGCAGGGCAAACTTTGGCGACGGTTGCAGCAACAAGGCCCAAGATGTCAGCACTCGAGAGACAGAGATGGCTGGTATCAAAAGCACAAGTCGTCGCACGAGCGAAGGCGACACATGCCGTCAGGGTCGTCAGTCCGGCCGAAGATGAGCGCACAGCTAGGTGGATGGGGGGAACGGAGCTGGAGGAACGGCGGTAAAATGGGAAATTGGCTCTTTGATACTGTCGTGGGTCGTGGGACTATCGCCGCGATAGACCCACAGGCATGGGCGACCAAAAGAGGCTAGAGGATGGTGTGAGAGGGGAGGGACATGATTGGATGCGGCGAGTTTCAGGGGGTATGAGAGGTGGAGCAGGAAGCTTTCAGTGGTGCATTGGCTGTAGGAGAACGTTTTTTGGGGGGTGGCTGGGGGCTTTGAAAAAGCTGGGAACGGCGACCGTTGGGCCACGGGCGAGTTCCATCAGTTCCATCCGCCATCCTCGTCCGGCAGGCAGCTAAGAAGTGCCTAAATTGGCCCTCTAGTGGGCTTTCAGTGGGCGGCCAGCGGATTTGGGCGGGCCAAGGCCTGTAATATTAAAATATGAATGGCTGAGCTCCCTGTACTAACCTACTAAGGTACCTGTGTAATAGTGGCAGTTCAGGCAACCAGTGGCCCTGAGGCGCAGCAACACACCACCTCGCCAATAGCACTGCTACATTGATTTCGTATTGACTGCATCTCGTAACTGCAACGGAAAATAATCGACGCTCATAGTTACGGTGTGCCGAGCCAAGGCTTGAGTTTGGTTTCTATACCAACAAGTATACCTACTTGTGGCCCAAGACACCGCGCATCGCTACAGCCTTGAACCAAGGTAATAAATACCTCACCCCTCCATGGAGCTACTGCACGTAATACTGACGCCAGACATAACAATTGACCTGCATGTTAGTACATGATAAACAAGCTCCGGCCCTTGCTTGGGAAACATGCTACCCATGCAATCTGTAAATGCCCGTACCTGTTGCATGTCCAGCAAGCTACATCGCGATATCTTGGATGATTATCACGAAGCTCGCTCCGTATTAAAATAAGACCAGGAAGTGTGTGAATGCAGTCCTCGTGTCTCCCTCTCCGTATATCGCAGCTCAATTCATATCCCCAATGCTCTAGTAAACGACTGCGGCAAACGGCGGCTACACATCGGAATCCCCAAAACGGAAGTGGGCCGGGTGCGAGATGTCAGATGTGGATACACCTCACCTGAGGGTACCTCAGTGAGTTCGGCTGAGGGTGGCATCCCTCAGATGAGGTAGCCCCATCTTTTTTAGAAGTATACAATACATCTAACCCTAACCCTAACTAACCATAATCATATACCATTACCCTAAGTAACCACTAACCCAAGCACCTAACCACTAACCTAACCACTAACCTAACCAAGAATTAGTTATAAACCGATTACTAATTAGTAATAAACCGATTCAAAATCAGTTATAAACTGATTGACCTTGTATAGTGTACATTAGAAAATAGTGGGGCTACCTCATCTGAGGGATGCCACCCTCAGCCGAACTCACTGAGGTACCCTCAGGTGAGATACTGCCTGATGTCAGATGGCGCGGCGGGCTTGTCATCACCCTTGTAGCGTCGTTGGCTTTGGGTTGGGCTACAAGTCGGCACCTGTCAGTCAAACCGCGTTGGAGCTGTTCACTTTACTAGAAGCTCTAGTTAGCTGCAAAAGTCTAGCCTGTTGGGGCCAGTTATTGGAGGAATGAGGGATAACCTGAATGACCACCAACTTTAAAAGCCCCACTGTCCTGCTGAGTAATACAGTGATGCATCAATCAACGCGTCTAATACCGACGTGACGCGTGCACAGCAACGGGCGGCTCGGGTAGACATGCCTGGTGAATGTGACTGGCTCTTTCGCATGCGGAACCGCGATAACGATGTGGAAATTTCAGACTCAGTCGTAGCCTCTACATATAAAAGTCACTCGTCCGTTGCAATCCTCTGACCTGCAGCGCAACAGGGCTGCAACAGCCTGGTCTTGGCCATGCTTCACATTTGATCATGGCTACCATCAAGCAGATCGATGGACGAAGTGTATGCCGCCTTGCTCCTCTCACATTCATAATCCGCCACCAGCCACTGACATCTAACCAAGATCCATCAAATCCAATCCGGCCAAGTCATTGTCGACTTGTGTTCCGTCGTAAAGGAGCTAGTCGAAAACAGCGTTGATGCGGGCGCTACTACCCTTGGTACTTGCCGTCACCCTTATTTCGCCTGAACTAACATTGACAGACGTGCCTAGATGTCAGATTTAAGAATCAAGGCCTGGATTCTATCGAGATCCAGGACAATGGCTCCGGTATTTCGCCAGCCAACTACGAGTCCGTGGCGCTGAAGCACCATACCTCGAAGCTCGAAACCTACTCGGATATTGCCAGTCTTCACACCTTTGGCTTTCGTGGAGAAGCACTGGCATCATTATGCGCTCTCTCCACAGTCACCATTACCACTTGTCTTGCCCAAGACGCTCCCAAAGGTACTAAGCTTACATTTGAGGCGTCCGGAAAGCTCCAGTCGACGTCTATTATTGCCGCCCAAAGAGGCACAACTGTTGCCGTCGAAAAACTGTTTCATAACTTGCCAGTTCGTCGACGCGAACTAGAGCGCAATATCAAACGAGAATGGCACAAAGTGATTGCGCTGCTCAACCAGTATGCCTGCATTCTCACGCAGCTTAAATTTTCCGTGTCACAGCAGCCAACCAAGGGCAAGCGAATCCTTCTTTTTTCTACAAAAGGCAATCAAACAACCAAAGACAACATCATTAACATCTTTGGTGCCAAGACAATGACAGCTCTAGTGGCATTGGATCTCAAGCTGGAAATTGTACCCACCACATCTACTCTGCACTTAACCTCGACCGAAGCTGAGGCGTCCAAGCAAGTTTGCGTTCTCGGCCATGTTTCCCGACCCGTCCATGGCGAAGGCAGACAGACACCTGATAGGCAAATGTTCTTCGTCAATGGGCGGCCTTGTGGACTTCCCCAGTTTGCAAAAACATTCAACGAAATCTACAAGTCTTACAATTATTCTCAATCGCCCTTCATATTCGCCGACATTCGTTTAGATACAAACATGTACGATGTCAATGTCAGCCCAGACAAACGCAGCATCCTCTTACACGACCAAAATCACCTGCTAGAGAGTCTGCGCTCCGCCCTTGTTGAGCTGTTTGACCAACACGACTATACCGTACCAGTTGCGCAAGCGTTTTCCACTCTTGGAAGGTCCGCTACTCATGAAAACCTTTCTCCCGCACCTACGCGCGCCTCCAAGCGACAGAAGCAGCCGGAAGAGCCGGACGTGTCTGATACACCCCTCGAAGACGATCACTCCCAATCATCCGATGAAGATACAGCAACAGCCAACCCCACAAGAACCCCCATAGTCTCGACACACAGTACTGGTGCTCAGAGTTTGATAAGCCGATGGGCGTCTAACTCGGCGAGCTCACCTGCGGCCAAGATCCAGGTTGCGACCCCGCAAACGAGCATCAGTGCGAGATTCAACAAGCCAAGCGACGAAGTGCCTAATAGTGTCAAAGCTATTCGAGTGCGAGATTTCAATGAACGGCTTGCAGAAAATGCACCAATACCACTAGCCGAAGAGGGTGTTTCGGCACAATTGCACTCGACTTCTCCGGACGCCTCTCCGGAACCCCCAATCCCTGCCACACAGCCAATGAGACTAGTGGATGATACACCACGGACAAGGATTCCGCGAAGCCTTAAACGGGATCTGACGGAAACAATCACAGTTACCATTGGTAATTCGCCACAAAGAAACATTATTCTGTCCCCATCGAAAAGGCGAAAGACAGAAAGCATAGCTAGCGAGGACGATGACGAGGCTATGCTGTCCGATGACCAAGATACTCGGCAAAATTTGTCGGTTGAACGAGATGATGAAGATCTTGCACAGCAGCTTGAGGAAGAGGAAGAATGGTCTGAGCCTGAACCAGAACCGATGGCCAAGCCCCAGTTGGAACTCGAAGTGGAGGAAGAAGATATTGAGGCACAATCATCAGAGAAGGAGAGTGGAGCTAGCACGCCGGTCCATGCTGCAGAAGAGGATTCTGATGGGGACTTTGACGAGGCAAAGGCAGCCAACAACGAAGAGGATGAGGATGAGGATGGTGCTCCAGAGAAGGCGACATCCGCGACAGAGTTGAAACGAAACACTCTATTACAACCGACCTCTCGCCGAAAGGACACTACCCTTATTCTGTTACAGCGTCTCAAGATAACCCCCGAGCTGCTCCGTGCCCATGTTGATAGCTACAGAGCCAACGCGCTAAGAATATCGACAGCAACCACCAACATAGATTCCGTGGAAGACATAAGCGCCACAGATGCGGAGTCGAGGCTTCAGCTGATCATTTCCAAAGGAGATTTTGGCAAGATGCGCGTGGCGGGACAGTTCAACCTGGGATTCATCATTGCTGTCCGTCCACGCACGTCCCAATCTCCCACCACCGGAGACGGCGCCAGCAACGACGAGCTCTTCATCATCGACCAGCACGCATCCGACGAAAAGTACAACTTTGAGCGGCTTCAGAGCTCCACCGTTGTGCAGTCGCAGCGCCTCGTACACCCCAAGACCCTCGACCTGACGGCGCTCGAGGAGGAGATTGTCATGGAGAACCAGGCCGCCATCGAGGCCAACGGCTTCCAGATCCTCGTCGACACCTCAGGCGACGCCCCCGTCGGTGGCCGCTGCACGTTGACCGCGCTGCCGCTCAGCCGCGAGACGGCGTTTAGCCTGGAGGACCTAGAGGAGCTCATTGCCATTCTAGGCGACACGCCCGGCGGCGGTGACGCGCAGATCCCGCGCCCGGCCAAGGTGCGCAAAATGTTCGCCATGCGGGCCTGTCGCAGCAGCGTCATGATTGGCAAGCCGCTCACGCTGAGGCAAATGTACGGGCTCGTGCGACACATGGGCGAGCTCGACAAGCCGTGGAACTGCCCGCACGGCCGGCCGACGATGCGGCACCTCTGCCGGCTGCAGGCGTGGGACGAGCATGGCTGGAAGGGCGACGTGGTGCCGACGTCAACGGCGCGGTGGCAGGCATTTACACAACAAGAGGAGTGAGGTGTTGGAAAATTTGGAAGCCAGAACTTCGTACGTTTATGTCTAGTGGTGTTTGGCTGCCATATATGCATGCCCAGCTTGAACTGAGAGCCCTGGTCAAGAGATCAATGTACTACACTACAAAGTCATGGTCTCTATACTACCCTATATAAATCCCCCCATGTGACCCAAATCCATAAAATGCACCAAGTGAAACAAGAACAAGACAAATAGCAACCCCAGTTTTACGCCATCAAACAAGTAAATCTTCGAATGTCCACATCTGCCTTCCCTGTAAGAAGCTTGACCCGGTCTCGTCATCATTTCGTTCCGTTTCAACCAAAGTTCACACGAGACTTGCCCAAGCTTCTGCAATCACATATCCGAAACCTCGCTATCTTTATCAAGAAAATCCAGACATGGATGGCGTTGTGCTGTTGCACTAGCTGGCATAGCCAATCGTGAACCGGTCACCGGCAAGACCCTCTTCGGCTACCTTGCCACTTACGCGACGCCGCTCGGCAGCCCTGGCCATGGCATGGTAGTCGTTGCCGGAGGAAATCTTTCTCGTGTCGCCGACCATGACGGGGGGTGTGGCTGGGCGCAACTCCCCGTAGGAGCGTGAGTAAAACTCGCCGCCAGTGATGGCGGGCGGCGGGCGCAGGTCGGGCTTGTTGACCCACGGCGAGCTGACGCGCTCATTGCTGCTCATCTCAGAGAGGGCGCTCTTGGCGGAGAGTCTGGAGGCGGTCCACGGGGTCGTCGGACGAGAGGACGTGCCACCGCTGCGTGTCTGAAGGTGGGGAGGCGTGGAGGGGCTAGCAATCTTGGGGCTAGATGTCGGGTGCAAGCCGAGAGGATTAGGATGTTGATTGCCGCGAATGCTCCGGCGGGCGCTGTTGGCGTCGGCATTCTCATCATCACCATAGTCGGATCCAGAGTCGTCGGCATTGTAGCGCTGGTCGAGTGCCGAGTACGACTGTGAGCCTCGGGCATGGCGCGAGGTGTTGGCGGCGGTCGCCTCGCGGTTACGGTTGTTGGTACGGGAGATGAGCGAGTCGGTCGGCAGCCAGGTCTCGGTGAACTTGGGCGCGCGAGAGTTGTTTGCAGGGGCACTGTTGGCAACGTACTGCGGCCGGGTTGGGCTGGCGTCACCCAGCGCAATCTCCGCGTAGCTTCCCCTAGAAGAACGCGGGGCCGACACGCGACTGCTGACCATGGATGCGGCCGAGTAGGCCACTGGATTTCCGGATGGGATCTGGTATTGTCTCTGGGGGAGGTTAAGGCGAAGCTCATTGTTGACAAGCGTGTCCTGCGACTGCGTGCGAGTGTGCATGAAGGGAACCGAGCGAGGGTACGAGAAGCTCTCCCACGAGGCCTCGGACAGGTGCTTGGCGCTCTGCGCCGTTGATAGCCTCTTTTCGTTGTCGGAGCTGTAAGTCGTGACGGACGACTTGTTGCGCTTGTGAAACGAGGGACGGGCCGTCAGGTTGGACTCTAGCGGATTCATGTCGGGTGGCATGTCGCTGATCCGCTGGAAGGTGATGGCGAGCCAGAGAGACGTAAAGAACGAAACAAGGTGCAGGCCGCCGGCGCCGATAATAGTGTAGTAGACGGCCGGGACGAGATAGTCAAGCAGGCTCTGGTTCTTGATCAGAGTGGCCCACGAGGACGAATCGCGTTTGGTCATAAAGGCGCCGTAGGCGTAAAATGAAGCCGTCGCCAGATCAAAGATGCCTGCAAAGAGCTGGTATGCCGCCGTCGATCCGGGAGTTCTAGTCGTCGCGGAGCGAGAGTGATGGACGATTCCGTACAGACAGTGGAGTGCTGTAATGCCAGACTGCGAAGTAGTCAGTAAATGCCGGAGAGAGCCAGGCCAGGCGACAGAGAAGCTCTGGTAACTCACCACAATGCGCATAATCCAGGCTAGGATGCCATTCACACCGGTGAGCAGAATCATGAGAATCAAGATGCCAAGAGCGCCATTAAACTCCAGCACGCGGCAAAGGAGCTGCCAGCCACGAACCCATTTGATGGCCTTTTGTGTCTTCTTCCCTAGCTGTTGGTATGCGGATCGCTGTTGCAAGACCTCATGGGTGCTGCGTTATAGGTTAGCATCTCGACATATGACGAACCCCATTACCGGGGCCAAATTCATTCGCATGATAAAAAGACCTACTCAGGATGTGCGTTGAAGGAAAGCAGTGGCCCGGTCTGAGGTTTGCGCTTCGGCTTTGGTTCCCAGCTGGCGCGTGTGACGGCCTTGGGATCAAAGATCGGGATCGGGAAGCGTGAGTCCTGGCTGGCTGTCGCCGAGTACGTGTAGGGCTGGCCCGGCGCCATTCTCCAAGAATAGAAAGAGCTTTACCCCAGGTCAATTGGTCAATTTTCCGGAATGCTGAAAATCCCAAAACGTCCAAGTCAGTGGGAGAGGTGGTGGTCGAAATGGTTGTTTGTCGTTGGAATGTTTTCAAAGAGAAGAAGGAGGAGCTGGAATGACTTGACTGCCTGCGGATAACGCTCGTACATAGGCGGGGTCTCGCTCACGCTGCCCACAAGGCTTTTCTTTTTATCCCCTTGTCAGTCGCTTATAGGTAGAGCAGTAAGCCGTAATTCTTGTCAAAGCGTCGTGCGTGCAACCATTGTTCCGGTTGCGCCATGGTTTGCGGCGGCTGGTTGTTGTCCGACCGTTACCATGGCAACGTAACTCTGGTGGCCCGTTGGGCGTCGACTCGCAGCGTTGCCGCCAAGTTTCGAAATCGGCGATCTTGAGTGTTCCTTTAATGCTGGCATTGGCCAAATCGAAAATTATCATTTGATTTTAACGTAACATACGTATGTAGGTACTTGGTCGTGACCAAGACGCTCCAAGTCGTTCAATCATCTTCACCAGCGCCCACTCCAAGTCTCAAGCTCAGCTCAAACTTGTAGCTTTTAAATTGAGCCGACCGAGTTTCATCCCTTTATTCTACATGCTCTACATGTTCTAACTACAATGAGACAAAAAATGCGTGTTTGGACAACACAAACTTTTACAAACTATTCCTCACAGTGTCAAGTGTGTCCACAGCAGGCTAGCTTACCTAATGTTCAACGCTTCGTCTCTGTGGGATCTTTGCCGCAAGTTGATTAATTCGCACTGCTGCGAATAAAATAAACCAAATCTCACTTTTCAATTATGAAACCTGCAATTTTAAGCTCAGTATAATGCATGCGAAGCATAAATGGCGCCCTGCGCGCCTCGGCTATCGCTGTTTCCGACGACTCACCTCAGGCCTCGCGCCTCGGTCGGCGGATGCTCCCTTTCGGCTCGCCGTAGTAGGGTCCGGGCCTGCTGGATTTTACACGACATATAGAGTTATGAACAAGGTTCCTAACGTGAAAGTTGACATGTACGAGGCGTTACCTGTGCCGTTTGGTCTAGTTCGTCACGGCGTTGCCCCAGACCACCCCGAAGTCAAGGTGAGTATCGTCCTCTGGATGCACACGTACATAGACAACCTACTTACACGCATCTGCAGAATTGCCAGGATAAATTTGAAGAGATTGCATCGTCCCCAAATTTCAGATTCCTCGGTAATGTCGCCGTAGGCTCAATGTCAAAACCATCCTCGCCCGATCAGTGCCGCATTGAGCTGCAGCAGCTCTTGCGTAATTATGACTCCGTGCTCCTCACATACGGCGCTTCTGAAGACAAGAAACTGGGCATACCGGGTGAATCTACTCTCAAAGGCATATACTCTGCAAGGCAATTTGTTGGATGGTACAATGGTCTGCCAGACTGTGCCGGTCTGGAGCCAGATCTCGGGGGTGACGAAGCGGTTGTCATTGGTCAGGGCAATGTCGCTCTTGACGTAGCCCGGATGCTACTTGAAGATGTCGATGTGCTTCGGAAAACCGACATCACGGAACATGCGCTCGAACAGCTCGCGCAGAGCAAGGTGAAGAGAGTGCGTGTTGTCGGGCGTCGCGGTCCCATGCAGGTATGTATCGGCGACCTGATTGGGGGCATTATCAAAGCTGACAACTTACACAGGCGGCATTTACAATCAAAGAAGTGCGCGAGCTGATGAAGCTACCAAAGGTTGCCTTCCATTCTGTCGACAGAGCGCTGATACCACAGGACCTCAAATCACTGCCCAGAGCTCAGAAGCGGCTGATGGAAGTGGTTGTAAAGGGCACCGCGACAACCCCCAATGACACACCGTCATCTTGGTCTCTCGATAGCTGTTTGTCCCCAAAGCATTTTCTGGCCCAAGCCCAAGACGCAACTCGAGTTGCGAGCACCGAGTTTGACGTCACGAAGCTAGAGTCCGTATTTGACCCCAAATCCCCAGTCAAACCAACCGGCGAGACAGTCATTCTGCCGTCAGATGTAGTGTTTCGCTCTGTCGGTTACAAATCTGCGGCATTGCACGGCTTTGCGGAAGCAGGGATTCAGTTTGACGAACGTCGCGGTGTGGTCGACAACGATGGCATCGGCCGTGTCACCCGGCTCGTCTCAGACAGCAATGACCGAGCAACCAGACAGCAGGTATCAGGCATATATTGTGCTGGCTGGGTCAAACTCGGCCCGACAGGCGTGATTGCATCCACTATGAATGATGCATTTGCCACTGGTGATGCGATTGTGAACGACTGGCTCAGTGGCGCAACCTTTCTACAATCCGATGGCAAAGCCGCTGGATGGAATGGCATTCGCGGCGAAGACGGCACGGTCAACGCAGACAAAGCAATCGACTGGGAGAATTGGCGACAAATAGACAAGGTCGAAAAGGAAAAGGGACGCGTCAAGGGTAAGGAGAGAGAAAAATTCACAAGCACGACACAGATGTTATCGATCATCCATTGACCCAAAAGGAATTTCTTGTATAATCAAAACGCCTTTACATTGCTGTATAATATAAATCTACGAGCTCTTCAACTTCTCAGTTAGCTCGGGCACCTTCTCAAACAAGTCTCCTACCAGACCAACGTCGGCAATCTGGAAAATGGGGGCATCGGCATCCTTGTTAATCGCAGCAATGACCTTGCTGTCCTTCATACCAGCAAGGTGCTGGATGGCACCAGAGATACCGACGGCGAGGTACATCTCGGGGGCAACGACCTTGCCAGTCTGACCAACTTGGAGACTGTTGTCGGCGTACCCACTGTCGACGGCGGCACGCGAAGCACCAACTGCAGCACCCAGCGCGTCAGCGAGGGGTAGCATAATATTGTCAAACTCCTCCTTGGACTTGAGACCGCGACCGCCAGAGACAACCTTGCTAGCCGTGGCGAGATCAGGGCGGTCGGACTTGGCGAGGTCTTCCGACACCCATTCGGCGGTAGCTTCGGCCTTGGGGTCGGCGCCCTCCTCAATGGCAGCAGAGCCGGAGCCGAGGGTGGCGGCGGCAAAGGCCGTGCCTCGGACAGTCAGGATCTTGATGGCATCGGTGGACTCGACGGTGGCAATGGCGTTGCCGGCGTAGATGGGTCGGACAAAGGTCTTTTCATCCTGGATCGCAGTGACGTCGGATATTTGTTGCGAGTCGAGGAGCGCAGAGACGCGGGGCAGAACGCCTTTTGCAAAAGCCGAGTTGGCGGCAATGACGTGTGTGTAGCCTCCCTTCTTGATGTTCTCGACGAGCAGAGGGGCATAGTTCTCGGGGAGGCCCTGCGATTGTAAGTGTCAGCTCCCGCAACCCGCAAGAATGCATGGCTGAACAACGTACCTTTTCATACGCCACATTATTGACGATAAGAATCTTCTCAATGCCGTCGACCTTGGCAGCCTCCTCTGCGGCGCTCTTGACACTAGCACCGGCCAGAAAACCGTGGACGCTGCCACCAATGACCTTGGCCGCCGTCACGGCGCTCAAAGACCCAGCGCTAAGCTGACCGTCACGCTGCTCCAGAATCGCAAGAGCAGAGAGAAAACGTTGGCGGGCATAGGCATTGAGTGTCACTCGGCCAATGGCTGCCGTGGCAGGCCTGGCCACAGCTCGTCGGGCGGCGGAAAACATTGTGAGGCGTTCGTGGTGGGTTTGTCCTTGTCCTGGGGAATGCAGCGGCGTCACCCAAGAGCTGTTTAAGTCCAGGGCCGCCCGGCTGGCAGCGGGCCGAGCTGCGAGCAAATGCCGGCGGAGAGAACGGCGAGTCACGTGCAGTAACCAAGTCCGAGTGCTTCCGTTGAAACGTTCCCAACTCTAGCTCACGTGACAGACTCAATGTGGAAGTCACGTGATATAATCCCCCCCTGCTTGTCGCCAGCGTTGGCCAAGTTGTGTGGTCGTCGCTATGCACCTCGATCTCGTCGCGCCAAAATTTCCCTTCAGGACGCGACGCTAGGTAGCGCATCTCATCGATTTCGCAACGCCAATCGCAATTCTAGGCTGAATTTGCATCGCCGCTGTGCTTCTCTGCTCGTCTTGTTGATTTTGCTGATAAATTTGACGTTACGCGACGCGACGCCTCTTGCCTTCTTCGCCTCTCTATCCGACCCGCAACAGTAGCACTCTTGCGACAACTGTCTTCATCTCATCACCATGGAAGGCGCCGCGGCGTTTGGATCACCCAGTAACGGGGCATCCCCCAACGGCAACGCCATTCTTGCACAGCCTCCTCTTGAAGGAGAGAACCCTGCTGGTGCTAGTCAAGGTACCGTGTCTCGCGAAACAGAGGTGACCTTCCGCATCAAACTAACCGCGTGGTCCATCTAGCCGACGTGCAAATGTCGGAAACCGGCACCCAAGAATCCATCATCAAGCAGGACAGCTCCACACCTAACCCTGCTGCCGCGTCCGGTAACCCGCTCGATACGCCTGCAGCCCCCGCCGCCAACAACGCCCAGCCCGACGAAGAGATGGGCGACGCGCCAGCAGAGGCCAAAGAGGGTGGAGAGACCGGGGGTGCTGCCGAGACTGAAGGACAAGAGGTTAAGTCCAAGGAGACAATTGAGTCTGCGGCTCGCGATCACCTCATCTCGCAGACCCACGCCATTGTTCTTCCTAGCTACTCGACGTGGTTTGACATGAACGCCGTGCACGAGATTGAGCGCAAGGCCATGGCCGAGTTCTTCAACAACCGCAACCGAAGCAAAACTGCGGCTGTGTATAAAGACTATCGTGATTTCATGATCAACACCTACCGCCTCAACCCCGTCGAATATCTTACTGTCACGGCCTGCCGCAGAAACTTGGCAGGTGATGTTTGCGCCATTATGCGCGTACATGCCTTCCTTGAGCAGTGGGGATTGATCAACTACCAGGTAAGGCTTACTGTTTTAAGACATGCGCGTACATGGCTCACGCAAATTTAGGTCGACGCCGAGCAGCGCCCATCTCCTGTTGGCCCACCCTTTACCGGCCACTTCAAGATTATCTGCGATACACCTCGCGGTCTGCAGCCCTGGCAACCCTCCGCTGACCCTATCGTCCTCGAGGGCAAGAAGAATGCTGATACTGAAAGCAAGGCCAATGCTGCCGCACCCACCAAGGGCGACCTTAACCTGGAGATCGGACGCAACATCTATGAAGCTAATGCCAGGGGAGCCACAGTCAGCAAGACCGAAACTGGCGCCAACGGCGAATCTGCTGCTACAAACGGGGTGAGCGGCTCGCCCGACCTGACCAAGACACCAATCGCCAAGATCAACTGCCACCAGTGCGGTAATGATTGCACTCGCGTCTACTATCACAGCAATCAGACGGACGCCAGCACAAAGGGCAAGTTTGATCTCTGCCCTAACTGCTTCACCGAAGGCCGATTGCCTGCCAACCATACCGCCAGCATGTATACCAAGGTTGAGAACCCTACGTACACTGCAGCGATCGATCGTGATGCGCCCTGGACTGACGCCGAGATTCTGAGGCTCCTGGAAGGGCTGGAGCGGTTTGACGATGACTGGGGCGAGATTGCGGAGCACGTTGGCACCCGAACACGCGAAGAGTGCGTGCTGCAATTCCTTCAGCTAGATATCGAGGAGAAGTATCTCGACGCGGAAACACAAGTTAATGCGCCGGCCGGTCTCTCTTTGCTCGGAACCCAAGGTGGCCAGCTGCCTTTCAGCCAAGTCGACAACCCCGTCATGTCAGTAGTGGGGTTCCTTGCGAGCCTTGCTGACCCTGCCAGTACAGCGGCGGCGGCGAACAAGTCTGCCGAAGCTCTGAAGCGCAACCTCCGCAAGCAGCTGGATGGTGGGAAAACTGCAACCAATGGGGGCGGTGCCGAGGCCGGAGAGGACAAGGAGAAGAGCGACTCGATGGATTTGGATGTCGGTAAGGAGGAATCCAAGCAGTCGAAGAGCGCTGAGCTGGCATCGATTCCGCTAGCTTCCATGGGAGCCCGCGCGGCGGCATTTGCCTCTCACGAGGAGCGGGAGATGACGCGCCTGGTCTCGGCAGCGACGAACGTGATGCTGCAGAAACTGGAGCTGAAGCTAAAGTACTTTGGCGAGCTGGAGGCTGTACTCCGGGAGGAGCGTCGCGAGCTGGAGCGGGGCCGTCAACAACTGTTCTTGGACCGCCTGGCTTTCCGCAAGCGTGTGCGGGAAGTACAGGACGGGCTGAAGGCGGCGGCGGAGGCCGGTAGCGAGCAGGCGGTGCGGCAGGCGCATGAGGCGATGCGGGATGGCGACTCGCTTGGGTTCCAAGTGGTGGCGGGCGGGGCCGGGATGCAGGCGCCGAGTGCGGTGGGCGCGGTCAAGTCATTCGAGGCGTAATAGTTGTGATATTGCAAAATAATACCAAGGAGAGGCGTCTGGATTTCTGGGTATTCGCGAGGCGGAGAGTGACTTCTGCTAGGGCATGGATTTCAAGGGAAGATTGGTACAGATATTGGGCAGTGACAGGATAATGCTGCTGCGGTGAAGAAGGAAAGAGAGAATTTGGCATGAGGCCGCGTATGCTTGTCTATTTTTACTTGTAGTAGTAGTTACTGGTATTGGAGTTTTCTGGGCTCAATGAGATGAATTTCACATATGCTCGAAATGTATTGGCTTGGTTGGGTGTGAACGTTGTCTAGACGAGCTCGTTACGAGGGTCAAGGGCGAAATCGAAATCGGCTGGGTTAATAATTTACAGTATTTATTCTTGTGAGGTCATGTTTTTGGAAGAAGGATCGAAACAGTCATGTTGAAGAGTAGCGGTGGATGTTTTTTGTGTGTGTGTGTGCTGTGTGTGTGCTTGAGGTGTTTTCTGGAACATCAATCATATCGGCTGTGTGCGGTGGGATAGTGATGTTCGGGTTAGAGGAAGTGGACGAGCTGCGGAGCACGCCGAGGGCCTACGGGGGGCGTGATGCGTGATGGGCATGGGGGAATGTTTGGGGGGGTTTGGGGGCGTTTTGGGGAACAATGGAGGACTTCCAGTTAGTGGTTTGCCTGCCTCCCTACTACTAGGTACTAGGTAGAGGTACCAATAGTACTAACCTAGTGCGCTTGGTGCACTGTACTGGTAAATTTACAACGGTTGCTACAACGGCCTGTTGGGCCTCGGCCAGATAAGCAGGGTCCTCCGCGGAGCATTAGCCACCAGTACAATAGTACAATCCTTATTAACTAGGTACCTACCTAGGTAGTAGGTAGGTACCTGGCAGTTTTGTACGTTGCAGACTCGGAAATGTGCACACAGATTGACCTCGGCTGTAATGGAGCTGGCCGGCCCAGCCAAAAGATGGGTCTCGCCGGCAGCCACGGTCCACGCTCCACGCTCCACGGTCCAATCGAACGTCCTCTTACAGCGCGTTCCCCGGCCCAAACGAGTTCCACTTGCCCGGCTCGCTCTCAAACTCTCCGTCGTCACAGGTCAACCGCTCGCTCACAGGCACGAGATTCAAATCCCGCCCTACCCCCAAAAGCGCAGGCCACCACTCCTCTTCGTGCTCGACTTTCTTTCTTTTCTTCTCTGCAAGAACCACGTGAACGCCATTGGCCATGTTGACTTTGATTCGCGCTCAAGGATTGAGGAACAGCTTCCGCAGACTAAACACTACACCCACGGTTCGTACATGTCCATCTTGTCTCTCTGCCTTGGCCTTTCGTTGCCCGCCAAAGCGCAGCCAGTTCGGCTATTTGCCGTATTCGCATGAGTTGACTTAACAACACTTGCTTCCTCTCCAACACGGTCCAGCAACAGCAACCGCCCTCTCTCTCATCATTACCGCCCTCTACGTCAGCTGCTGACCGTCATCGTCCGCACCTCAAACAGACTCTCACCATGGCCCGAGCAAAGCACTCTCTGCCGCAAGGTACGTCCCAATTTGTCTTGTACATTCTCCCAAACCTCCCTCACAATACTCACTCCTCCTCACAGGCTACGCCGAGGACACCTCCAAGGGCGCCACGCTGCGCTTCCAAGACTCGCTGCCACGCCTGCCCGTCCCAACGCTCGACGAGACAGCCGCCCGCTACCTCAAGAGTCTGCGCCCGCTGCTCACCCCCGCCGAGCTTAAGAAGACGGAAACGGCCGTCCAGGAATTTGTGAAGCCTGGCGGCATCGGCAGCCAGCTGCAGGAGAAGCTGCAGGCCAAGGCCGCCGACCCCAAAACCAAGAACTGGATCTACGAGTGGTGGAACGATGCCGCCTACCTCACCTACCGCGACCCCGTCGTCCCCTACGTCAGCTACTTTTACTCGCACCGTGACGACCGCAAGCGCCGCGACCCGGCCAAGCGCGCTGCCGCCATCAGTGCCGCTGTCCTCGAGTTCAAGAAGATGGTCGACCAAGGCTCGCTCGAGCCCGAGTACATGAAGAAGCTGCCCATCTGCATGGACAGCTATCAGTGGATGTTCAACTGCTCGCGCGTCGCCGCCCGCCCCGCCGACTACCCGCAAAAGTACTCGCCTGACGCTAACAAGCACATTATCGTCGTCCGCAAGAACCAGTTCTTCAAGGTCCTGCATGAGGTCAACGGCAAGCAGCTCAACCCTTCGGAGCTCGAGCAGCAGTTCCGCCGCATCTACGAGACGGCCCAGTACGTGGCCCCCGTCGGCGCCCTGACCTCGGAGAACCGCGACGTTTGGACCGACGCGCGCGCCGTGCTTCTCGATGCCAGCCCCAAGAACAAGGCCGTTCTCGAGGCGATTGAGGGTTCGTCCTTTGTCGTCTGCCTGGACGACGCCGCCCCCGTCACCCTCGAAGAGCGTGCCCACGCCTACTGGCACGGCGACGGCGCCAACCGCTGGTACGACAAGCCCCTCCAGTTCATCATCAACGACAACGGCACCTCGGGCTTCATGGGCGAGCACTCCATGATGGACGGAACCCCTACCCACCGCCTCAACGACTACGTCGGCGACCTCATCTTCAACAACAAGCTCGACCTCTCCGAGGTCCCCGTCCGCTCCGACCTCCCCGAGCCCCAACCCCTCCACTTTGACATCACGCCCGCCGTGCAGACCGAGATTGACCGCGCCGTCGCCGACTTTAAGCGCGTCATTGGCGAGCACCAGCTCGCCGTCCAGGCTTTCCAGGGATACGGCAAGGGCCTCATCAAGAAATTCAAGTGCTCACCCGATGCCTACGTCCAGATGCTCATCCAGCTCGCCTACTTTAAAATGTACGGCAAGAACCGCCCCACGTACGAGTCGGCCGCCACCCGCCGCTTCCAACTCGGCCGCACCGAGACGTGCCGCACCCTCTCCGAGGACTCGGCCAACTGGTGCAAGGTCATGGCCGATGCCTCAGTCGATGACAAGACCAAGGTCGACCTCTTCCACAAGGCTATCAAGGGCCACCTCGAGTACATCACGGCCGCCTCAGACGGCAAGGGGGTTGACCGCCACCTTTTTGGCCTCAAGAAGCTCCTAGAGCCCGGCCAGGAGGTCCCCGCCATTTACAAGGATTCGGCCTATGCCTACTCGAGCTCCTGGTACATTTCTTCCTCCCAGCTGAGCTCCGAGTATTTCAACGGATATGGATGGAGCCAGGTCATTGATGGTGGATTTGGCATCGCCTACATGATTAACGAAGACAGGTACGTCTTTTTACCTTGATTTATTATTTGAAGTGTTAGCACTGACTAGTTTTTCAACAGCATCAACTTCAACATCGTCTCCAAGGGCCTCGGCAGCGACCGCATGAGCTTCTACCTCAACGAGGCCGCCGTCGACATGCGCGAACTCCTCACCCCCACCCTCGAGGCCCCCAAAGCCAAGTTGTAAACTACCCTTCATACACAACATTTCATTTCCTGGTCCTGTCATTATTTTTTTTTTTTTTTTTTTTGCTTGGGCCGTCGTCTTTACTTTGTTTTCCAAAGGTGTTTCCTCTCCAAGCATAGACTTTTTGCATCATGATTTCACAGTGCGCGGGACAGGCCTGGTTGTTTTTTATTTTACTGTATCTTGGTCGGCCTCATCCTCCCTGCGCTTGTGCTATGCGACACCTACTAGACGGAGAAGGAGAAGGGGAGAAACAAAAGTATGAATCGTTCATGTGGGAGGAAACGGGAGGAGACGAAGAAGAAGACGAGGAAGAAGCGACTTGTTGGGGCTCTGGTGTCGGAAGCGCTGGTCACAGAGACTTTTTGGATAGACGTGGCTGTGCGCCGGCAACAGGGGACGACAGTTTCGTTGTACCCTATATTTCTGGATAGAATGCATGTTGGAGAAAAAAAGACGTAAACAAAAAAAGTCGTCGTTACGTGTCCGTGCGTGATGATGACCATGGTTCAAACCATTACATTCCATGGCTACGCTTCTGAAGTTGACGTCTTCCATATACCAAGCTTATGCTTTCCGCCTCGACATCTACCTAGGTACTCTTACATGGCCCAGCCAATCTACAGACAAATCTCCCCAGACACAACCGTCTTCCCAGTCGCTTAGCCAGCATGGGCCACAATCTCATTGACCAAGTCACCCTTTTCGGCGTCGTAGTACGTGCACATCTGCGACGGCAGGGGCACCTCCTTGTAGTCTTCGTCGGGCCCGGGAGCAATGACGTTGAGGTTGATGCCGTCCGACTTGCTGTGAAAGATTTGCGTGCCGGTGCTTGCCTTGCTAAAGTAAATCTGCGCACTGTCGACCTGGTCCATCATGACCGTCGGGATGGTCCCCAGGACCTGCAGGGCAAAATTTTGCGCCTTGACCACGTCGACCGTGGACACGAGCGTGTCCACGACGAGCGACAGGCGGCTCGCGTTTTCCACCGTCACCTGATTGGCCTTGCCGCGGACAATGATGGTTGTGTTGTGGCAGCGGCTGATGAGGATCGAGTGGTTCAGCTCCGCCTGGATCTCAATGGGCTGGGGTTCCTTTTCGTAGTTTTCCTGTAGCGATCGGTGTTAGTGCGAGATGAGGGTACTGGGATGGACAAGACGCATACGATGATCCACTTGTTGCCTTCGAGTATCTTCTTTGGGGGCTTCTTCATGCGCATGCTTTCAGGCTTGGGCTTCTTGCCCGGCGCAGGGCTCCTGGGGCGATCGCCGCTGCTGGGGACCTTCGTGTCGGTACGCAGGGCCGGGTTCTTATGTGTCATCTGAGATTTGTCGACCTTGCGCAGGCCCTTGGTGACAGCATCACCCTTGTTGAGCTCCGAGAAGACGGCCCCGAGACCGCCAGTGGGAGCAGGCGCGGCTGGCGCGACATTCTCGGTCTTGACATCGAGGACCGGCGCAGGGCCAGGGGGTGGTGGAGGAGGGGGAGGACCACCAGCGGAGCGCGTCGGAGGCGCAGGCGCGGCGCTGTTAGGGGCCGAGTCGAGGGCCTTGACCACCGCAGCTGCCGGCTCGCCCTTGGGGTTCCACGGAATGCCAGTGGCAAAGTACTGCTTGACATAGTCGCGGAGTTGCTTGAATATTTGGTAAAACGACTGGATCCATTCGACCTGCTTGGGATCTCTAAGCTCCTTTATTAGTATGTATTGCGGAAGTTGTAAGGTGGTTAAAAGACGTACTTGTCCTTGTATTCCTTGATGACGCGGTTGCCAAAGAATTGGGCGGACCCGAGGAACTCCTCGACGTGGGTAAAGGGCTTGTGGCTGACGGTGACCCAGGCGAGGACCATGATGCCATCGGCAACGGCGCTCAGCTGGGTGTACAAGGGATCGGAGCGGTTGGCCTCCTTGAGCTCGGTGACAGCCATGAGGGAGTCGTTGATGGGCTTGAGGAGGTCCTGGTAGAGGGCCATGTCGGCGCCCTGTATGTCCGGGCGGACAGCCTTTGTGGTGATGAGCAGGAACTTGCGCTGGGCACGGAAACCGGCCAGCACGTCGGCGGCCTGGCGGGCAACGAGGCCACCAATGTCATTGCTGCGCCTGACGTAGTCGGCGACGGCCGAGTCGACAAAGGCGTCAAAGTCGTCAATGGACTCGGGCAGCTCCTCGGGGACGGGCGGCTGGGGTGCGGAGCGGGGCGTGGCGGCGGAGGAGGAGGCATCGGGGGTCAGGGCGGCAGAGGAGGAACCGCCGGGCAGGGCGAGGGCACCGACGTCCTTGGGGAGCTCGGTCGACGTGGCAATATCTTCGAGGCGCGAGGTGGCGGCTTCGAGTCTGTAGAGGGGCCGTTGTTGGTGAGCGAGCTATGGAGAATGGCAAAGGTGGCAGGAGAATGGCAGCAACCACAATGCCATTGGCTCTTGAGGATGAGTATGCTTACCGCTTGATCAGCGTCGTAAGGTTGTGCATGTGGCTTGCGGCGGCCATGATGGTGTTGGGTGTCGTGGTCGTCGCCGAAACGGGAGGCAAGGTCCAGGGGCCTAGGGGTCGGGAGCGAGAGAGCAGTCTCGTTAACTAGAGTTAGGGGAGGAAGAGGAAGAGAAGAGGAACGTCTAATGAATAACGATGTTGCGTTGGCGACGGGACCAAAGGTGGGAGGGTAGTGTGTTTGGCGCAAGAGATGTTGAGAACGAACAATTTGTCAAGGTTGGATTAGAAGATGGAAGCGACAGCTGTTGGAGATGACGACGAGCTGCGACACGGCGGACTCGGCCCCCCGCAGTTTTGGGTTAAGCGCTGAAAGCTGGTGCCTGACGGTTTGGAGGACTGTACAGCTACGACGACGGCTACGACGAAAGTTGGAAAGTTGGAAAATCGTCTACATCTATCTAATAATCTGTCAATTTTTTGATCCTATTATCAGACTGTATTTTATTCTATATATCATAGATTATTCATTGCTGAGGTATGTACCTACCTACCTAGATATCACCAGTCTGGAGTTCACCCCACTCACAAGGGCGGCTGCAGGTACCATCATCGAGGTTACAGTGGAGGTGCTACCTCTAGGAGGTACCTACAGGGTAGCAAGGTAGGCTGCCACTCATAACCAGGCAACTGCTTTCACTTCTTATTACGCCGTCACTTGGGTTTCATTATTCTTATTTTTTCTACTTGCTTTCCTTATTTCAGTTGTTCCCTTTGAAAAATGATTAAGCTATTCGTCTCAGTACCGCTTGCTGCAATCAGTTGCTGCTTCTAATCAAAGATATATCTAACCCGACGACTTGAGCTTGCCTACTCTCTTAATGCTCAACATGACAGATGAAATATTTTCGATTTGGGCAAGAAAACCAGCAGCCAACGTCCTGCTCTTATAATAACTCATACACCAAGAGGCAAATGCAGCTGCCTGACCCAACCCTGTGGCCCACTGTCCAGACCAGCGTCGTACCATCGGGCAGCCACCCGTCCTTCCAGATACTGCGAAACCACCAAAAACTCGTGTCGAACGGGGCTCAATCATGCAGACATGTAAAAAGGAACAAGTCAAAGTTCCTCGAGCAACAGATATAACTCATGCTGCAACTGTTAGCCCTCCTCCCAGTGGGCGGCTACCGCCAATGCAGTATGCGCAGCGACTTTTTCTGCGGTTCTGCGCTTGCTCGCTCGCCCATCGTTATCCTTCACCGCCGCTCCTACCAACGCTCAACCTTTTACGTCTGCATACCTGCGAAAAGCCCCGAGCAGCGCCTCTGAAACCATCCATAATCGCGCATACAGCCTGCCGTACGTTTCTAGCTTGAAATTTGCCGGCGTCGATGCATCGTCAGGGCTACACGCGGCACCGCCATCGCCTCGTCTCCAGACGACGCGACGTTGCCGCTGCCAACATCGCGCCTCACGCACATGTCCCCGATGGCGGCGGCGACGACCACCACCACACACCCTCGATAGACTTTGTCACCCTTGGCATGTTCATCATAGGTACGCATTCCTCCAGTGCACACCCCCTCTCTACGGCAAAATCCATCGGCGAATTGCGCGCTGACAGGTGCTTGTCCCAGATGACATTGACTTCCTCCCGCCAACGCCCCCGGTCAAGGACATCCTCGGCGGCGCCGGCACGTACTCGGCCCTCGGCGCCCGCCTCATGTCGCCGCCGCCCCTGTCCACCACCGTCGGCTGGGTCGTCGACCAGGGTTCCGACTTCCCGCCTGCGCTGGCCACCCTCATCGACACATGGGACACGCACGTCGTGTACCGCCAGGACAAGGACCGCCAGACAACCCGTGGCTGGAACGGCTACGAGGCCGGCGCCGACCAGAAGCGCGCCTTTCGGTACACTACGCCCAAGCGCCGCCTCACCGGCGCCGACCTGGACCCAGCGCTACTGCAGGCCAAGTCGTTCCACCTCATCTGCGCGCCGCTGCGCTGCCAGGAGCTGGTCCGCGACATCACGGCCCGCCGCCGTGCCGTCATGCCGCCCGCCGCCTACACCAAGCCCGTCTTCATCTGGGAGCCCGTCCCGGACCGCTGCCACCCCAACGAGCTGCTCAACTGCACAAACTGCCTGCCGCTCATCGACGTCTGCAGCCCCAACCACGCCGAGCTCGCCGCCTTTCTCGGCGGCGACGGCCTCGACCCAGATACGGGTGCCATCTCCCCCGACGCCGTCGAACAGGCCTGCGAGCAGCTCCTCGCTAGCATGCCCCTGCAGTCGTACACCTTTGTCGTCCGCGCCGGCGACCGCGGCTGCTTCGTCGCTCGCAACGGTGGCCGCAAGCGCAAGCGGCCCCAGGGCGCCAAGACGGCCCGCCGCAAGGCCCTCATCCACGGCTCTCTCCAGCCCGACACAGACATGGAGTCGCTCCTCGCCGGCCTGCTCCAGGGCGACGACGGTGTCATTGACTCGGAGGAGATTGAGGTCGACACCGGCGTCCAGAGATGGATCCCGGCTTATCATCAGGATGCCGCTGCCGTCGTCGATCCCACAGGCGGCGGCAACACCTTCCTTGGAGGCCTCTCGGTGGCTCTGGCTCGTGATGAGGACGTCGAAACCGCTGCTATCTGGGGCACCGTCGCCGCCAGTTTCGCCATTGAGCAGGTCGGGCCGCCGACATTGGGCAAGGACGAGAGTGGAGAAGAGACCTGGAACGGCGTGAATCCCCTCGCGCGATTGCGCGAGTTTCAGAAGCGTCTGTAAAGCCGTCGTATAGAAATCAGTTACGAGTTCATGTCTAATTCTCAGTGTTGAACATGCAGTCATTTTGGGAGGGAAGGGAATCCGGGTTATAAAAGTCATCGATATAGCATAGTCGGCTTCCATTCGGAAAGCCTTAATTTTACATTTATTCACCAATCATCCCAGAATTGTCCCATTTCATTAATCCATTGTACTCAATCAAAAATCCCCGACGCCATGATACTCATCTCTCGGAAAGCAACTAAATCCCCTCTTTAAATCTTGTAGACGAGCTCGCCATCCGTGAACCTTGGGAAACCTGTTAGTGACAGTTTGTACAACAAGACTTTGACATAAACTCACATAATATGGTTGGCTTCCTCGAGCTTCTTGAGTGCCTTGATGGCTTCTTCACGGCCGAAAGCACCGCCAGTGCGGGTTCCAACCTTTTGGTTGACAGCGCCAATAACAGCATCCAGACCAGCTGAATCATCCTCGAACAGAGGAGTGCTGAGAAGCTGACCAAGAGCTGTTCTGAACGCGGCCAAGCGAGGAGCAGTAATCGGGACAACATCAATAGCAAGAGAGGCAGCACCACTAGCCAGATCCTGGTCTTCCTGCGATTGGCTGGGTAATTGTGAAGCAGGCATCGAGGAACCAAATGAAGTCTGAGACTGAGACGTGGTGTCGTTCGAGCGCGCGGTTCTTCCCGAGCGTCGTGGTGTAGCCGAGGTACCTGCTTCTTCCCCTTCCTCTTCCTCTTCACCCTCCTCGGCTTCTTCGTCGGGCTCGCCGTCGTTACCGTTGGCACCATTTACCCCAGAGGCTGTACCGCGCGAACGCGTTGTGCGCGAAGTAGCTTGTGTCGACCGAGCGCCGCGGAAAGCACCGTCGCCCGCGTCCCCATCCCCGTCTTCATCATCGCCATCTTCATCTTCGCTCGAAGAAGCAAAATCAACAGTAGCAGTCCTTCTGCGCTTCTTTCGCGACTCTTCAACGACTTCTTTGAAAAGAGCAAAGCGCAAGATGGCCTCGGCGGCGGCAGCGTCACGCTCCTCTACCCGATTCGACAGACGGGATTTAGCGTGAGCAGTGGCAAGACGAATAAGCGTCTCCAGCGTACGCACCGTCAAAGGTGACGTACGACGTTGGTTGCCTTCCATCTCATCGTTGCGCAGACCAACATAGATCTCAGCGATGCGATCGGATGCTTCCTGGGTCAGGACAGGCTTCATGCGAGTCTTGGAGTACTGAATGTACTTCTTCATAAACGGAATGCTAAGAATCTCTGGCTTCTTGTTGGAGCCTCGGCCGGAGGTATGTGTAACGCCGGCGTGTAGCATGGCGTCAAACTTCTCATAGACTTCCGTTGGGCGCTGGGTTCCCGCTTGTGTATCAGCAGATACGCCAAGGAATTGAGAAGCCTGTTCTCGAACAGGAGCTCCTTCTTCCGTTCCGGGCTGACGATACCTATGCATGCGAAGAACGTGCTCCGAAATCTGACGGTCACGAGTGTCCTCAATGTCGTCCGTCACAACGAACAACAAGTCAAAACGAGAGAGAAGAGAGTCGGGCAAGGCAATGTTCTTGTGAGGATCCTTGTGGGGATCATACTGGCCGTAGATGGGGTTGGCAGCAGCGATAACCGAGCATCGGGCATTCAGAGAGGTGTGAATGCCGGCTTTCGCAATCGTGACAGTTTGCTGTTCCATGACTTCGTGTATAGCAACACGATCATTGTCGGACATCTTGTCAAATTCATCAATACAAACGACACCTCGGTCAGCCATAACCATTGCACCGGCTTCTAGACGACGTTCGCCAGTCTCCTTGTCTGATGTCACAGCGGCAGTCAAACCGACACCGGATGAACCACGACCAGTAGTGGCAATCGCAAGAGGGGCTGTGTTCAGCACGAATCGCAACAGCTGCGACTTGGCTGTAGACGGGTCACCGACCATGAGGATATTGATGTCACCTCTCAAATGCGTACCATTCTCGAGATTCTTCTCCATACCACCGAGAAGCATGAGAAGAATCGCCTTCTTGATGTGGTCGTGGCCATAAATACTGGGAGCCAGAGATTGTGACAGAAGCTCGAGCAAGTTCTTCTTTTTGGCGACTTTGTTGATGTTTCGGATATCGGTATCGGTAATCGTGGCCTGCGCAACGCCGCCGCCAGACTTGGAAGAGAGCAAAACAATGTTGTTGGCAAGAATGACGGCCTTGAACAAAGCGCTGCTGTGGTTGGCGTTGCGGTTACCAAGGGTTCTGAAAATACCAACAAGCTGAACTCTGTCACCCGGCTTCACCTTGTCCACGAGGTCGTCGTCCAAGATGACGTCTACACCACGAGGCAGCTGACCAGCGGGCGCACGCTCGGGCATTTCTTGTATAGAAATGGTTTGGTGATCACGATAGGTGCAGAAGCCATATTCGGTGAGCAGAGGGTTTCCATCGTCGTCTTCGCGCGGGTAGACGCTCGATGTCGTGACACCATTCGTCATGGTCTGGTCCTGGTACTCGCGGAAGTGGAATTTTTGCTGCTTCTCGTTCCAGTGAACACTGCGTATAACTTTGGGACGGATCAGGGAGCATCGTGTAACAATGCCTTCAAGTGAGACCATGCGGTTCAGATGATGAGAAGAGAGTGTGCGGGGGTTACAAGCGTTTAAGCCAAAGCTACCAGCCCAAGCGCAGTAGTATACGGTATCAGCGGCCTGTTGCTCAGGGCGGGCCTGAGATGGTTGAAGTGCGACGATAATCTGCTTCAGTGCATGGTTGAAGGCCACAGTGTAGTCGAACGGTTGCTCCAGGATGCCCTTGGCGAGGTTTTCGTTATGATCGCGAACGTGGTCCAGGTTTACAGTCAAACGTCGTTGATTCTTCTGCAACATCAAAATGATGTCTGATCTGTAGCTTCGCGCATGGGAATCAGCTAAGAATCACGGTTAGCATCAATCACTCGTGGCTGATTTGCGCCGTTGGGTGCGGATGAGGGGTAGCCCACTGGGATCCAAAAACTCCTCCGCCTGGCGGATGCGATCAATGACGCCCTCATCTTGAAGCATGAATTGGTCCATGATGGGTGAATATACTTGGCGGTCGCAACTTTGTTATGGGAAGGTTGACAAGCAAGAGGACCAAGGCGGGACGGAGGGTGAAGTGTGGCAGGGCGTCGTGGGTGGACGCGAAAACGCGTCTCGACGCGACTTCTCGCGTAAAGTGGTTAATACAGTGCTGTCGGCTGGACTCCAGGCGAGGTTACTAAGCAAGTCAAGGGCGAGAACATAACACTCATCATGTTCTCTTCAATGGGCTATACATGACCCGAAACATCTCATTTTGATTCTATAATTAATTTGTCTAGGCTTTCTCATTCATCTTTTCTTTTTACCCTTTCAAATAGTTCGTCTCGGCAGTACATATTAGTTACTCTATGTACGGAATTTGCTGGTGTCAAGGTACGGGGGTACTTGGCGTGGGGCTTGCCGGCATGACCCACCTCTGGCCGACAGCTTCCAGCCATGTTGTCTCACTTGACTTGAAGCAACTGCACCCGTGGAGACGTGCCCGTAACTATCGTTGTCGCAATACCATCGCGTGCTGCGGGACTGACAATTTTTGCATATTTTATTGTGAAGTGTCCCATACCCCAGAAATATGGCCGTAGGCTTGGCGGCAAACGTGTCGCTCAACGCCCTTGATGAAGAGGCCCGCGCCGAAGTCGATGTCCTCAACTCCCGCCTAGACAAGACGACGCAGCTCACCAAGAAGATCCAAGCATGCCTCGGTAGACTTGAAGCCACGGGCCAAAGCGTGCGCGAGGTTGCTGGGCCCTTGAACGGAGAGACTCGGCGATTGCAGGTTTTGGGGTCAAGTGAGCTCCCCCCAAGACTTTCCCCGCTCGTCGCTAACATCAACAGACGTCGACTCCGTCATCTCCGCAATCGATCGCCTACGACAACCAGCAGACAGTAAAGATGACGAAGAACAGATTATTCGGGCTGGTCCCGAGAAAGCGGGCCTGTCTGCATACCTGGCATCGATAAAACGTATAAACAGGTCGCATGTCGATATGCAGGCGTCAAACCTGCGGGCCAACCAAAATACAATGGCGGATCTGACACGGTTAATAAAAAGCGGCAATACGCAACTCGAATCTTTTTTTGATAAGCTGCTTCGTAACGAAACACCGCGATCCCTCGAGCCACTGCATTATATTACCAAAGACAAGGAATTCCCCGTCCTGCCTCAAGAGACCATCACACGCCTTGGCCTGATTTACTCTCACCTTGGGGGCAGCCACAATGGCGCTGGATATGATTCTTCGATTGCAAAAGTATACGGTGAGATCCGTGGGCCATACCTAGCGGCATCTCTGGTCAACTTGGCAGCCGCCAGCGTTAATACAGCAAAGAAGAAGAACCCCGGAGCCATTTACAGATCCGGTACCAATGGCATCGGGTCATATGCGCAGGCAATGGAAGGAATTTTTGTCGCGGAATATGAAAATGTATGCAGCATCTTTTCTCGCGAGGACTGGGGGCCTGTGTTCCAAGCTGCATGCCAATCATCTCTCGCCGAGCTTGCCAGGACTCTGCGCGAACTAAATGCGCATATCAAACAACATCTTGCAACTGATTGTTATCTTGCATACGAAGTCACAGAGATTCTTTCAACGCTGTCTGGGAACCTGGAAACCAGAACAGGTGAACTCAAGCCGCAACTGGCCGCCGCTCTCAAGCCCGTGAGAGAAACAGCCAAGTCGTCACTAGCGGAACTCCTCGAAGACACAAAACGCAAGATTGGTGGTGTTCAAGCATTACCCAATGATGGCGCACCTCTACCTACCGTGTCGGAGTCAATGCAGCGCCTTCAGGCAATGATGGAGTTCCTCCGACCTATAGCCAGTATTATGATTTCCCTTGGAGATGGCGGGTGGAAGAACGGCGCTTCGGCTCGTGGCGCAGACGCCATCCCCAGTCTCGCGTCTTTTGATGTTACTGCCGATGGCCAGCAAATATTTACGCACTACTGCATCGATACCATAGAGGCGCTTCTCACGGCGCTGGACTCCAAGATGCGCCTTTTGATCCGAAGCAAGTCTACTCAAGGCGTCTTCCTCGCTAACTGTGTCATCATCATCGAGCGTTCCATTATCACCTCAGAGCTTGCGCCGCTCCTGCAACCCCGTCTCGACGTGCTTGACCCGTGGCGCAAAAAGGCCACGCTCGCCTACACGGACGTGTGCAAAGACCTGTCGGTCCATCTCTTCGACACGATCCACACCTCGCAACGCGCGCGCCCACAGTCTGGCGGCCCCATCGACTCGGCCACGGTCGTCAAGGCACTCAGCAGCAAGGACAAGGACAAGATTAAAGAAAAGTTCCAGCAATTCAACAGCAGCTTTGAAGACATGGTGACCAAACACAAGGCCTACAACATGGAGCGCGAGGTACGTGCCATGTTTGGCCAGGACATCCGCCAAAAGTTGCAGCCGTTGTATGATCGCTTCTGGGACCGCTACCACGAGATTGACAAGGGCAAGGGAAAATATGTCAAGTATGACAAGAGCTCCATCGCTGCTGTGTTTGCCAGTCTGGGTGCATAAGCTTGTCTCCTCACAGAATGCGCTGTATGATATGAGAGGGCAGACGATTCGCTTTTGGTCCCGGTTGGCGAAACGGAAGTGGGATTTTATGATCATGATGAACAATACCTAGCAAAATGTACCTCTTTCTGTGCCGCCTCAATTCCGTTAAAAGTTGACACAACACAACGCTCTTAGCCCCCAACTTAGCTCAGGGTGCATCAGCTGGCACCACACCGCTGCCAAAGATGCGATCCACGCGCGTCTTGCGCTCCCAGACGACGCGGCCGTCGCTGCGCCGCTTAAAGTACAGGATGCGGTGCTGCGGGATGAACTCCTCGTCCGTCTGTTCCGTCCTCCATTGCACGAGCGGCTTCTCCTGCGCCCCCGCGAAGCGGTCCACGAAGCCGACAATGAAGTCGGCTGCATCGAGCGCGCGGTCCCAGCGCAGCCGGTTGAGGACGTCGGACGCCGGGCGGAACCGGCCCATGCCTTCGGGCTTGGCAGACGTGGGAACGTTGAGCTTCACTGGGCGAGAGGTTTCCGAGCGTCGTGATTTGACGCGAGAAGAGCCCGTGTCGTCGTCGCTGGGGCTGATGTCTTCTTCGTCCTCGACGTCCTCGTCCTCACTGTCGTCCTCACTGTCATCAAAGTCTTCGTAAGAGGCGTCGACGCTGTCGAGGTAGCCGGGGTCGAGAAGTGCCGAGGCAATGTCGCCGGCGTTGATGACGTTGACGGCCATCCAGCACGAAGCAGTGTCGTAATGTCTAACATCACTACGCATTCGCGTTTCAAAGTCGCGTAAGAGGCCGTTAAGGGCCGTCTTGGTCGCTTTGGTGTCCTCCTTGGCGCGGTCACTGTCACCATCGTTCCATGCCAATCCGATGAGGTAGAAACCTTGGTACTCCGAGTTCGTCGCTGTCTCGGTAACGGGGGCGTCGATGAAGCGCCCTGGCCATATCCGCGGCAGTAGGGCTGGTGCTTTTCTGTTCATATCTGGTATAAATTAATCAGCAACTCGATCTACAGCCAATGAAACAGGAACACGGTTGCTCTCACCGACGAGGATCGCAACACAGCGCGACTCCAACCAACCTAGGAACTTGCGGCCACTAGAGGGAGACGATCCCCAAAACCGGGCATCGACCTTAACATAACTCTTGAAGCCCCGGAGAAAGTCTTGTACTCCAGCGACAGCGGCGCCTACAGGGCCAAGGATTGCATCCCATGTTACTCCTGGCTGGGATAGGAGGGAGTTTGTCTTGGAAATTTCAGTGGCGATGGACTTGACAGTAGGTGTCGAAGCAGTCATGGCGGTGTTGAGAGCTGGCGCATGCCATCCCAGGAGACAAAAAGGCTCCCGCGACGTGCGGTGATAACGTAGCTCTTTATGGAAGAACGGATCCAACACCACCTGTTTCTCCCAGTCGAAATTGGTATAATGACTGAAGAAGGTCGCCAGGATCCCCGTCGTTGATACAACCCTCGAGAGCGTGGCAAGCTGCTTGCAGATAGGGACAAGAAGGACGGTGATATGAATGCCACCCAAAAGGCCAAACCGGGCGCCATAGATCCCTCGCGAACTGGCCCAAGCCTTGATCATGAGAAAAGCAACCCTGAATTTGGCAAGGTCTGGAATGGAGCGCAACAAGTAGTACATATCCCGGGCCGGCTTTAGCTTGGCCAAGGTCTGTACCGGGAGAGAAAACTCTGGATGGTTAGAGGGCAAATTCATGACGCTAGGGAATCTGTCGACTGTTAGTTTGAGCTTAAACGATAGTTATCCAAAGGGTACTGACTTTTCAAAGACAGAGGTGGCAGCGCAGTAGTGAAGATCAAACTTGATGCCGAGGATTTGAAGCTCTAGCATTGTTCCGGTGTTGGCCAACACCTTTCTCAACACGCGGATACCTTGATCAGAAGCTTTTCTTAGACGCTGAAGGGCCATACGGAAGAACGTCTTGGAGCTGATAGTCCCAATGCAGAGACAATCGACATCAGAAGAGCTCATCCAGACACCGAGACCGAATGAGCCCACCGGAACAAGGACGAGGCCGACTGGCGTGCGGGCCTCTTGGTCCGACTTTGTTTGATCATTACCTAACAGTACACTGTCCAGAACCGAGATGGCCTGCTTCCTCATAGATTCATCGTCTTCGGTAGGTAGATAGCCGTGGGACAGCAATGTTTTCTTGAGATCTTCAAAGCCACCCAAGGAAGGCGCGGCCTCGGTCGACTCGATGGGCTTCACACGATCCAAGATGCCCTGAGAAGCCCCGCTGTTTGGCAAATCTTCAGTGAAGAGACAACGAATACCCCAGTGATCACTGGCATGGACCCAGCTACCGTCGGCGACCTGCGTGATAAGGTCTTTGCCAAACATGTTGAAGGCGGAGGGTCGGAGAGGAAGCTGTGCACTACAAAGAATGCGGTCATAGCGCTGAGGTCGCTTGTCGGTCCCTCCGCCGACCAGTTTCTCGGCAAGCTTGTTCTCGAGAGGATTGAAAGTGGCGCCCTGCTCGCCCTCATAGAGGTCCATCACGGCTTCGTTGGCTAGTGATAACTCGGACGAGTCGCCGGCTGCGATTTTGGTAGCCAACCACACGTCGTGAAACTCGGTGTTGGACAGCATATCATGGACGTCACTCAGACATTGCCTGCCATTTGCCGACAGCGTGCCACTTCTCTGTGACATGTCAATGGCGTAGGACGAAGTTGTCACGTTGAAATCTCCGGCAATGATACAAGGATGCTTGTCGTACTTGTCGGCAAGATGCCGCTGCAGACGCAAAATTTCGACCTTTTTAGACGACAGGGCGCCATCCGTCAGGCCCTGGCTAAAGTGACAGCCGGCAACGACAACTGATTTGGTGTTGGAACCAGTCAAGGGATCATGGAATGATAGCGTAGGAAATGTCGCTACTGCGGAGCCTTTGTGTCGGCGCTGAAGCGGGAGGTATTCCCACACAATGGGAAACTTGCTCAGAATCACGATATTCAGAAGGCTAGGAAGAGGGCCAATTTCGGGCTGGTCAGGCGGGCCATGTGTGCTATAGGGGTACTTGGCGCAAATGTCGTCGTCTTTGAGAAGGTCTGGAAGGAAGTGATCAGATACTTCTTGGAGCACGAGAATATCAGCCTCGGCACGTCGGGACAAGAGGTTGGAAATCAGGGGTTGGTTTCTCGACGTATCCGGCGGCCAGTTAAACTCGGAGAGAAGGTTGTAGGAAGCAACGACAAGAGTAGTCGGGACATCGGAGCTTGACTCCAGTGACGAGCTGTCAAAAATGCTCCAAGTCTCGGCTTCAGGGTCGAAATGATAAGCGGGCTGCGGAAATGCCTTGGAGGACTGCACGTGGTCATTCTTATCAACGGCCATGATTTCGTCTTGCGGGAGCGCAAGGTCGAGCAATCTACTAGATTCTATGTCGACGAGCTTCCAGAGCTTCATTCGACGAAGTCCGTCTGCAGTGCCGGGGGTGGTGTCGCGGACCATAACGGCGAGCTGCGTCGCGGCCCAGGAGATGGGGGTCAGCAGGCGGGCTTTGTGAAGAAGAAATCTATGGGTGCTCGAGTCTACATCCTCAGTCTGTCCGACAGTCAGGTGAGGAGCGTAGCGGCTTTGGGCGTGCCAGCCGAGCGCTGAGCGCACTCTGTTGGCCAGCTTGTGTAAGTCGTCGGCTGCGGCAGCATCGGGCTTTAGGTACAGCGTGTTGTGCTTGTCGTGGGTAAATGCGTCCGCGTCTGTGATGGAGACATTGAGCGGAAAAAGGTTGGATAGATTGAGCCGGAGGAGAATGTCGGCCGCGTCGGCGACGACGTCGGGATGCACAAAGGGATAGACGAGGTTGATGTGCGGAGGCCACTTGGCGTAGGCTTTGTCGTTGAGACTGCGCAGCCGGTTAATGGCTGGCCAAAGGCTTTGGGGTGGGATGATGCACAGGGCTGTATCGTGAGAGGCACTGAATGTTGGTTGTGCGTCTGTTGTGGACGCCATGATGGAGTTGCGGTAGATGCACAGAAATGATGTAGATGGATGAAGGAAGGATGCGCTGAGGCGGGGAAAATGCAGCAATGCACGCAGTGTCACAGAGCGCCCGCGATGGAAAAGAGATGCACCGAGATAACTAGAAAAGATTTGATTCAACGCTTCAAGCTAGAAAGGAGCCAGAATATGCGTCGATTTCAATAAATTGTCAGCCTAGTCATCTACGCAAGGCGGATTCCCATCTGAGAGACGCAATGATGCGGTCCACCAGTCAGTCACCCACCAGAGAGTGAGTCACGCCTTGGAGCGCCAACAGCGTCATCTGGCAGGGTTGATATGCCAATGTTGGATACATAAGAGCTGCTTTGACTCACAGAATCAGCCGTAGTTTTGGAATTATACCCTGCCTCGACTGAATCGCCATTGTGCTTCTTTTATATCGGTACATCTGTACAGTCATGCCCCCCATTGAGAAACTAAGACATTAGAGACTAAGAAATTCGAGAAACTAAGAAATCAATCATGAAAAGAGGGTGGAAATCAAGGTGGAAAAGAGCCCATAACACCAGTGCCATGCTAGCCACAAATCAGATGCTCTACGCGTGAAACTCGGGACCCCAGTCGACAGGGGCCATGTTGCTGCCCTTGCCCTCCATGACGGCCTCGAGCTTGTCCTCGACCGTGACCCAGCCCTGGCGCTTCTGGGCAATGGCGTAGCCGATGGGGCCGCGCCATTCGCGCCACCAAGTCTCCTCGGTCTGGACGGCGCAGCGGCGGCCGGCCTCGCCGGGGCGGGACGAGGCAAAGGGCCAGACGGACTTGACGACCTCGTACTTGTTCTTGCCGGCGAAGAGGCTGGTGACCGAGGTGAAGAACTGGTTGACCTTGTCGGGGTTCTGGACGGTGATTTTGCTGTGGGTGACGACAAAGGTGACGTCGACGTTGCCCTTGTACTTGAGGGAGGCGATGAGGCTGCGCATCTGGCCGTCGATCCAGCCGACGTCGAGGTTGGCGACGACGCGCTCGAGGGTAAACGTCTTGATGCCGGCCGGGTCCTCGACGAAGCGGCGGCACCACTCGTCGAGGCCGCCCTCGCCGACCTCGGGGAGGACGTCGGGGCGGGCGCCGCCGCGGTAGGCGACCTCGTCGTGGCCGACGCAGCGGATGTAGTCCATGCGGGCGCGGCCGTCCTCGGGGATGAGCAGGGCCATGAGGTTGAGCTTGACCTCAAAGTCGACCTTGCGGCCGCGGGTGCCCTTGATGACAATGTACGGCTTGGGCGGCACCTGGGCCTGGGTGCGGACGAGGGTGACGAGGGCGGCGGCGTTGCTCGAGAGGTACTCGGCCTTGGACGTGAGCGTGGTCAGGTCCGACGAGAGCTTGAAGAGCGGCGGCGAGTAGATGCGGTAGTCGATGCGGGGCAGGCCCGGGTACCGCGGGAAGCCCTTTCCCGACGCCGCGCCGCTGTGCGGGTAGCTGTCGTCGGCGCTGGCGTCGAGGGCGGCGGCCGAGGACGGGTCGGACGGGCCCGAGTACGGCGGGGGCGTCTGCGGGCGCGACGACGACGAGGCCGAGGCCTGGTGGCGGAGGTCAATGTGGCTGCGCTGCACCCGCGGTGTCGGTGTCGCCGGTGTCGCCGTCGTTGTCGGCGGTGAGGGCGACTGGGATTGTGAGTGGGAGCGCTGGCGCTGCTGCTGCTGCTGTTGCGTCTCCTGCGGTTGGAGTCGGGCAGCAGCAGCACCCTCGGCTTCGGCGCGGGCAGCACGGGCGAGCTGCACCTTCTCCATGGTGAGGGTTATGGTGTTGAAAAGGGAACGCGCAAGCAAGGATAAGAGAACGTGTTGTATCGTCAGGGGTCGTGATATCGTCGTCAATCGGAGAAGAGGAGGAGGGAAGGAGAGAAAAATCGACAAGTTGTGAGGCAGGCTGTTTGATCGTCGGTGAGGTTGGCCTTTTAACTTGGTACTAAGGCTCTGGCGCTGCCTGGTTCTAGTGGTTCTAGTGGTTCCAAGTACCCTTGTTGCCCTTGTAGTGGACCGTGTCCCCTGTGCGTTCACATTATAGGCCTTAATAGTGGCGCAGGCGACCCCGCTCACCTATTTTTTGCGTCAGCGCCTCCAGTTATCATGATATTCGGCTCCAGCACAAGCTTTTTTTCTAGTCCGGCTTGAGCTATTCGCGACATATATACCGATACGGGTTAGCTAGCTGGCCTTGGAAGCGGTTCGCCCTTATCCGAAAGGCGACTTGGCGGTAGCCGGCCCGCAAGCAGAACCTAGTAGAGAACATGGCCTCAATTCCAATATTACACTCGTTTTCCCAGCACATTCCACATTCCAATCGATAACTTCATTTTGACAAATTAACTATTCTGTAGCTCACCGGCGGTCGCCGCGTCATCTGTGACGCCCTATTACCCCTGTTACCGTGGCTGAACCACCCCCGTCTGGTGCCCGGGGCAGCAGGCTGCAAGCTGCAGGTGGCTGTAGGCTGCTGCAGGCTGTGCACGCCTCAAGACACTTGACGGGTCATCTTTATTGCCGAAAAGAACTACTACTAATCTATTTATCAATACTTTACCATTTATAATTTAGGCTAGTCATTTCAGTCAGCCCTACACTTCACAGCTTCTTCACAGCTCTTCACTCGCTGCCCGCGTTTGGCTTGCGCAGCATCAAGCAGTTTTCAAACCTTTCCGGGCCACCCCATTTGCTGAAATCCGTCACCAACACTTCGACCGTCTCGTAGCCAAACTTTTCGTACAGAGGTCGCCCTTCTTCCGAAGCCTCCAGGTACGACTCCAGGCCATGCTCGTCGGCCAGGTCCGCAAAGTGCCGCAGCAGCATGGACGCGGCGCCCCGTCTCTGATATGCCGGGTCTGTATGAAGAAGCTTCAAGTCTACACAACGCCAGATACATTAGCCGCGGGACGTGTGACAAACGGAAGGGAGGGGGGGGGGGGGTTTCCGTCAAACTCACAAAAATGCGGCTTGTTGCCCATTCGCTCAGCCCACTTCCGCGTCATGCCACCAAAGAACTGCTCGCATGCCTCCGGGTTGGACCCCGGACCCCAGACTCGCTTGGTCGGCGGCGGCGGCGCCGACGGCCAGAGAAAGCCCATGCCGAAGCAGACCATGCCGTGCTCGCCCTGCGCGATCCGGTCCTCGTCCACGGCCTGCATCCACAGACACGACGTGGGATCCGCGCGCAAGTTCTTGAGCAGCTGCTCCTGCCGGGCGGCGTCCGAGTCGTCCCCAGCCGGGCCAGGGAAAATAATGTCGCTAATGGCATCGCGCCCATACGCCACCCTTTCAATCGCCACTGACCGTGCGGCGTCTTGCTCGCCTGCAGGCATCACCTTGAGGCCCATGGTTGTGTTGGTTCGAGTTCTGGATACGTAGCCGCGGAGCAAGGTCAAGTACGAAGAGGAGCAGACGGGAAGAATGTCTCTCGAGTCGGACAATGAGCAACAAAGGAAAAACATGGCAGCCAAAACTTGTAGTCTCGTGCATGTATTCTGCCAAGCCTCTCTAGGTTTCCATTGGCCGGCGTGCTTGATACGGCTAGCCGGTGGTGCCGCTATCATTGACCGCTCACTCACTGACAAGTTTGTTAACCAACCAACGGCCCGCTCACACGGCCATGGCGCTGGCTGGCACCTGTCTCTGTACCCCGAGGTGTACCGCATCGTGATACTCACTATTTCATGACCATGGTTATTCAAGCTAAGCCTTTAAGCACGTCCGTGGCTTCGAATGAACGTGCTGATCAAGTAGTAAGGACTCGGCTATCTTAGTAGAGCAAGAACAGCCCTTGCAGGTTCGGGATCGAGTTATCATCAAATACTGAAAGAGGCTTCTGACTATAAGGTCTATTCAGAACATCTTATAAGCTACTCAAAATGATCACTATCGGGCATCTCGTCATGCGTCGTGTTCGACCAGATGCTCATCACCGGCCTGCCCGCATCATCGATCCACGCGCGGTACATACCGCCGCAGTTATAGCTCATCAAAATCTCGCCGCGCGTCGCGACCACTTCTCCCTGCGCGTCGCGGGTCACGACGCCCTCGATGCCAATCATGCCGCCCTCACCTTCGCCCGTGACGCCCCAGCGATCGCCCGCGCTCTGCTGCAGCGTGCCGCCAGGCCCGACCACGGCGCGCAGCGCATCCGCGGCCGCCTCGGGTTTCCACTGCGCCATGGCCGCAACAGTGCGAACGGCATTCACGCGCAGAAACGAGTCGCCGTTGCCCGTGCCCGAGGCAGCCAGGCACCGTGTCGTGGTCAGCGCCGCGCCGTGAGAGGCGACGGGTGTGTACAGAAACGGCGTGGGCAGGCAGTCGGCGAGGAACCCCCGCAGCGAGCCCGTCAGCTCAATCGGCGCGCGCGCGGAGCGCACGAGCCGCTCCCACGGCGTCCTCGTTGGGATGGCGGTCGGGTCGCCGCTCTCCGTCCACTCCTCGGCCCAGAAGCCAGCGCCGGGCACGGGCGTGTCGCCGACGCGGCCCGTCAGCTTGTTGGTCATGCCGCCAGTGCTCGTCGCCGCGCAGACGACGCCGTGCTCGTCCATGGCCACGGCGCCACACGTGCCCTGCGGCAAGTACTCGTCCGCGGCCCACGTGCCGCCCGCGGACCGCCCCTGGCGCTCCTTCTCCAGCGCGCGGACGTGCTCGTCCCAGCGCTGCTTGGTGAAGAAGTAGGTCGGCTCGACCATGGCGCAACCATACGCGCGTGCGAGCTGCTCAGCCGCCTCGCCGTAGATTTGCGTGTGGCCCTGCGCCGAGGGCACATCCAGCGATGGCAGCGACGACAGGGACGGCTCCAGCTCATCCGCGCCGCGGCCGCCGAGGTCCTGCTCGCCGTGCTCGAGCATGGCGCGCGCGAGCCGCACGGGGTTGCGCACGTGCCGCAGGCCCATGACGCCGACCCCGCGCTTCCGGAAGCCCCGCGAGACCATGACGGACGCCTCGAGCTGGTTGATGCCGTCGCGCGTGAAGACGGCCCCGCGGCCGCTGTTGAACAGCGGGTCGTCCTCGAGCTGCACAACGGCGTGAGTGGCCACCGCGAGCGCTGACGGGAGACGCGGACCAGACATGGACGGCGAGCCGTGGGCGGCGGCGTTCTTGGCGTCGCAGATAGGGGTGGTCATGTAGGCGTGCGTTCTTGTAACCTGTATCGTAGCGTAGTTAGTCACCATGATTCGTCAATCATCCCATGTACATGCTAAGAAAAGGGATGTCAAACTGAAAACGTACAATTTTGAGAAGCGACGTTCTGTACTGCTCATACTTGTCCACTGGGAAGCCGTGCCGGACAATGTTGCCCGCGCCGCCATGAATAACCAGTCGCGGCGTGACGGTGCCGCCCGAGCTGGGCTTGTCGGAATGCATGACGACTGGTGTATATCGGCACCTTTTCCTGCGACACAAGCAATGATTTGTATATTGTATAGCCAGCACACCGAAATTGATGATGAAGATGCAAACAGGTTGGTGATGCTCCGGCTCAGGTACCCTGGATTTATTATGTAAACCGGCACAGAGTTCAGTTCTCACTGTTTACCGATGCAGGGTTGGCCCCCACCTAGATGCAGATGGTGGCGGCTTGCGTGTACCGAATGGAATTTAAGCACTGGAAGCAGACATAATGCGGAATTTGTAATATTGGACAGTATTTAAAGCGCAGAATCGCGCTCCGTATTTACTTGATATAGAGCAAGGCAAGCCATGGCCAGGTACTGGACCTCGCCCACTGCATCCGTTAGCACCTCCAAAAGAGTATACACCTAATCCGTCGCCGAGCCCAGATTTTCCTATGTAGTCCACAATGAAGCTTGTGGCCGAAACTCCTCTAAATAGTTACCCCCATTGTTCAAGTTTAAAAGAAAGAAATTAGCGTCGAGAAACAAAAAAAAAAAAAACCTCAAAAACGCCGGTTCCTTGGCCATCATGGGCCGGATATCGATGTGTCCAAACCTATCAAGTCGTAATACTGACACCTTGTCGTGCGCCGAAGAAAAAAGCTAGCCGATTAAAATAATGTGAAAGAAGGGGAATATTAGAAGAGGCGCAAAAGAGCCTCAACATAGGCCAGCAGCTGCCTTGATCGCCTTGTTGACGTCTTTGAGACGAACACCTGGATGTTTGCCCATACAAACGGACTTTGACGCAAGTTCTAGCTGAGTATTAGCATAGTGCATATGGTATGCTCGCGTCTCTATACTAACCTTCGACCAAAGCTGCCACACTGATAGTTAGTTTTGGCTTCTGCCAAGGAGTCGCCCCCCATACATTTTCCATTCCCGGTGGACACATATAAGGCAACAGGCCGGCTCCCGGAACAGCCCCATGAGCCTGCATCTCGTGGGGCAGCATTTGCGATCGCTGCGTCATAGCATGACTGGAAGTCATGTTCATTGCCATTGCGACGGGGAGATGTGCATTCAGGTTGTCAAATCCAGAAGATTGGGATGAAAATGAGCCGTGGGCAGACAACGGAGGCGACGTATCAACAAGCTCATTAACATCCACCTCTGCATCGACGTATTCCACTTGGTGCGGTATTATGATCCCAAGTTGCTGGAGATACATTTCAATCTCGTCGGCGTTCAAAAATTCCTTTTCAAACCCGAAAGTCAATCTGATGCGCTGCTCCATCTTCTCCTCAAAGGGACCTCTTTGCGGGTTGGCCTGGTCTTGTAATGGCATGACCATGTTGGCCAGTTGTTGTGCAAGGCGTTGAGCAATCGCTTCCCGGGACTCGAAGAGAAGAGAGAAACCAAAGACGGCAGCGTATCGCTCCGGTGGTGGATTTGGAACCGAGGCTAAAAACAGTCCGCGCTCTGTCGTCCTTCTCTGCAGTCGACGACCAAAGGTGAGCTCGTGGTGTGCCAGAGAGCTGGTCATGGGCAGTGTACCATACGGCGAGGTGATGGGGGCAAACGTGGCGAGATTGGGCACGACATCCAGAGCAGTGTAGAGTGGGAAGGAGGCATTGTCCGGCGTGGCTTGCGCGACAATCTCGTACGAAGCCACGGAGTCTGTACTCATCGCCTGCCCGGGTGATGAAATATGTTGAGAGTGCTCGGCTGTGCTTGACTTCTGGGGGCTCTGAACTCCAGCTGAGGAGTCAGAGCCCATCTCTGCTAGGCCACGGAAGCCGTCGGCGATCGTTGTATGTTCATCCGCGGGGGAAATGTAGCCCGTCTCGCCCCAATTCCTGCCATTCAGGTTAAGAAATCTATCCGTGACGGCCTTGAGGCGGGAAATAGCCTCGGATGAGCCATCCAGCAGACCTTTCGAGAGCACGAGATCATGGAATCTATGAAACTCGCGGCTCATGTCGGCATTGTTCTTTTCCAGCTCCTTGACCTTGTCCTCCAAATTCGTGATGGCATTGTCCTTTCGATGCCTATAGGCCCTTTGCGCAAGGCGAATCTGTGTTCTCCGTCGCTGTATCATGTTAAAAGTGGTCGATGACGGCGCGGATTGCCACACTTGGCACTTACATCGGCAGCTGTCTCGTCTTTCGTGTCTAACCGCGGCCGGCCACGCGCGCGCTTTTGCTTCTGCTCTTCTGTTTCGCCAGCAATGTTCTCTTCATTCGGCGATGCCTTCCGCTTGCGTGTTACCGGCTTGCCAGCATCCATGATCGGCTCTCCGGCTAAATCTGGCGCATGCGCATTGCCCAGCGGTGCGTCGTCGATAATTGGCGGTTCCGTCTTCATGGCGGATGGTGACAATTTGTGCGGAGCGTCTCTACAGAGCGATGTTGAGGTGATTTACAGGGTGAAGAGGCCCTCGTTCTGACGGCTCGCCGTCGACACCTTCTGCCCACGGCACTGTCCGTAAATGATTTAAGAGTGGAGTCGTGAGTTTTTGTCCGCCGTCGGGTGTCCCGAGAATTCTCGGGGGGCGCGATTGTTGCGCGGTCCGATTTCCGTCTAGGCCTTGTCGAAATTGACCACGACAGGGCAGATTAAGATGTTGGTCTCTCGCTGAGCTGTGGGACAACTTTTGAGGCATCACTCGTAAATTGGCGAGGATGCGGTCGTTCGTAGTTAGTTGGAGGGGGCGAGGACGTAATAAAGTGCATCCAAGATCACGGGGTGGAGTCGCGAATCCATTCCATTTCCGATAACTGCGGATATTCCATTGAGGTCGTGCAAGGGGGAGTATCCCCACACCGGCGAGTCATGTTAGTTGCGGAGACTGCTAACTACCTGTTAGATGGCAAAAGCCATTGACCACATCGAGATCGCCCCTTGGACAGCCATAATTCACCTAATCTAAGGCTGCAGGAGTCCGATTGAAGACGGGAAAAGCCTAGGGGCAAATTCGGCAGCTTGCTAGGTAGTTACAAAGTATCCGTAATTTGTACGGAGTACGGATTCATGCTTTACCTGTATTGCCCCCAAGAACTGGTGGTTCCTGGCACTACCCAGCCAACCAGCTCACTTGGTTAGTACCTAGTAGTATGTGCCACATAGGTACCTCGGTACCGTCGATCATCTGCGGGGCAGCCTTGGTAAAACAAACCCATAAAATGGGAAGCGATCTTCGTCTCTTTTTAAATAATGATACGGATCGCAGACAATTAATTGCCTTTGGTTACAACCACGACTTTGTCGACCGCTCACCATTTCCCGTCAAAATGCTCAGGAAAACCAAGGTATTGCATGAAACTCGTGCCATCGCTCCCATCTTCGATCAAGGAGAACAAGCAGATTGGCATGGTGGAATGAATACGCAGGCATTAACGTAGTCTATTGATTGAGATTTTCACAACCTCTCGACATAAATTGTACACACTATACACATTATACAGCGCTTGGTTACGTACCTTGTGACTTGTCGGCCCATGATCGCATAATGCCATGCCTGGACCTAACAACGGCAGCCCATGCCTCGGAGGAGAAGACGTCGTGGCCGTCCATCTGAATGGTTTTACCCTGTATCTCAGGTGGACTAAGGAGATGGAATGCGCGACCCGAGACATTGGTAACTGACCGAGGCCACAGGTATGATTTGGTCGTTGATTCGGGTTTCCGAGTCTTTCCAGCTTCTTCATCAGCGAGCTCCTGCTCCGCATCCACAATTCGCTGCAGAGCCTCGCCTCGCGCCAGCCAATCTTGCCATGTCGCCTCAATCTTCCACTCCACCCACAAGCGAGAAAGGTACATGCTCCAGGTATAGGCCTCTTCCACGCCGCGCGATGACTCTTCGCATGGGATACCCTCCTTACGCAGCTGCCGCGCGATAATGCGTTCCCATAGATCTTCTGACTCGGTGTCAGGCATAAGTTCGTCTTGTATTTCAGCGATTTTGAAGATCCTGGACCTGAATATCTTATTCTTGCGCCCAATCATTCGAGACATGGTGTGCGGCTGCAAAGAAGACGTCCGGAGAAAGGGTAGGCCCTCAGCAGTGGTCGCCATCATCGGCACACGTCGTGGCCCGGCCAAGGAATTCAACGAGCGAGGGTATGCATTCGAAGTATATTGTGGGACTTCTCCAGGCTTGGATAGCTTTATTAGGAGAGGGTCTCTGGCCTCGACGGCTTGTTCGGTCGGCGGATTTTTGGAATGCTGGGGAGGAAGTTTTCTCCTTGAGAGGTAGCGCACGAGTTGCTGATTTTCGGCAGAGTCGACTTCCTGAGATTTATTGAGAAAAGATAAAAACTATGTGTGGTGTTAGATAAAGGGACATCTCCAAGTAATTAAGTCTTGGGGCACACCTTGTAGCCAGCCGTCAGTGCAGCAAAAACGAGCCTGGGGCTAGTGTCCCTTGAGTTCTTGTCGAACCGGCGACGTAACACTGACTGTATAGGGTTGGAGTCTGCAACTAAAGCAGTTACTTGGTTCGGTAGGGTGATCTTATTCGCTGTCTTGGCCAGCGCCCGATATAAAGCAACGACGGCGGCGCGATGCCGGGAGTCGCGAGCTGGGATGAAACGTGTCCGAGCCATGCTCACGTCTGGCTATAACACCAAGCTTCCGCTTTGATATGTTTTATGCATGTATGCGGGGTTACTGCCGGCCAGTGGTTGGGTACATTCCACGAATATTGTTGTCGGTAGAGGATTCTCCTGTTGTCAGATTGCTGACTGGACGTTGGAAGTTGGAGATTTGTTGCATGGACCCACTTTACATGTCCATCTCCAATTGGAGATCCTGGGCTCGACGACGTAAATCAAAAGGGAATTTAACAACTTGGTGTTGCTTTTATTTTCGAGTTTCCTTCTTTTCAAATATCTCTCCTGCATATGTGATTTATATATACCCTGGAAATATCTTGCAGGCCTCTACGGGCAACCCGTTTGTGGCCGTGGCGCAATCTACAGACAAGACGATGATAAACGATGAAATATTCCGCCTGAGAAATAAGTTCACCAAGAGAATAAAAATAAAAATAGCAGAAGGATGATTCAACGTAACAGAACATATAACATGATGAGCAGCCAACGGGGAGCAGCGACTAGCTTAAAGACTTTTTATGCCCACCATGTCGGAAGGCTCGGAGTCGTGTCACTGTTTCAAGAAGTCCGTTGCCAAACAGCGGAGATTGATAGGAAGGTCGGGGCGCCAACCACCGACGTTCCATGGCCGCCCAGTCGGTAGCAGCGTGTCCAAAATCCGCTTCGGGTACCGGAGGACTGTCAGTGTCCGAGTTTTGGACACGCCACTGGGACATATGTACAATCCAAAGGTGGTTGCAACGGGGACCCGCAAGCTTGTACGCGGAGCGGAGAATTCGGATGACTTGTTTTTGGGACGATAGGGCTTCAGTTGGTGGTGATACATCGCCTTTGATGAGAGTGTCGGCATGTTATTAAATGGGCCATTCCGTCACGAGGCATCTTTATACATGTGCAACCTTCATACAAGTTCAAACTGGTGGAGAATTCAAGCGGAAACGCCCGCGCCGTAAGACTCTTGCAGTTTATACGTTCACAATAGAATGAAGGATTGATGAGGGCAGAAAGCCCGTTACAACAGATGGGGCGTGGCAGAATCTCTAGGTTCGAGCGCGCTGTTTGGCGGTAACTAGTTATTCATACTATGTGTAGTCTGAGCAAGCAAAAAGATGCGACATTCTAGTCCGGCTTTGTCGCCTGCAGGGAACGAATACGCGCGATGGACCAGGCGTGCTCGGCTGAAAAGGGGGCGTCTGCAAGGGTGTGGTTCCAGGTTAGTCTGGCGCCAGGCAGATGGCGAATACGACGAGGTTCTTTCCGGTCATTCCATGAAACAAGTAAATGGTGCAACATGACGGCGAGCTCTGAGTAGGAATAAAAGAGGTTTGGAAATCGAATAGATCAAAACCTGTCAACAGTCGGTCAAAACATGCCAGGAACGGAGAATACCCTTTTTCTTGGTGGATTCTGCGAAAAGAGTGTGGCAAGTTTTCGGGAAATCCGGAAGAAGAGAAGGGTTCTTTGGGTTCTTTTTAGGGTTTACTTTGGCGGTTTGCTTGTACCTAGGTACCTAGGTAGGTACCTAGCCATACCTATAATTTAGTTTGATTGGCTGTTTGGCTGCCTTGCTGCCGTGGCTGGCCAGCTGAGGTCAAGTCAAGGTGGTCAATGTCGGCCAGCTGAGCAAACACCCACGGTCGCGACTGAGTTTATCATAACTACCTACCTACCTACCTGCACGGGCTGTTGTGGCAGCATGTATCCGTACCTTTGCTCCGCGGGCAAAACCCACTCACTGATACTAGTTGCTGATGCTGCTCACGCGCCGCTCCACTGAGGAATCCGATCGGGCGCGGCTCTGCCGGAAACGAGGCAGGGATGCGATGCGACAGGCGGGACAGTGTACGTACCGGTAACTAAGTTATGTGCGCCGCCGCCTTTTGTTCTCGACTCGTTTTCCTCTTTGTCTTCTTGGAGGGGCCGGACTTGACCTCCGCGGCGGTCCCCTTCAGCACTAGCCTCCGCTGACAAGACCCCTCGGACCAGCCTGACGTCTCGGCAGAAGCTGTTTTGGTTGTTCCCCATCTGCTACCTGTTACCGCACCTATTCACTACTACCAACCTATGAATAGCCACGACCGCCCATGTTCATGGACCCCCCTTCTCCTCCCTCTCTGCCTTTGCTCTGTTACTACCTACCTCGAGGCTTCCTTCCTGCACATCTGCCGCTTCAAGCGTCCGTTTCTGGCCATCACTGACTGACCTCAACACCACTGTGACTTCCACCTCGGCCAATAATACGACATGCCATCCTTGACCATCGCTCGACATTGACCCAGTCGGCCAAGCTTGCACCCCTCCTCCGCGACCTTGCACTGAACCAAACAAATCCAGGAAATTCTGCCTCTACGTTTTAATTTTCGTCGTACATTTACGTTTTCCTGTTTCCTCTCTTTCATTCATCCATCCATTCACCAATCTACCACTCAACCTGTGCTACCTTGCTACATGCGCGCACATCTATCCAGTACCACCTTATCTAGAAGAACGCAATCACTTCTTGAATACAACCTGGAAAAAACACCACTACTACACATTCTCGAACCTGTCATCCAATTCCAACTTGCAGACCCGCATTGTCTTGCAGCAGACATATTACAGACTTCACCCGGACCATTACGCTACTACCTCGCCTACTCCACTGGGAAGATCATACGCGCCTCGTCCTCCCTTGAGTGATTTGGCAGTCCGTATGAATTGCTATAATTCGGAGCAGACGTGTTAGCTTACCGCGGAAGCGTCGCATGTTTTTACACTCTGGTGCTGGCCTGCATGGCCACGAATATGCCACCCCGCGCCGATCTTCCGAATTAGTACACACAAAACAAATCCTTCTACGATCCAGCATGCGCCAGCCAGGAACAGAGGATAAACGCAGGTTCTCTACACCGTTGGCTAGCATAGACCCTCACGATGGCCGGGAACGAAGCCCTCCATCATCTAGGAAGCGCCCAACTTCGCTTCCGGTACAAGCTAGATCCGTTTCCGAGAGCGCAAGATACCGAGACCACTCTGTTCGATTTCGTGAGGAGCCACACGTTACTCATTTCGCAACACCTGTACACAGCGAAGATGAGGAGTCCATTGCTGGATCAGAACTGACGGCGGAGAGCGACGTCTCCAGCCGACTCCGACGCAAGCAACGCCTCCCTCGAAAGTCGACAACCTTTGCGCTTGCGCATCCCGCTCCTGGACTTCGCACAAAACAGCGCCGCCTCGTGCAATTTCGACCAAAGGTGCTGCTGCAGCTGCAAGAGTTGGGCGAGAAGCGCGCTGTTCCAGCATTTGATATCGTCCCGTCCAGCCAGATTGCAGGAAGCTTCATTATCCCTGCTCTGGCGAAACGATTTCCTCGAATGTTCCGAGCCAAGCCAAATCTTGGCCAAAACGATTTGCTACTGATGCGTAGCGAGAATTACAACATATCAACGCCCTCTCTCCCGGGTCTTGGCGATGCAAGTGAGGCAATGGGCGAACGAGACGTTTTGGCAGTCGTCTCTGTGAATGCCCATGACGGCACTGACCACGCTGAATTGACATTTCGCGATGGCTCTGCCTGGACCATTGAGGCTATTGCGAATGGTTCATACGAAATGAAGAGGGTTGATGGTTCTGCTTCTCCCATGACAGGCAGATGGGTTCGTCGACTGACACCCTTGCGGACGAATAGTATCGAGTCTGGCAACGCTGTGCTGGCGCAACCGATGCGAGACAAGTGGACGTTCAGCATATTGGATCCTGCTACCCGCCGACATCCCATTATGGGTGTGCTGACACCGACTTCGTTGGAGATATACGACAACTATAACACAATGTCCGCCTCGAGCAACCGTTACCCACCCACCAAGCCATTTGGAAGCGTGGTTGGACTGCCGCAAGAGGATCAGCAAAGTCAAGCCGCTTCTGCCGTCACGGAGGAGAGAAAGACTGTGACAGTTACTGAAGAGAAGAAACTTTGGATGATGGTCTCGGCGACGTGGATTAGCCTCCGACAAGCGGGCTGGCCGGCAACGGCCAACCCGAAAATGGCTCGCTCCTTGTCACAGTACTGTGGTTCACAGTCACAGAACGACCAGGCGAGGGCATCACTGTCTGATTCGCGAGAGAGAGCGGGGGAATTTAAGTCTCAGGATGGTGCGAGCAACCAGCGCAGGAAATCGACAGGGTTTGCGCCACATCCTCCGCCACCAGTTCGGACATTATCGGCGGCTAGTCACTTTATGAGAAAGCAACAAGAACAACGGCGGCAAGATCCGGCACACGCTTTGTCGAATGACGGGCGAAACACGCCCGACAGCGTGGACAAGCCTATTGCATGCAAAGGAGCCATGACGAAACTGGCCTCGTGGGTGCGTCATTGTTTCGGTTGAGATGGAAGCATACAAAGCGTAATACATGAAATATAGCAAACAACAGGAAGTAGCAACACGAGACACATGTACATTAGTAGCAAAGCATAAAGCATTTAGATACCCGCCACGGACTGCATCCTGTATTATGTACAATAGAATTAGGGGGGTTAGTTGTGTGAAGAACTGGCGGATGGGAATCAAAGAGATGTTGAACAATGAAGAATGAATGAACAAGCAACCTCGATATACCATTATTTCAACTAGAGTGAAGTGATGAGTAGCGGTGTTTTTGGCGAGGCCTTGGTTGTGACACATGGACTGGCAGTGACACGGTTTCATCATGTCAGAATGGATACCTCGTAAGTGGTGTACGTTACCTAGGTACCTATTTCCTGTCACATTACAGCCCAATGTGAATTTGATCTCAGGTGATCTCAGGTATTGCGTAACACCTGCGTACCTACCAGGACGTGTAAACGGTGCCTGGATATTGTTTTTGTTGATTACGTTGATTACGTATACATGCAGCCGAGAGGGATACTAGTAGTTGGGGCAGCCGTTGGATTGGCTGGGTTTCAGCGGCCGAGACGGCAAAGTACCTACCTACCTAGGTAGTTGACGGGTTCGTTGTCATTGGAATAGGATCCGACACAGTGGACATGGGACACGGGACGCGGTGAGAAAGATTGGTCAAGTCGAGTGAGCGGAGCTGTGTAACCTTGTTGGCTTTGCTGGATGCCTTAATTGCGGGCGGGCGGTGATACGGATAGAGCAACTTCCGCAGAGTGTTTTGGAAAGCAAGGTCACGATGGTCGGTCGGTCAATCATGTCCAACGGGATGAATTGATGGCAGGTGGACGTGACAGTATGCAGTGAGTTTGTAAGATTGAACCGTGCGAACTCGATAACTACCTTTTTACCAGTAATATTTAGGTACCTAGGTAGGTAAGGTTAAGTAGGTACATCGGTACTACCTCCTGCCTAGAGGTAGGTACCTACTAAGGCATACAAGCATAGTAGATTACAGTGGGGCCAACAACAGCTCCCGCACTTGCATGCTCCTGTGATGCCTTGCAGGAAGCAGTTTTAGGCAATGCTGGCAGATTCCTCTAGGGACCTGGCCCACTGAAGCAGCGCTCTGTCCCCTCTCCCGTTGGGTCTTCCCTGCAGCTCCGTCCAGTCCAGTCCACCTTCCAAGCTCCAGCGAGGTAGGTATTTTAGGCAAGCTGCGTTCGTCATTCGCTTGAGCTCCCATAATACTTGGTAGTTACACTACACTGCTGCTGGTCCCGTCCGTTTGTTAGAGTAAAGCTTTGGTCTTCTTTGACCTACCCATCCACGAACGACGAACAATCATCTTCGTCGCGACAAAGCCTGCATGTGTACATCAGTATATATAGTAGCTTCCCGTCGCATCGTTCGTCCCAGGTTTGCTCTCCCCTGAGCTGCGAGATTATCCGCCCGACGACGCGCACCCGGCTGGAACACACCACACACCACACCACACACGCCCTCTCTTCCTTTTTTTCCTGCGTCTCGTTAGGCACCGAGTCGCCGCCGTCATCGCAGCTCCCACACACACCAACTTCGCCGAGTTTCCATCGCTTTACTGTTACGACATCCTTTGCCGCCTAGCAGTCACCCGACCGCCGTTCGTCCCGATAACCCACCCCTCAATGGTACTCTTCATTTCGTCTTCATCCTTTTGCAACCAGTACTAGAATTGCATCGACCCCCGACCTTTGGTGACGAGTCTCCCTGCAACGCATACGCACCAGAATACGCGCGACACACGGCAACAGACATCGCCCTTTGGCACGCTGCTGCCAAGTTCTACCAACTTATACTCTCACCGATATCCGCGAACCACCTAGCACACCTGCTTCCACGAACCGCTCAACATCATCTCGTACCGCTCTGCGACCCATCCATAGCCCGCGCTTCCATCTGTTATGGACGATAACCCAGGCCCTCACCATGAGGGCACCATCGGCGCCCTCTCTGCCTCGTCAGCGTCGCAGCTCTTTGCCAATTTTGCGTCGTACGAACCCATTTCGCGTGCCACCACCCCCGGCATGCCCTATTCCAAGTCGGACGAAGATGACAAGAAGCGATATCGGCCACGCACCTTTGCCTACTTCAATCAGCTGCCCTTTCTCGTCGAGGAGGAGGAGCAGCGCGACGTCGCACTGCAGGACATCCTCAAGCAGCTCTACATCGCCATCCGCGCCGAGGACTTTTCTCCCGGCGCCCTGCACTGGACCAGAGAACTTCAGGGCTGGCTCAATCTCAAGTTTGAGATAACGCGTGAGCTGAGGGCAAAGCTTGCCAAGCTCTATTACTCTCTCGCGCTCGCTCCCGGCCTTGATGCTACGCCGGCCGACCGATTTCTGCGCATGGTCGTAACGCTGACCAGGTAAGACAATGCACGCAACGCGCACAGAAGCACATTGAATGCCGTCTCTTTGCTAACGCCATCTCCTTCTTTCTGCAGGAAAAACCACTACCTCAAGCCGGGTGAAGACCTGACACTCGATTGGAGACCGCTTTGGCAGGAGGTCAAGACCTGGGTGCTGCCCGCCGAGGTGCCCGCTCATCAAAGCAGCCGCCGACGATCGTCTAAGCAACTTCTAAAGCTCTGCACCCATGTCCACACATACTTTGACCCAAAGGAGCGACCAGAGATGCTGCAGGAGTTCTTACCATTTTTTAGTGTTCACGAATTGCCCAACGCCTTCATCGTCACCGGCGTGCTCAACACGCTGCTACCCAGCCATCCTGCACCCTCAACCGCTCTCAATGCTCAGCCTGATGCTTTCTTTCCTACCCTTTTCCACTTGTGGTCCATCATGAATCGATCCAAGGTGGTAGACATCTTCTTCATTGACATGTTCTCGAGGATGGCGCGGGACCATTTGCATTGCGCTTACGTGCCCTTTGGCGAGCATGGCATCTTCACCAAGGAGCAATCCGACCTGATTTTCACAGCCATCCTGCGACTGACACAAATTCCCGTGGGCCAGTCCAACTCGCCCTACTCGCCGCTCGACTTTCTGTCTGGAGCTGGCATGTACATGGAAAAGGACAAAAAGAAGTACCCCATTGCATACATGATGGCCCGCTGGATAGTCAGCTCACTCTCACCAGCCTGCTCAGGCGAGAAGGACTCGGTTATGTCGACACTGGAGGGTCTGATGGAGTCGATTGACACATTTTTCCACCCGTCGAATCAAGGCTCATGGACATCTCTCCTAGGTCAATTGATTCTCTTCCTCACAGATGCGTTTGTGTCCCGTTGGAATCGAGAGCAGAGTGGTGAGCTCGAAATACCACAGGAGCGCAAAATTGACAAGGAATTGAAAAGGCGATTTGTTGAATCTCTCAAGGAGGTTACTTTCATGGGCCTTTTCTCCAAGAGCAGCCGCGTATCCCACTGCTACTATAATGCCTTGCAAGGGCTAGCTTACCTGGAGCCCGATCTTGTGTTGCCTGGTGCATTGCAAAGGTTTTATCCCAGTCTTCAAGGATTGGTTGAAGTACACCGAACCACTTCGAGCCTGAATAGCTTACAAATGATTGCAAATGTCATGTCCAAGTTGAAAGGCTATCGATGCCATATTACTGCTCTCCTGGCACTTGCTCTCCCTGGCATCGATGCCAATGATCTGAGCAAGACACAGTATACCCTCAACTTCATCCAAAGTGTCGCATACAGTATTCCTTTTGCCTCGATGACCAAGGAGGACAGCGCTGTTCATGATACAGGCCTGGCCATGCAATGGGTCCAGGCTGAAATGGATCGCATGGAGCGGGATGGGCAAAATGTCGTCATTGACTACAATGCGGAACTGACAGACGAGGACGAAGCTGACATTCTACGATCATCAACGGCGGGCTTTGCGGAGTTCGTCATGACCCTTCTTGGCAAGGTGTTTACCCTGCTGGAGAACCTGCCCGATGCTAATCAGGTTCGTGGTGGGACTCCGGAAGATAACGTTATCAACGCGCTTCCAGCTGCGCTGTCACCCTTGTTTGCTTCTTTGTCTCCAGACTTATTCGATATGGCTGTTGAAAGGCTGGCCACTTTTGTATCATCTCATGTGGTGCATCAGGCACGAGATGCCATGGCTTGGATTCTCAACGCACTCTGCAAAGTTAACCCGGAAAAGACGCTCAAAATCTTCATTCCCATGCTTGTTGTCAACATTCGCAATGAGATTGACCATAACCACGCTGCATCTGATCGAACATCAGGCACCGACTACCTACCACGCGACAGAGCTCTTGTATGGCACATTACCATGCTGGCCATGGTGGTAGTGCACGTCGGACGCGAGGTCCTGAGCCACAAGGACGAGCTTCTCGGAATCGCTGGTTACATGCAAGAAAAGTGTCGCGGTTTGCCAACCATTTTGGTTTCTAACTACATTCATCATCTCCTCCTCAACCTGACCCACACATATCCCATTGACCACGCTCTGTACGAGCCAGAGGTCATCAAGAGGGGTTTGGACGTCAGTGACTGGGGCAGAACTACAGCCCCTGCTGATCTCACTATCAAGTGGCATCAGCCATCGCCGCCCGAAATTGAGTTTGCCGTGGAATTGTTTGCGTCGCAGACCAAGTCCATATCTCAGCAACTGGCCCTTCTTCTTAGCGAAAATCCCCCTGTCAGCCGCAAAGGCAAGAACAAGGAGTGGTCCGATGAAGTCTCGCGACTGATGCAGCAGATCCGGCTCGTGACTTCGGGGATGTCCGTCATGTTTGATCCAAAGCGTGCATCTGGAGAGGCAGACACAGAGATGGGGGAAGACCCTATCGTTGATGCTGATGAGGACGAAATGATGGTCGATGACGACGATCCCCTCGCCGAGGTTGCTGATGACGAGGAGTTGAGACCGCAGTTCCGCTACCGTGCAGGATACCCGCTCAGACGAGATGATCCGGCTTACGAGCATATTCACGTTCTTCGTGAGGAACTAGGCCAGCTCCTGACAAAGGCACATTCCTTCCTAGTTGCGCATCAGGAGGACGATGTCAACTGCTTTACTACGCTGTGCTCCGCGTATCGAACCTGGATTACAGACGTCGGCATTGAGCGCTCTGCTCACCCCCTCGAGCGTCACTTGCGACTTTACAAGGCTGACATTGCAGCCTTCAAGGTCAAGGGACTCCGCAAGGTTTATCCTCGTCCTCTGCTTATCAAGAGAGCGGAAGCCTACTTGCTTCTCCGCATGAAGCACAATGCCGCATCCAGGCAAAAGAGCGAACTAGACAAGCAGCTTCTTCTTGATCTAACGCAATCCTGCCTATCGTCGTACGCTGATGTTCGTCGCGTTGCTCAGAGCGCTCAGGACTCGTCGCTCAAGGTCCTTGTGGGCGGCAAGCCGATTGTCATTCCACCGCTTCTGCAAGGACTCAAGAAGGCTCTACAGGACAACGATCACGATCGTATCAAGGGTGGCATGTACACGCTGCTCTTTACATCATTGCTGAAGACATTGCTCAAAGACTGGAGGTTCGCGCCGGAGGCAATGAGACTGTATATCGAAACCGCGGGCATCGACAAGCCATCCATTCAGAGCCTGGGATCCTCTGCACTGTACTCACTAATCGAATTCGGCAAACCATTCGAGCGGGCGATCATTGTGGACAAGGAGGTTGTTGACACTATCCGTCCCCGGGAAGATCCCTCATCTGTGATCGACTCACGACACCAGTTTATTCTCCAACGGCGTACCAGAGTTGAAGAATCAAAGGCCGTCCTGGGTCTCGAGCTCACCAGAAAGGCCAAGGACGCACACTGGAAAGTTGCAACGAGATGTGCTATCTTTGCAGCCAACTTGTCTCTTCGCTTCGACACGATTGCACCGACCGAATTCATTGAGTTGGTTGCAAACGGCACAAACGATCCTCACCCGGGCCTCAGAGGCTACTATCTTAATGCCTTTACGTCCATCTTCACCGCCATTGATCTACGAGCCGTTTATGAGCATGATTATCGCAACTACTTGCTTGAAAAGGAGAGCAAAGATCGGAACAAGATTACTATCGAGGTGAAAAAGGGTGATGCCGAATATACTAGAAAGTTCCTCGACGCTTTCAAGGATCCAAGCACTGCGGAGTACATGGTGGATTCGGATCACCCGGGATGGCTCGTATGGGGCAAGTCTTTCTCTGCCTTCCGAGCCAGACCTATGCCCTTTGATTCATACGATGCTGTGGAACGTGGTGTGCGTACTCAGATTGGCAAGATCTTGGACAAGGCTTGGTTCCGTCAGTGTTTTGATTATTTGAAACAAGAGCCACGGGACAGCTCGGCAGACCGATTCCGCATGAGCAACGTTTACCTGTTGATGCATGTATTTGACTTGATGCACTATGGATGCACAGCTGTCAAATTGGACGAAATCAAGGAGCTCATGACGGAAGTGTATGGTGACGGCAGTGACAAGCACCAGCATCGCGCGACTTCAGAAATTCTCGGAGCATTGTTAGCTGGATCTAGCGACGACCCACCAGCCATTCGAAGCCGGGTGTGGGAGTTTGCTGCGCCCAAGATTTTGGAAATCTTTGATGACGGGCTTACTCCCGACAATTTGACATACTGGATGACGTGCTTGCACTTCATTCTAGACTCCAAGGATCCCCGCCGATCTCATGAGCTGGTGGATGCGCTACGTGCTTTCCGCCTGGACATGAACTCGAATGCGGCGTTCAAGGAATCTGCCAAGATTCAACTGGTCGAGTTCGCAATTGCGGATGGTGGGTGGCACTTTCGTGACACGCAACCTATCCTGGACAACTTCCTGGAACACCTGGACCACCCTTACAAGGCAGTGCGTGAGTCGATGGGTCGTGTCATTTCCGTCATTTACAAGTCGAGATATCACGAGTCGTTTGAGAGTGTGAGGAAGCTGTTGGAAGAAAACAGGGCAGATTCTTCGATTGGCATTCGACCGTATAAGCCAGATGATGAGTTCAGCGCCGTGGTGCGAGACGTCTTTTCGCGGCTAGAGAAGTGGAGGCAGGAGCGCACGCCAGGACAGCAGACGCAGTCGTCGTATACGGCAGGTAGCAAGACAGTCCTCATGTGGCTAGACTGCGCCTTGTCATCGCACGAGTGTACGCAGCTTGTGCCGTTCTTTTCTACGCTGTTTATGGATGAGCTCCTTCATATGATGGACGTGAAGGAGGACCCAGAGCTCATGCGCACGGCATACCACGTGTACCGTCATCTACCCAACATTCCATTCCGGGATGGTGAAGATGCAGACTTTATTCAAGGCCTGGTGCGAATTGGGCGCAATGCTGGCAGCTGGCATCAGCGACTGCGCGCACTTGTCAACATGCAAGTCGTCTACTTCCGACGCATTTTCACGACGGACAAGAGTTTGAGGGATGTTTTGTTCACCACAGTCTCGGACATGCTCAGCGACTCACAACTAGAAGTGCGGGGGTGTGCAGCCTCGACGTTGGCGGGCATGATTCGGTGCTCGCCTCGGCGCGTCCGAGACCCCATGATAGAACATTTGAAAGATAGATTTGAAAGGGAGCTGGCGCAGAACCCGATGCCGAAGCGTGGACCCAAGGTAGCTGGAACAGACACTCCGGTAGATGTGCAGAAGCAAATCACCCGGAGGCATGCCGCTGTTCTTGGACTAGGTGCGTTGATCGAGGCCTTCCCGTATGCAACACCGCCACCCAAGTGGATGCCTGAAGTTCTGGCTACATTGGCACGTCGTGCCGCGGGCGACGCGGGCGTGGTGGGCAAGGCAACAAAGGGAATACTGAGCGAGTTCAAAAAGACTCGACAGGACAGCTGGACTGTGGACCAGAAGGTATGTGACGAGTGCAGCAAAGACGCGGGCAGCTACATGGACTAACACGGGATGGCAGTATTTTACATCGGAGCAACTGGAAGATTTGGAGGGCGTCTTGTGGAAGAGCTATTTCGCCTAGATGGAATGTGCCAAAATCGTTGGGTATGAGAACCGGGCTAGTTATGTATTATGAGCGACTGTCAAGAGACTGGGCAGTGTGTATGTTGGGTGTCGAGAGTGTGTGGCAGACTGCACACAGAAGAGGTAGAGGCCACTGATGAATGAGATGATGCATGTTGCGTATTTTTCAAGCTTCCTTGTCAGAGAGAGAGGAGGGGTGGGTGGGTGTGGCGTGTAAGACTATAATTGTGCCAACACACGGGGGGGGTGGTACTTTGGGTTGGTTGGTAGGTTGGCAGGTTGGTAACTAGAAGCATACAAGGCAAAGTGGAAATAGTGCCGAGGCAGTGCCAAGGAGATGAAATTTCCAGTTGATAATATGTAAGGCGCAATTATGGAGCGACATGAAAATTTGGTACGATTGGCAAAAACGCCAGGGTGATATCGGCAAGGCTGCGGTGCACTGCCTCAATAGGCAGTTTTTGGCGTGCAGAAGAGGAAGGACGATATACTGGGTAATAGTGGTTATCAAGTGACAGGTAGTGAATTATGGACAGAAGTAATGGCATGTGCTTGAGCGCTAATCCCTTGACGATAGAACATCTAGGCAAATTCCAAAGCTACTACTAATAAAATAATAAAAGCTTGCCAGCTGGCTTACGGTGCAGCTCGCTAACTAGACTACCTAACCAAGGTAGTAGCGGAGTATGCAAACGGCGGCCATTGCCGCTTTTTCGGACCTCTAATACTTACACCCACTGTAACCTGTTACTACATAGTATTTAACTAGTACAGCCCACGACTTCGCCTCGCCAACATCCAGAGCTTCCCTTCAACCACGTCGCGTGTGCCACTGCCACCACCCAAAACAGCATCAGCGAGCCCGATCCCCGTTCTGACTCTATAGGGCTGACACGCTCTTCTGCGTTGGTTGGATTGCATTTTTCCAGATTCCCCCATCGACAGACAATCTTGTTGGCGACCCTGAACAAACACGCCTCTCGCCGGCCACTAGGGCGGCGCATGAGACCTCGGTCACGACACTCTCTTGTTCGAGTCTGCTACCATCTGCTATCTATTTGGGAGCCGCTTTGCATGGCTGAGCACGTCGGTACGACCTGCTGCCCGATCCATTGAGCCTACGCCTTGTTCTCTGCTTCGCGCGCGCTTTGGATATGATGCCACGAGCTGTTGCACCAACCACTCCACCTTCATGACAGCGTAGGCGCCCTCGTTCAAGCTCCCAGTCCTCCCTACATAGATATAGATACATGAGCTGCCCCCCAGCTTGTTATCCTCCCTCTGCTCTCCCCTTTTACAAACGGCGCAGGACAATGACATGAGGCGCTCATACATGCCAAATGGTACCACTCGCCACACAGTCCTCAAGACAAGTATGGCCTCCGAAACCACCACTCTGCAGCAGCAGCTGCGCCAGGACTCGGTCCACGACGCCGAAGCCGCGCTGGCCATTCTCGAGGCGACGCATGCCACCAGCCCTTCTCGCGCGCCTCTCAAGAGGCAGCGGTCCTCTCGATCGTCGTCTGTGGCCGCCGCCATGGGCCCGAACCAGAGCAGCATGGTGCCCGATGTCGACGTGTACCGGACGGCTCGCACCCAGCTGTGCGAAGCCGAAGCCTCCATTGCCTTTGATCACCGCTGCCGCGCGCGCGCCACGCCACTCGAGCAGGCCGTCGACAGCATCCTCCAAAAGCTGCGCCGGCTGGACCAGGAGGACGTCTACGACGCCGCCGCCCCGAGACTCGGCCACGGCGGCCAGCGGCACCCGCGCTTCGCGGGCGACCACTTCCTCGGCAACGTCGACCTCATCGACCGCACGCGGCTCTTTGCCGTCGCGCGCCGCATGCCCAAGGGCGCCCACCTGCACATTCACTTCAACGCGTGCCTGCCGCCCGACGTGCTGCTAGGCATCGCCAACGATATGGATCGCATGTTTATCACAAGCAACTTGCCACTGGTGGACGACAACGGGCATGAAAACTACACCAAGTGCGAGATTCAGTTCTCGCTGCTGAGCACGGACAAGGAGGGCGATGCCCCAGGCAATCTGTTCAGTGCGCAGTATCAGCCGCGGCAGACGATGAAGTTTACCGAGTTTTTGCAGCAGTTTTCGGAGCACTACCCAGGCGTGGATGCGGAACAGTGGCTGCTGGACAAACTCGTCTTTTCGGAGAACGAGGCTCACGGCGTACTTCAGACGGCAGCTGGGTGAGTGTTTGATTCGCGCAAGGACTCCTGAACTTGACAGCTGCTAACATGTTCTTTTTTCAAGTGCCTGGGAAAAGTTCAACGGACGCACAAGGATGATGAAGGGTCTCTTCAACTATGAGACGGCATATCGCAAGTATACGCGGCTCTGTCTCGAGGACTTTGTGCGTGATAATATACAATATGCCGAGATTCGGCCCAACTTTATGCGGAGCAACCAACTATACCACGACGACGGAACTGGACCCATTGACAACAAGGGCATTATGAACATTATCATGGACGAAGTCACCAAGTTCCAGCAGGAAATGGCGGCGGATCGCCAATACTTTCGTGGCATCAAGGTCATCTACTGCACACCTCGCTCGCTCGACCCCGCGAACGTAAAGGCCGCGTTAGACGAGTGTCTCGAGTTCAAGCAGAAGTGGCCGAACTGGATCGCAGGTAAGTCAACGCCGGCATCCGCAGCACTCATCTCTGGACAGCGCCACTAATCCTTCTCCTAGGCTTTGATCTCGTGGGCGAAGAGTCGCAGGGCCGGCCGCTGTGCGACTTTGTGCCCGAGTTCCTCGCGTTCCAGGCGCAGTGCCGGCAGCAGGCCGTCGAGATTCCGTTCCTCTTCCACTGCGGCGAGACGCTCGACGCGGGCTCGTCGACCGATGGTAACCTGCTCGACGCGCTGCTCCTCCACTCGCGGCGCATAGGGCACGGCTTCGCGCTCCCCAAGCACCCACTTGTGCTGCAGCGCATGCGCACGCAGGGCGTGTGCGTCGAGCTGTGCCCCATTTCCAACGAGATTCTCGGCCTGACGCCGCGTGTCAACGGGCACGCCATGTACGCGCTGCTGGCCAACAATGTGCACTGCGCCGTGAGCTCAGACAACGGCGCCCTATTCCGGTACGGCACCCCTCCTTGTCGAGCTTTGACCCGTGCTTATCACGCTGACGAGAACAACTACAGATCCTCACTATCGCACGACTTTTATCAGGTCCTCATCGGCAAGGCCGACATGAGCCTCTACGGCTGGAAGCAGCTCGTGCTCTGGAGCATGGAGCACGCCTGCCTCGACGACGGCGAGCGCGGCGCGATCCTGCAGCAGTGGGAGCGCATGTGGGATGATTTTTTGCAGTGGGTTGTAGCCACATATGGCTCCGAGTAGCCCAGCGGTGTTTTTTTTTCTTCTTGTTTATATCGGCAGGCTCAGCAATTGCCTTTGGCGTGCGTATTAAAGACTCTCGGCGTACAAGGGGGGGGGATGATGATGGCTTTCAATCTAGCCGTCTTGAATATTGTCTTTTCATATTTCAACTGTATATAGTTGGTGGTGGTATGGTCGTGGATGGTTGCCCTCCAACGCCGCCCTGCAATGCTTTTCGTAAGCAAAAATGAAAAACTTTTCAACTTTTTGTTTCTTGGCAACGTTTGAACTATGCCGAGAATGTGACGACGACATTGACCCGAATGTCAATGTCATTTCTAATCATGATGACATGGGAAAATTAAACCATGTAACAACGAAAAAGGAATACCCGAAAAAAAAGACACAACACCATATATATACCATGACGCCCATCTAAAACCAGCAGAGCAATAGAAGAAAAAAGTACAAAGACTGTGTTCTTTGTAGGCCAAAGACCGGCCAGTCCAGATTAATTTAATCCTCAAAGTAGATGCTCTTCTTTTCGGTAATATCAATCATGCCGCCGCGGAAGCTGCCCTTTTTCATCTTATTCTTGGCCTTTGTGAAACCCTTGCCCTTGGTGACGATGAGGTCCTCGTGAGCGCGCTGCGAGTAGTCCATGGGTACCCACTCGTTGGAGGCGAAGCGCGCCTCGACTTTGACGTCTTTGGCGATGCGGGAAAAGCGTTCATTGTTCTTGCGCTTGGTGGAGGTGGCGGTTGGCGCGGGGGGCAGGGGCGGCTCGGCGGGTGAGGCGCGGTCGAGCGTCACCGACGAGTCGGACGAGTCCTTTTTGATACTGCTCTCTTTTTTGGGCTTGGATTTTCCCGAGGCGGAGGAGTTCGAGGATGAGTCGGAGTCAGAATCGGAGTCGGAGGAAGAAGAGTCGCTGTCGCTGTCGGGGAGGGCGACGGCGGCGGCCTTTTTGACCTCAGAGGATACGCTGTCTCTGTCGCTGTCGCTGTCAGATTCGCTGTTAGATTCGCTATCGGAATCGCTATCGGAGTCGGAGTCAGAGTCAGAGCCGGAGGAGGAGGAGGAAGATCCGCTGTCGCTGTCGCTGTCGCTATCAGAGTCGACATCCATCTCGTCGGAGGAGGAGGAGTCCTCTTTAGCGGCCTCATTGGTCTTTTGCTTCTTGGACTGGGGCTTGTCCTCTTCCTCGTCGTCGCTATCACTCGATTCCGAGTCCGAATCAGACTCATCGCTGTCCGAGGTGTCACTCTCCGGTGCCTTGCGCTTCAGCGACTTGGCCGGCTCCTGCTTGACAGGAACCTCGGTCTTCTCCTCCTCGCTGCTGCTGTCGTCGTCGTCGGAGCTATCGCTGCTGTCGGAGCTGTCGGAGCTCTCCTCATTCTTATCCTCCTCGTCACTCTTGGTCGTCGCCTGCTGCCACGCAGCGAAGATGTCGACCAAGACAGGCGCGGCCGCCGCCGCATCCTTGCTGGAGGCCAGGCCCTTGGCCTTGCGGTGCTCGCGAAAGGCCTTGTGCGTGGCGGAAGAGGCGTGATCATTGAGGAAGCGCTCTACCGCATCCATCAGCAGAGCCGGGACCGCGGAGGCGGCGGCTGCGCTGCTGGTCTTTTTGCCCATCGTGGTGGAGCGGTCTGGAGTCGGTTTCTGGGCAGCGGTGACGGTGGTGGTGCGGTTCGAGGAGAAGAGCCAGGATGGCGGCGACGACATGGGGGAGCGTGGGGAATGCAAAAAATGAAGAAGAAACTGCCGCCTGGAGTATACAGAGAAGCAATTGCTCGAAAAGCAAGACAAGGCAAGAAAAATAGGCGAGGCGCTGAAGCGATTGAAGGAGTTCCCAGCTAAGTTACAGAGGGAAGAGGAAAAAAAATGGCAGAAAAAAAATGGCCGTGACCGCCAATTGGGAAGGTGGGGCACAGGTCACTTATCGCCTTATCGTGGCGCGAAACTGTTAAGTGGCTGCCGACAAACCACTTAGCGAGAAGGCAGCGATAATTCCACGTCTTTTATCAACACTACCTAGATCATATGTACGCATCCTCACACTTATCAATTCCAACCTCACAGGGCTAAAAGCAAGGTTGCATCTACTTCTTCGCTTCGTCCCATACCGAGTCTGCTCACTTGGACCAATAGAAGCCCCTAGCTCTCACTCCCTGGCTGTATTAGTACACCCGTCTTTACCGAGCCGCGAACGTGACAAAAAAGTTCCGGATAACCCCATCTCGAAAGCAACGCCCGATATCATACTAGAACAAATGGCCAACGAGATCAAGCTTATCTCGGGTAGGCAGAGGAGTCAAGCCGCCTAACAGGGTCATGGTTGTGTGTTCCATGGGTAATTCGTACAAAATAACAGGCGTTTTGATAATTGAAATTGATCTTGCCTTTATAGTTGCATCCACAGACCTTTGTGTGTGTTTTATATCGGCTTTGATCACTCTTTGTAGGGCGATAGGTGCCCGCGGTCGCAGCGAAAATGGCACCACTTGACCTTGTTATTTGGCCCCCTTTCGGACCGTTGAATCGTAATTGCAAAGCCTTGGCTATTGGCCACGCCACGGACGGCTCTAATGGCATCATCATAGCTCTTGAAAGGCTCATCTTCAATTGTGGCGGGCAGGGACATGATGGATGATGGAGGGGTCAAGTTGCCTGGGAGCTATCACTAAATTCGAGGCTTTGGTGTTGTGGCAGAACAGCAGAAAAAAGGGCTCTCATTGGCTGATTGGGCGGTGTGGGGTAAATGTGGGTTCAGGAATACGCTAATACGCTTCTGATTTAGACTGATTACGTATAAGAAAGCGGTGGTTACGTATTTTGGTTCTCGCATCCGGAGCTGAGTGCCAGGGTGGCCTCCCGCCTCCTCTAGTCAACCGCGCCGGGCGACGTTAATGACGGGCTTATGGAGCTCCTTATTATAATTCACTCCTGCCGTACTGCCTCGGCGCGCTATATCATAGCCGCTGTTATCCCTAACTTTCCCTACGCCCGCCAGGACAAACAGGATAAGTCACGCGCGCCTATCTTATTACCAATATGCTGTAAGTGTCTGGCTGCAACCATGTTATCACTATGGACGTGCACGCCTCGCAGATCCAGGGGTTCTTTAACGTCCCTGTGGACAACCTATATGCCGAGCCCTCAGTGCTGCGCTAGATCGGCGAGAACCTACAGGTTAGCAACTACCTACGCGCGTGAGGCCTGTGTTTTCTGACAGGGCACTAGACACGTTTTCTACTCAACTTGTAATTTTCCCCTGTTATAACGCTATCAGGCATCTAAAACGGCTTCTAAAAAAACATATAAGATCTTTAACACGTAGTAGTAACTAGCCTGACAGCGTTATAAAGGGGGGGGGAAACATGTTAAAAAAGAGACCTGTCTAGTAAGTACCCTGTCTAAAAACAGGCCTTACTCGCGTTTGAGGTACCTACCTAGGTAGGTAGTGTAGGTGGTGAGGCCGCTATAACGTGGGCTGTGGCATGTACACGCAATTCCAAACGAAAGTGTAGGCAGATGGTGTCGTTTTTATTTCAGCCTTTCTAAAATAGCGCTTCTTTGACCAGAATTGGTCCAGCCTGACATTTTCTGAGACAAGCTGTAAGCGCTGTCTTGCATGAGCCTGCGGCCGCTGGGCTTGGCACCTTGGAGCGACACGGTTTCTGCTCCACAGCGTTTTCAGAGCCACCAAACGAACGACCTCCCTCCTGCTTTCTCATTGTACATTTAGTTAAATTTATCCCGACCGTTTCAATTCTTGTCAGTTCTCCGACGCTGTGCTGCATCAACGGCTATCTCTGGACCAAGCGCCCTGGTCTCGCTGCTGATTCATCCACCACAATTTCGAGCTCTGTGCGCCGTTGTTTCCCTCTCTGTCCCTTTTCCCCTTGGGCGCGCGCCAATCTCCGCCTCATCCAAGATGAACGCGACGAAGCGCAAGTTTACTGCTTTGCTCCAGGGACTCAACAGTCCCCGGCCTTCGACCTCGGACCACACGACGCCCAGGAAGACGGCCGACATTGCTGCTGGTATGGCCGCCTCCTCGCCGCTGTCCGCCGCGCAAAAGAAGCGCCGCATGGGTGTCGCCTCCGCGGGCGGCGCCCCCGACGCCGCGTCCTCGTCGTCCCTGTCCCTGGCATCTATCTCGTCGCTGCGCAGGCCGCTGCAGACGCCCCCGCCCGCCGCCAGTCCGCCCGAGGTCGCCTCCCGGTACTGTCCTGGCGACCGAGAGCAGCTGCTGCGCCGGCTCGCCTCGTTCCAGGAAATCACCAGCTGGACCCCCAAGCCCGACCGCGTGAGCGAGGTTGAGTGGGCGAAGCGCGGCTGGGTCTGTCACGGCAAGGAGCGCGTGCGCTGCGCGCTTTGTCACAAGGAGTTGGTAGTCAAGCTTAACCGCAAGGAGCAGGACGGCAAGGAGGTCTCCGTGCTAATTGCGTCCGAGATTGGTAGGCTGCACCCGAAACCGCACGACGTTGCTGTCGCAATCGCTAACCTGAGGTACAGAGGAAGCGCTGGTGGACAAGTATGCGGAACTCATCATTTCTTCACATCAACCAGAATGTCTCTGGAAAAAGCGTGGATGCGATGGTATGTTTTCATATGCACAACTCATCCATCTTTTGATTAACACTCTCTCTAGACACGCTTCTACGAATATTCTTCTCCAATGCCACCAGCACCGTCGAGAGCCTACGGCAACGTTACGATGAACTCTGCTCTCGCCAGTCCTTTCTCCCCTATGAATTCAATCTCCGCCTTCCCGAAGACCTCGACATTGACGCGGTACTCGGTCAACTGCCAGAAAACTTCTTCACTGAGCCCGCTCCCGCTGCCGCGGTAGCTGTCGGGCCGTCTCCCAACCGTACTGCGCTCGCCCTTGCCCTCACCGGGTGGCAAGGACTATCCAACTCGCGGATAGGTGCTGTTCCCAACACGGCCTCGTGTCATACCTGCCAGCGACGTCTCGGGTTGTGGATGTTCAAAAGCAAGGAAGTGGATGAAAACGGCCAGGTATTAGTGCCAGCGGCCATGGACCACCTTGACCCTATACGCGAGCACCGGTTCTTCTGCCCATGGAAGACCCCGCAGGCTCAGACTAGAATCGGCGCGACTGGAGAAGACGCGCAAGCCACGGCGTGGATGACGCTGCTTCAGATGCTCAAGAATGAATCTAGTCTACGCAGCATCTACGATGTACGCCACAAGAAACCCAAACCTGCCGCGGCGCCGGCAGAGAAGGAGAAGGAGAAGGAAAATAAGAACCCCTCAACACCCCAGAAAGCAGCCCCGGTCTTGCAAGAGCCCATGTCGAATGTGTCTGCTAAGACGACGGTGCCCGAGCTCGACGAGGCAGACCGCGACGCCAAAGATAAAGAACGATGGGCTCGCCTGCGAAAGGTCAAGAGCCTATTTGATACCAAAGCGAGCCGAAAGTCCAAGAGACCAGTCACGCCGCAGTCAACAAAGGCAGCAACACCTCCAAGATAACGACGCTGTATATTATATACTGTACATAGATTATTACTAACTTTAGACCCGTATTGATAATGAGAAGCTGTTTGTACACTTGTTTCCCGCCCGCGTCTCGGATCTATGTCTTCCATACAATGTCGTCAAATGACACAACCTTGCCAGTGTAGGAAATGTTCTCCGGCTGCTGCACAACGGCATCCTCCTCGAGCGCCAGCCCCGCCATGTCGAGGACCGCCGCCCGCACCGCGCCCATGCCGGCACCGTTGCTCGCCTTGCCCATGCGAACCAGGCCCGCCGCCGTCACGTACACATCCGATGCCCAGCCGGCGTCCTCCTTCCAGCCTGAGCCCGTGCCCTTCTGTATGCGCCTCAGTTCCTTGCGCAGCTCGGCGGCCTTGTCGGCGCAGCGCGCCGCCCAGCCGCTGCCTCCGCGCGCCGCCTTG